TCGTAAATCCCGATTCCGATTAAAAATGGGCATTTTTAAAGAGGCAGTGTCACATCAATAATGCAGCTGCTGTTGTTTTTATTATATGGGTTAATAAGATATATTTATAAGAGGCTAAGCAAAGGCGGAGGAGGAATTTCCTGCTTCATCCAAGGTGGGGGCTCCCCAAGAACAGAGAAACGGGAGCATTCGCTTGGTTTTGTTGTCTGAAAGTGTCCGGCAGGATTCTCTCTGCTTTTTACAAGCTTGTTTTCTTCTGCTCTGAAGGGTAGGATTGGAACCCATGGCTTCAAGTTACCAGAAAGCAGATTCTGACGAAAAGTCAGGAAGAACTTTCTGGCGGTAAGAGCTGTTCAACCATGGAACAGACTGTGGGAATGTTGTGGATACTAGGAGAGGATATATGGATTTAATAGTATCCTTCCTCACTCACGCTTGTGAGTCAGCATCAGAACGACATTCCCCAGTATATAGCAGGAAGCTAGTTGGTAGATTCGTTTGAATCTCTTTGCTTAAGCAATCCAATCCGGCTTTGTTCAGATTGGAGTGTATTCCTGGTTTTATCCCTCCTAAACAGAATAAAGACACAACAATCTTCTTTAAAAGTAATAAGAAGTTAATTTACATCCAGTTCACAGTTGGATCCCTGAAGGCTTAAGCTTGTAGTTACAGAAGAGAGTTTAAATTCATCTCATATGGGGATTAAGCCCATGTGCTGCTGGCTGAGAGCCAGCAGACAGCAAAAGACATCAGTATCAGGAGAGCATGGCAGCGAGAGGAAGAAGAGGGTGGCGGCTGCGTGACCAGCCCCTTTCATGGGGTCTGCCAGGGTCATGCCTACCTACCTGGTCCCACACGCAGGGGGAGGATGCTCCAGACCAGGTGGGACAGGAAGTCCTCCTGGCTGGAGCAACATCCCCCTGTGTGTCCACTCTGGGCAAACAGGAAGTGTTGCACTTGCCTGCTTATGTTACATCCCACACAGACTCTCTGGCTGGAAAACCTTCCTTGGAGGTTTTCAAGCTGAGGTTGGATGGCCCTCTGCCATGAATGCTTTAGCTGAGATTCCTGCATTGCAGGGGGTTGGACTAGATGACCCTCGGGGTCCCTTCCAGCTCTACGATTCTTTGAAAATGTGAAGCAAGTGAAAAGGCATTGCAGGGCTTGGCTGTGAAGGAGAACCTTCCCAAGTCTGGCTTTGCTGCTGCTACAGCTGGGAGAGCCATTGCTTCACCAGGCTTCTCTTTGCCACCAACCTGCCCCCTCCCCAGCCCCAGATGATGGATGGATGCCCACATGCCTCTTCCCCCTGCCCCTTGCCACCTTCCTCATCCCGCCGCTGCTTCTCCATGGACACGTTTCACGTGCTCAGCCCTCCCTGCTCTGCGGGAGGAGGACGTAGTTCAGCGCCTGGCACAGAACAATGAGCAAAAATGGGGTCTTGAATGGTTTTAATCTCTGTTTACTCCATAAAAACAGTCCCAGGTGCCATCCATTACTCGCCGGAGGAGCTGCTTTACAGGCTATAAAAAGAAAAATTGTGTTACATATTAAAGCTCTCCTTGCTTAAGCCTTGCTTGTGGGAGAAAGATTTACAAATAGCTGGATTGAGACCAGGAGCATTAACAAGACGGAATGCCCCGGAGGCCGTTACAAATCTGGGGCTGGCAGGTAATGGGGGCCGTATCTCAGCGCAGAGCCACCAAGGAACAACAAGAGGGTATAAACAACAAGCCACGCATTTGTAGCCACTCTGGGCTGGCGCCTTCAGTGGGAGAGAGGGAGGGGGACACTTTGAAAGGGTCCCCTCTTCTCCCAGCCTCACCCTCTGCTGTGGGGCAGAAGCAGCATTCCCAGGTGAGCTTCTGCAGCAGAAGGGAAGGTCCCAGCCTAGACATGGAGTCTGGATGGACCTGAGCTCCACCAAGGCCAGCTGCGCTCCTGTCCCCAGGGAGACGGGAGGGCCCTTTCCTAAAGTGCTCAACTCTTGCAGGAATTTATGGATAGCTTGGGGTTGCCCCTCCAGCAGATATCACGCACATGCAGCCCACTACCAAAACCAGCACAATCACTTTTGTGACTTTTGTGATTTGTCCTCACAAAACACTTTATCACAGTTTCTTCCTATCTGTTCAAAGGGCCTCTGCTGCAGAATACCAAATGTAAGAATTCACTGATAAATGTATCTCTGTACTGGCTCACTGGGAAAACTTCAAAAATGCATATAGACATGTGAGCTCAGCTCCTCAGCAGCCCCTCTGCCTGAGTGATCCCTGGCATCCTGATACCTGAGTGCCAGACAGGTAGCCATTCCAGAAATAACAAACCCAGATGAAGACAAAAGGGTGTGATGAACTTGGCAGGGAAACAGGGAAATGTAAATGTCTCATTTGTTACACTTGATGGGTGTTTGGTGGAGGGCAAGGGGAACCATGGGGCAGGGTCCAGGATGCTCAGATTACTGCCACCAGACCTCCCCTTTTGTGATGTAACCGTGATGTATGAGTGATGTAGTTTGGGAGGGGTGTAACATGGGGATTAGCAGCTAATAAAAGTTTTGTTTGGGGCTTCCATCTTGTTCCACCTGGTAGCAGGTGGGAGTCCTGTCGTGACAGTCTTCAATCAAGACCAAGCCGACTGGCTACTGTTTTGCTCTGGGATTCCTGGCTGGTGTAGAGCCAGTGTGGTGTAGTGGTTAAGAGCGGTAGCCTCCTAATCTGGGGAACCGGGTTCGCGTCTCCGCTCCTCCACATGCAGCTGCTGGGTGACCTTGGGCCAGTCACACTTCTTTGAAGTCTCTCAGCCCCACTCACCTCACAGAGTGTTTGTGGTGGGGGAGGAAGGGAAAGGAGAATGTTAGCCGCTTTGAGACTCCTTAAAGGGAGTGAAAGGCGGGATATCAAATCCAAACTCTTCTTCTTCTTTTGTCCAAGGGAGCCCTCAGATTTCTCCGTTAACAACAAGAACATCAGAAGAGTCTGGCAGATCAGGCCAATGGCTTCTCTAGTTCAGCATCCAACCAGATGTCTCAAAGGGAGCACAGCAAGCAGGATCCAAGCAGGAGGGCAACTCTCTCCTCCTGCAGCTTCCAGTGTCGCAGGAACCCGCCCCCCCAATCATTCAGTTTGTACAAACTTCACACACACTCACACTCACACACTACATACACTACGCTTCTGTTATAAATTCATAGAAAATCAACCATACATCGGATTTGCACTGTTCCACTTTTATTTTACTCCATGAAGGAAGGACTACAAAATGGGGAAGATTTGATACAGGGCAGCCATAATCCCTTCAGCATACCAGCACATCCACAGGAGCCCTGCCCAGTTGCTATGCCAACCTTGATGGTCCTAGACAGAAGACCATCAAGATCACAAAGAACTTGCATATGGGAGTGGATTCAGCAGGGACTGGAATAAAGGACAATGATCAGCTCTTCCCTCTGGGGGCTGGAAACTGCAAAGTCCCCTCTGTCACCTGGAAAGTACTCATGGGGAGGGGGAAAGGGGGAACCAGCCTGGTGACAGGACACTCAGGTTACCACCACAATTCCTCCCTCAACCCCTCCTTTCTGTGATGTAGCTGTGATGTATCTGAGGGGTGGTCTTAGGTTACACCCCTTCTGTGATGTTTGCATGATGTTTCTGGGGGTGGTCTTGATCTACAGGGTGGCAATTTCAAAAGTCTTTATAAGGCCTTGGACACCATTTTTCTGGGTCTTTCCTCTCTCCTGCAGGTGAGGGAAGCACCCTGTTGCAACAGTTCAATAAAGGCCAAGCCTACAGGCTGCTGTTTTGCTCCAAGTTATCCTGGTTGGTGTCTTTGTTTTGTTCAAGGGAGCCCTCGGATTTTTCCGTTAACACCAGCAACCGTCATTCAGAAACAAAACCTTGTCTTCTTTCCCCAGCTTTGCTCTGAAGAGGTCCAAGGGACAGAGCTCCACCCACAATGGGAGAGCGCCCCAAGGATCTGTGGGATGTGAGCTCATTTCCCTTGAGACATAGAAGAACCTGCCAAGAATGGGCAAAACTCAGAAACTCATGGCTGTGAAGCCTGGACGCAGGATTGATCCCCTCATTTCCACCCTTGTCTTTGTTTCCATCTGGAAATGGGGGAAGGTGGTGTTAAAGTTCAGGCAGGAAAGATCTCTGAGCAGGACAGGGATTCAGAGAGCGGACGGGGACCCTTATTACGGGACCACAACAAAAGATCTCAGATCCAATAAAACACAGATCAGGCAGCTGCACGTCAGCTAACAAAACACAGGGAAGAATTAATAGGGCAGATATTAAAGCAAATTCAGCCACGGTCATAAAACCAAATTGCAGCCTCTATAAACATTTGCCATCTTTGGCCGCATTCCCAAAGCCAAAGGCCAAAAGGAGGAGATGTGGCAGAACGGCCATGCTCCACAGCGGGCGGAAGCAAAGGCTCACTGGCAGAAGGGGGGCTCTTTTGTCACCAAAGTGCCCCCCTCCAGATATACCCAGTGGGCAGGTTCCACCAGCAAAGTTCTGCTGGTTGTGGGGGGGTCAAAACAGGCTTGCTGTGGGATGTCGGTGGAGCCATGGGGGGGCCTGGAAGGAGCTCTGCAGCCGGTGTGGTTAATGCCCTCCCATTCCCCACAATTGCCATTCCCCCAGAAAAGGAAAGCCCTCAGCCCCCTCCATCATGACTGGAGTAAAGGGGAAGACATGCTTGTGTTAACGGAGAAATCTGAGGGCTCCCTTGGACAAAAAAAAAAAACAAGGACACCAGCCAGGAATACCAGAGCAAAACAGCAGCCAGTAGGCTTGGTCTTGATTGAAGACTGTCGCGACAGGACTCCCACCTGCCACCAGGTGGAACAAGATGGAAGCCCCGAACAAAAGAGCCCCCAAACTTTTATTAGCTGCTAATCCCCCACGCTACACCCCCAAGGCTGCATCATAACTACACCATGACTACATCATTGACACATCACAAAGAGGAGGGGTTCAGGGAGGAGTTGTGGTGGTAACCTGAGGGTCTTGTCACCTGGCCGGTTCCTCCTTTCTCCTCCTCATGATTACATTCCTGAGGACAAAGAGGAGTTCACTGTTTCCTGCCCCCAAAGGGAAGGGATGGTCAGTGTCCTTTGTTTCAGTCCGTGCTGAATCCACTTCCATAGGCGGGTCCTTTGTGAGTGGAATGATCTTCTGTCCAGGACCATCAAGGTTGGCATGCCAACTGGGTAGGGCCAGCTGTGGGCTTGGGGGATTATGGCTGCCTTGTGTCAAGTCTTTCCCCTTTGATAGTCCTTCCTAGGACCCTCGTACCTCCGGGACCGCCTCTCCTGGTATGTCCCACAGAGGAACTTACGGTCTTCAAATAAAAACATCCTGAAGGTCCCAGGCCACAGAGAAGTTAGGCTGGCCTCAACTAGAGCCAGGGCTTTTTCGGCTGTGGCCCCAATCTGGTGGAACGCTCTGTCCCAAGAGACTAGGGCCCTGCAGGACTTGACATCTTTCCGCAGGGCCTGCAAGATGGAGCTGTTCTGCCAGGCCTTTGGTCGGGGTTCAGTCTGACTCCCTCTCCCCTTTCATAAGAACTTGCATGAAAGTGGCCTCCCAATTTTTCTCACAGGCCCATATAAGTTCAGCACAAACAGTTGGGCCTGGTGAGCATTTAAGGTTCCCAACCCTAACCTGCGGGTTGCCATCCGATTGGATTTTATTCTGATCCTGATCTGATTTCAGGATGTATTTTAATTGATTGTCTGATTTTATGTTAATGTGCTATACATTTGATGTTAGCTGCTCTGAGCGCAGCTTCGGCTGGGGAGGACGGGATATTATTAAATATTTAAAATTATTATTATTATTATTATTATTATTATTATTATTATTCCTTCATGGTGTAAAATAAAAGTGGAATGGTATGGAACCGATGTATGGCTGATTTTCTATGAATTTATAACAGAGGCGCCGCGTATGTTGTGTGTGAGTGTGTGTGTGTCGTGTTTGTACAAACTGAATGATTGGGGGGGGGGCGTGTTTCCTGCAACCCTTTTGAGCAAGGGCTGTGGAATCCTCTAGGGCAGAGGGCAAGAATTTCCTCCTCCTCCTTCTGAAGGTCAACTGCTCTTCACTGCAGGGCTGTTTTTCCAGGAAGATAATAATAATAATAATAATAATAATAATAATAATAATAATAATAATTTATTTATATCCCGCCCTCCCCAGCCAAAGCCAGGCTCAGGGCGATGAAGATGATGAAGATGAAGATGAAGAAGAGGAAGAGGAAGAGGAAGAGGAAGAAGAAGAAGACGCCTCTGTCTCCCCTGAGAGTAAGTAGCTGAGATGGGCTCACTTGACAAAAAGCATGTCTTCTCCCAGCCGGCTGTTGCAATGGGCACGTGGCTGAAATTAGTTCTTCCCCAAGCGAGATTGCTTCCTTGCAGGGCTCCGACACCATCATTTGCATTCAGGCAAGGAAGGGACGGGAGGCTTTGCATTCCGCTCATCAGCATCCGGATGCTGGCCAAGGACACAGGCAGCCATCTCCTAGGTGGGGCCTGCCGGGGAGACAAGCCACAGCAACAGCGGGCTGGCTGGCTGGGCTTTCACCCTCATGATGGAGATCCCTTCAGACCTACAGAGAAAGGGAACCTTGCGGGGGGGGGCGATCAGTCACCTGCAACCCTTCAAAGCACCTGGCCCCACCCTGTATGTAGGAACATCGGAAGGGCCTGCTCGACGAGGCCAGGATAAGGCATCCTGATCCTGCAGTGGCAAAAGACCACAGGAATCTTGATAGACTGCCTCTGGACCTGGAGGTTCTGTAAGGACACCAGAAGAGCCAGCTGGATTGGGCCAATGGCCCCTTTACACCAGCTTCCTGCCCTCACAGTTGTTGAGCAGAACTTGGCCCCACTGCAGCACCTTGCCAGGTTGGTGGGTCTCTTCGCAGGTTCTGGCCAGGTTTGAAATGCCAAAGAGGAAACTCCTGGCCTGGAGATAAAGCAGCGATGAAGGAAGAAGAGACCTCACTTGCTTGTGCTGAGGAGCAGAAGGGCCATAGCTCAGGGGTAGAGTGTCTGCCTTGGAAGCAGAAGGTTTCAGGTTCAGTCCCTGCTGGTGTCATCTCTAGGTAGGGCTGAGAGAGACAGGGAAAGTGGAAGTGGGAGAACAGTTCTACTGACAGGAGCCTATCTAGGCATTTGTGCATCATATGAGGAATCATAGAAGTGTAGAGCTGGAAGGGATCCCAAGGGTCATCTAGTCCAACCCCCTGCAGTGCAGGAATCACAGCTCAAGGACCCCTGACAGATGGACATCCAGGCTCTGCTTAACAACCTCCTGCAAACCTTAAAATTGTAGTTCTGTAGGAGGATCTGCAGCCAAATCACAGATTGCATGATTGCTAGATAATCACAGACAGGGGACTCTATGATGTCATCTCCTCTGAACTGGGATCAATGCAACTTAATCTGACCTTCTTCCTGTCACTCACACTCTGTGTCTTACCTGCAACGGGGCAGGGTGCCAGTGAGTTCTCCTCCAGAAAGCACACTCCATTTTGAACTGGACTGTGGACTTGCAGAGTTTATTGGCTGCCTGATTTTCAACACTGCAGCTGATGAATCCTGGCAAGACTTTTGATGTGAGTAAACCTTGCATTTTCTTGTTTTACTTAAAAAGCCTGAGAGTGATTTCTTCGTTCAGAGGGAAACATAAAGAGGAGAAGATAGCCCAGGTCCATTGCGGTTAGTAATATGGTGCACTTGGAAGCCATGGGGTGAATAAAAACTGACTCCTTGAAATAAAAATTGTCCAGTCCAAAAATATGGTTCAAAAGCTTTACTAACAGAACTTACTTCAAAACAAGCATAAACCAAATAATGTTACATCCAGATTGATGCATATCATGTGCTGGTCCCAGCACAGCTAGAACCTCTTAGAAATATGAGATAACTTCATCCAGAGCTGAAATTAAAGTGCTGTCTCACCAAACAATCTCCATTAGCCTGAGGCTGATCTCCTTAGAGAGAGAGTTTTGCAGACTTTTCTCTTTGGTTGCTTTCAGAGCAAAGAACAAACTCACACACCCAAAATGGAGACTTGGAACTGAATACCTCATGTGATCTAAGTTAAACACCTCTTGAGAGCTAGCAGAGATACCTTCTCAGCTAATTGTTGAACTGTTAGGCTCTCTGAGAGCTTCTCTTTAACTCAGTGGAAATTCCATGTCATACTGTTTTTAGCAGTACACATACAGACCCATACAGAATTATTTTTCCATTTCAATGTACAATTAATTAAACAATCATACTCAACAAAGTCTGCCTAAGTCTTTTTCGTTCAGCCGCCAAGGAGCAGCCATGGCGGAGCCAAAGGTATTGGTGATGGATGGACGTGGCCACCTGCTGGGTCATTTGGCTGCCATTGTGGCTGAGCAAGTCTTGCTGGGGCGCAAAGTGGTAGTCGTGCGATGTGAAGGGATCAACATATCCGGCAACTTCTACTGTAACAAACGGAAGTACCTTGCTTTCCTGCGTAAGCGTATGAACACCAACCTGTCCCGTGGTCCTTACCACTTCCGTGCCTCTAGCTGGATCGTCTGGAGGACAGTGCGAGGAATGCTCCCACGCAAGACCAGATGGGGTCAGGCTGCCTTGGAGAGGCTGAAGGTCTTTGATGGCATCCCTCCTCCTTATGATAAGCACAAGAGGATGGTGGTCCCTGCAGCTCTGAAAGTGGTCCGCCTCAAGCCCACACGCAAGTTTGCCTATTTGGGTCACCTTGCCCATGAGGTTGGGTGGAAGTACCAAGCCATCTCAGCTACCCTGGAGGAGAAGGCAAAGGCCAAGATTCATTACACAAAGAAGAATGTGTACAATAGAAGAATGTGTACATAGAAGGATGTGTACAAAAAATGGAAAAGGGGGGAAACCACCAAAGAGGAATTCAAACAAATAGCCAGCACGTGTAGACACAAAGTCAGAAAAGCTAAAGCACAGAATGAACTCAGGCTTGCTAGAGAGGTTAAAAGCAACAAAAAAGGCTTTTATGGGTATGTTCGTAGCAAAAGGAAGAACAAAGAAACAGTGGGGTCACTCAGAGGAGAAGATGGTGAAATGCAAACAGGGGACACAGAAAGGGCTGAACTCCTCAATGCCTTCTTTGCCTCAGTCTTCGCCGATAAAGAAAACAATGCCCGACCTGAAGAATTTGGAGCAAATGATTCAGCAGAGGAAACACAGCCCAGAATAACTAAGGAGATAGTACAAGAATACTTGGCTAGTTTAGATGTATTCAAGTCTCCAGGGCCAGATGAACTGCATCCAAGAGTATTAAAAGAACTGGCAGATGTGATCTCAGAACCACTGGCAGTCATCTTTGAGAATTCCTGGAGAACAGGCGAAGTCCCGGCAGACTGGAGGAGGGCAAATGTTGTCCCTATTTTCAAAAAGGGGGAAAGAGAGGAAATGTAAAGAAACTGAAGGTACATTTTTTCACCTTTGGTGGACGTGCCCAAAGATTAAGGTTTTCTGGGAAATGATATATAATGAATTAAAAAAGGTATTTAAGTATACCTTCCCCAAGAAACCAGAGGCCTTTCTCCTGGGCATAGTGGGCCAAATGGTGTTAAAAAAGGATAGAACTTTCTTTATGTATGCAACAACAGCAGCAAGAATACTCATCGCAAAGTATTGGAAGACGCAAGAACTTCCACCGCTGGAGGAATGGCAGATGAAACTTATGGACTATATGGAATTGGCGGAAATGACTGGCAGAATCCGTGACCAGGGAGAAGAGTCGATGGAGGAAGATTGGAAGAAATTCAAAGACTATCTTCAGAAACACTGCAAAATTAAGGAATGTTAGAGTGATGTTGGATTGAAAATAAGTGGTTTCCAGCTGTACAGGTTAAAGCTAAGGATAGATTAAGATTAAAGATTAAGATTAAAGATGTTTAAAGAAATGGAAATTTGATAATAAAAGGGAAAAATTTAAAGGTATATGACATTAAGAACAAGGATTATGTTTAAAAAGCTGAAGCTATATAGTTTAATATTTCATTAAATTAAAGATTGGGTTTAAAAAGTGGAAAAGAAACTGCTGGACAAATAATGTAGATTGGAATACAAAAGAGGGAGGTATGAGGAAGTCCAGAAAATAAGTAATTCAAAATTGGGAATGTAAAAGAGAGTTTGTTTTAAATTGTTATGTTGTGTGTTTCTATTGTTAAATTTTGTATTTTTTTTTGTGTGTTGCTTTTTCTTTTTTCTTTGTTTAAAACTTTAATAAAAATTATTTTTTTAAAAAAAAAAAAAAGGGGGGGAAAGAGAGGACCCAAATAATTACCGCCCAGTCAGTCTGACATCAATACCAGGGAAGATTCTGGAGCAGATCATTAAGCAAACAGTCTGTGAGCACCTAGAAAGGAATGCTGTGATCACCAATAGTCAGCATGGATTTCTGAAAAATAAGTCATGTCAGACTAACCTGATCTTGTTTTTTGACAGAATTACAAGCCTGGTAGATGAAGGGAACGCAGTGGATGTAGCCTACCTTGATTTCAGCAAGGCATTTGACAAGGTGCCCCATGATATTCTTGTAAAGAAGCTGGTAAAATGCGGTCTTGACTATGCTACCACTCAGTGGATTTGTAACTGGCTGACTGACCGAACCCAAAGGGTGCTCATCAATGGTTCCTCTTCATCCTGGAGAAGAGTGACTAGTGGGGTGCCACAGGGTTCTGTCTTGGGCCCGGTCTTATTCAACATCTTTATCAACGACTTGGATGATGGACTCAAGGGCATCCTGATCAAATTTGCAGATGACACCAAACTGGGAGGGGTGGCTAACACCCCAGAGGACAGGATCACACTTCAAAACGACCTTGACAGATTAGAGAACTGGGCCAAAACAAACAAGATGAATTTTAACAGGGAGAAATGTAAAGTATTGCACTTGGGCAAAAAAATGAGAGGCACAAATACAAGATGGGGACACCTGGCTTGAGAGCAGTACATGTGAAAAGGATCTAGGAGTCTTGGTTGACCAAAAACTTGACATGAGCCAACAGTGTGACGCGGCAGCTAAAAAGCCAATGCAATTCTGGGCTGCATCAATAGGAGTATAGCATCTAGATCAAGGGAAGTAATAGTGCCACTGTCTTCTGCTCTGGTCAGACCTCACCTGGAGTACTGTGTCCAGTTCTGGGCACCACAGTTCAAGAAGGACACTGACAAACTGGAACGTGTCCAGAGGAGGGCAACCAAAATGGTCAAAGGCCTGGAAACGATGCCTTATGAGGAAAGGCTAAGGGAGCTGGGCATGTTTAGCCTGGAGAAGAGGAGGTTAAGGGGTGATATGATAGCCATGTTCAAATATATAAAAGGATGTCACATAGATGAGGGAGAAAGGTTGTTTTCTGCTGCTCCAGAGAAGCGGACACGGAGCAATGGATCCAAACTACAAGAAAGAAGATTCCACCTAAACATTAGGAAGAACTTCCTGACAGTAAGAGCTGTTTGACAGTGGAATTTGCTGCCAAGGAGTGTGGTGGAGTCTCCTTCTTTGGAGGTCTTTAAGCAGAGGCTTGACAACCATATGTCAGGAGTGCTCTGATGGTGTTTCCTGCTTGGCAGGGGGTTGGACTCGATGGCCCTTGTGGTCTCTTCCAACTCTATGATTCTATGATTCTATGATTCTATGATTCTAAGAAGCAACTGAAGAAACTCCAAAAGCAGGCAGAGAAAAATGTGGAGGGCAAGACTGCAGAATATACAGACATCTTGAAGCATTACGGCATTCCGGTTTAAATAAAACTATTCACAATAAAAAAAACAACAAAGTCTGCCTAAAGCATCCTTGGATATCATACTTATTCTAGAGGGTTTTGCAACCTTGTCCCAAAAGCTTCTGGAGTTCAGCTGCGTACAAATAGTGATACTGATCTGCCGAAATAGGTATTTGCATTCTCACAAATGCAAAGAGGAAGCGTCATTCCTAAATAAAACACCCTCTCCTACTCATCTAATTCCCTCCAACAAGTTAGAAGGGACCCCCCCCCCCGGACAATCTGGTCCAGTGCTACAGGTATCGCAGAGGTTGTGCGTGAATCTTGGGGGTGAAGGAGGCGGGGAGGGGGGGCGCTTCTGCCTGGTGCTGCAGCAGCAGCAAAGGAGCTCCAAGAAGCCGTTTAACCAAGGCTGCCTTCTGTCACTTCTGGCCTCTGTGTTGCAGTTAATTGAGCCGTGTGAGGGACAGGTGGCGGGGGGGGGGGACTGTGCTGAGGAGGCTGGTGGAGAGGCTTTCTAACCTGGTGCAGTGGAAAGGGAAGAACATCTGGGCAGCTGTTCATCAAGTGGCTTGTAAGGGATGATTCAATTCACCCTTTCCAAGGTGCTGCTGGAGGGGGGTCCCGGTGTTAGGATATAGTTCCGTTCCACCTTAAAAGGAACAGGCATGACTGTTGTGTGTCACATGCCTGTTTACTTCCAGCACAGTCTGCTGGGATCTTCCATTTTGTATATTGCTTTTGCTACTGCTGTATTGCTTGGACACGAAGGGAAGCAGACATGGCTTTTTCCTTTGTTCCTGAACTATGCTGAATAAACGCCTGTAAATAATGCTTACACATGTCTCTGTCCGGGACGCAGGTGGCGCTGTGGGTTAAACCACAGAGCCTAGGACTTGCCGATCAGAAGGTTGGCGGTTCGAATCCCCACAACGGGGTGAGCTCCCATTGCTCGGTCCCTGCTCTTGCCAACCTAGCAGTTTGAAAGCACGTCAAAGTGCAAGTAGATAAATAGGTACCGCTCCGGCGGGAAGGTAAATGGCATTTCCGTGCACTGCTCTGGTTCGCCAGAAGCGGCTTAGTCATGCTGGCCACATGATCCGGAAGCTGTACGCCGGCTCCCTCGGCCAAAAAGCGAGATGAGTGCCACAACCCCAGAGTTGGCCACGACTGGACCTAATGGTCAGGGGCCCCTTTACCTTTTATGTCTCTGTCCACCACTTCCGTTGTGAGAAGTTACTCACTCTGCTGATTAGAGCATGCCAAGTCTCTAAAGGTCTCTGAGTTTTGTGTCGCTGATTGATGCTGTTCTGACTACCGGAGTTTGCCCGGCTGCTAGCCGGTGGCTGGAGCCAGCTGGGGGCCTGCCAAATACCCCCGTCTCCCCAGACACATCCCAACACCCAGCCCCTGATTTCAGGGACTGGGCAGAGGAGGAATGGTGGAGACTACCTCTCCATCCTGACCCTTCCAGGGAGGAGCAAGAGGAAGACAGTATAGATTTACAACAGGGGGTTGAGGGAGGTCGCAGCTCAGAGGCAGATGGGGGGAAAGCGGGGGAATCGTGGGTGAGCCAGAAGAACAACCGCCTGACATGTTGTCAATAGAAAGCATCCCAGACCCTCCATCTCCCAGGACCCGGTGAGCCTTAAAAGTAGGAGAGCAAAGAGCTCAAAGACAGAGGGCACGTAGCAGCACCCGTAGAGGAGGCGATGGCGACGAATGAAGAAGCTGTTGGAGAGATGGGCAGGTGGAGAGTCACTCGGGACAACGCCATTATCCAAGAGGCTGGGTTCTATAGCCTCTCTCTGTAAAGACTGAAATAAAAAAAAGGACTGTAAGAAACTTTTTCTCGTCTTTATAATTGCCTGGGCAACCAGCCGGGAGACGCTGACAGCATCCTGACACCCGCTAACTCCCTGTGTTTGTCTGGAAAGCCTCCCAGGAGGGGAGGGGAGGGGAGGGGGGCCTGCGCGCTCTGATTGCTCTCAATCATCCTGCCACTGATGGATCACATGGCAGTGGGGAGGAGGGCTCCCTCCCTCCGCCTCTTCACATTTTATCCCATCTCCATAGAACAGAAACACACACTCGCTTCATGAGTTCTGCATAGACCAGGGGTAGGCAGACTCAGGCCCGGGGGCCGGATCTGGCCCTATCGCCTTCTCAATCTGGCCGGCAGACGGTCTGGGAATCAGCCTGTTTTTACATGAGTAGAATGTGTTCTTTTGTTTAAAATGTATCTTTGGGTTATTTGTGGGGCATAGGAATTCATTGCTTTTTTTAAAAAATACAGTGCCTCTCCATTCTTAAGGAAATCAGCCCTGAGCACTCACTGGAAGGACAGATCCTGAAGCTGAGGCTCCAAGACTTTGGCCACCTCATGAGAAGAGAAGACTCCGTGGGAAAGACCCTGATGTTGGGAAAGATGGAGGGCCCAAGGAGAAGGGGACGACAGAGGACAGGATGGTTGGACAGTGTTCTCGAAGCTACCAGCATGAGTTTGACCAAACTGCGGGAGGCAGTGGAAGACAGGAGGGCCTGGCGTGCTCTGGTCCAGGGGGTCACAAAGAGGCGGACACGACTCAACGACTAAACAACAACAACAAAAACCTCTGGATGCAAATGGGATCCGTTCCGGAGCCCCATTCACATCCTGAAGCAAACGCATTTTGCCGCTACTGCGCATGCGCGTGACATCATTTTGTGCATCTGCACATGCGCAGGTGGCGAAACACGGAAGTAACACGCTCCGTTACTTCCGGGTCGCCACGGAGTGCAACCCGAAAACACTCAACCCAAAGCTACTGCAACCCGAGGTATGACTGTAGTCCAGCCCCCCACAAGGTCTGAGGGACAGTGGACCGGCCCCCTGCTGAAAAGGTTTGCTGACCCCTGGCATAGACGCATAGGATTGCAGTGCAGGAATCATGCTGAACCAGAGCCTTGCTCTGCTGAGCTCACTAAGTACACCAGAAGAGCCGGCTGGATGAAGCATCGTCTTCACACAGGGGCCGACCAGGTGCCCCTCCTGAGAAACCCACAAGCAGGATCGGGGCACAAGAGCAACTCTCCCCTCCTGAGGTTTCCAGCAACTGGGATCCAGAAGCGTCGCTGTCTCCAGCCGTGGAGACAGAGTGAACCCCCTCAAAAGGTGTTGCAGGAAAACCCCCCCCATCATTCAGTTTCTACAAACACGACACACACACACTCACACACGACATACACGACGTTTCTGTTATAAATTCATAGAAAATCAGCCATACATCAGATCTGTACGGTTCCACTTTTATTCTACACCATGAAGGAAGGACTATCAAAGGGGGGAGACTTGACACAAGGCAGCCAACACCTCCCAGCGAGCCCTACCCAGTTGGCATGGCAACCTTGATGGTCCTAGACAGAAGATCATTCCACTCACAAAGGACCTGCATATGGAAGTGGATTCAGTATAAACTGAAACAAAGGACAGTGACTAGCCCTTCCCTCTGGGGGCAGGAAACAGTGAACTCCTCTTTGTCCTCTGGAAAGTACTTATGGGGAGGGGGAAAGGGGGAACCGGCCAGGTGACAAGATCCTCAGGTTACCACCACAACTCCTCCTTGAACCCCTCCTCTTAGTGATGTGTCAATGATGTAGTCATGATGTAGTCTTGGGGGTGTATGATAAAAGTTTGGGGGCTCTTTTGTTCTGGGCTTCCATCTTGTTCCACCTGGTGGCAGGTGGGAGTCCTGTCGAGACAGTCTTCAATCAAGACCAAGCCTACTGTCTGCTGTTTTGCTCTGGTATTCCTGGCTGGGGTCCTTGTTTTTTGTCCAAGGGAGCCCTCAGATTTCTCTGTTAACAAGGTGGTGGACTCCCTTTCCTTGGGGTTGGACTAAATGACCCTTGGGGGTCCCTTCCAACTCCACCATTCTATGACGCTATGGATCCTGCCGTGTGTGTGTGTGTCCACCGGCAGAGGAGCGCCTGGGAGACGGGGCTCTCGCTGGAGGCAAACCTGTCCGTGTGAGCAATGCGCTTCCTTGCTGGGGGTCCCCCAACCTTTCCCTCCCAGCCTGGCAAGCAGGGAGAGGGGTCACTGTGGAGCGCAGGGCCCCATTTGCCGGGCCAGGCCTGGCACACCCCACTTCTGCGACCCCCAGTGGGGCCCAGGGAATAAGCGGCTATTTTTACCCTTTCTCCAGAACCTCCTATGCCGTCTCTGCTGCTCAGAAGGCGGGGAGGAGCGGCGGAAGAGGAGGCCAGCTGTCCTCCCCTTGAAACCCTGACGGGCTTTTTGCCGCATGGAAGACGCTGTCCACAACTCGATGCCAAGACGCCTGCCTTTCAGTTGGCGGAGGAAGAAGACGCTGCCTCGTCTGAAGCGCAGGCTTTTCCTTCTTATCCCTTGACCGACTCCCAAGGTCTCAGCCCTGCCCCCCCTACAGCCCCCCCCCCCATTTGCATCTCAGCATTTGGCCTGCTGGGTTTAGCCGCCTCGTTTTTTGCAAAGGGCTTGTAAAAGTGCAGGAGGTGGCAAAACCTCTCCATAAAGTGCCCAGATGGAAAGGGGGGGGGGGAATCTAAAGAAGCAGATGGCGTTTTTATAGCTCGGTGTTTATGGAGCTGTAGGAGTTTTGCACAGAGGGGTCTCCCGCTGGGGGCTGAGGGGGGGGCTTAAGAACAGACCGCCTGTTTGTGGGGAGGGGGGCTGGGCAGGATGGCTTTGTTTCAAGGCTCTGAGTGTCAGAATGTGCCGTCCCAAAGTTTGTGGGGAGGGCCTGAGGCTCCCCAGTCTCCAGAAATCCCTGCCATGAACAGAACTGGGAAAGGATTCCTGGCAGGCGTGAGGATGGGCACAGTGGCTTCTGGAGAGCAGAGAGAGCGACTCAGCCTGACCAGCCGCCAGAAGAGGCTCTTTTAACTGTTAAAACCAGGAATGGGGGGGGGGGAGGCAGTTAATCACTCCTCAAAAATCCCAAGTCCCCACCACAGCCTCGAACTAAGGTCAGGACAATTACCGTTGGCACAGGCACCACACATGCACAACAGCAAAGCGGCTCAGAAAAGCAGTCTATAAAATTGTAGCAATAACCGGATATCATGAATCGTGCTGCTTCCTCTGACCATCCAATATAGAAAACTGTAGAAGCTTCACATAAGTGCCAAAATTCAACAGTTTGACCGATTTCCTTGGTTCCAACGGCTTATGACTCCTCTGGAAGAGAGTAACCCCTCTTCCTGTTTCCTGCTTGGCAGGGGGTTGGACTCGATGGCCCTTGTGGTCTCTTCCAGCTCTATGATTCTATGATTCTATAACCCAGGGCTCCCCCCCCCACTCCATCATCCCTCAAGCATAAGGAAACATACTCCTTCCCCCTCCACAAGGTGGGAACTTAGCCACACAATAGGAGGCAGGAGGCGATCCAGGGCAGCACTTACTCCGACAGACATCCATGGCGATGGTGGATTGAATCCTGATACTTTCAAAGGAGAAGCGCAGGAAAGCCTTGCAGCCGGGGGGATGTGTCAGTACTTCTACTGGGTAGTTAAAAGGTGTGGGAAACGGGTTATTGACAGGGGTGGGTGGTGGGCTCATGTTTCTACATGCCAAACACTCCTACATTGTGACATATTTGTGATGCATCGATGACGCTGTTGAAAAATGTACTATGGGAAATGGGGAGAGGTCTTAAAAGTTCACGCAAGCCCATGCTTGGGGTTCCTACTCTTTGTGTGTTTGAACCTTGCTGCAGCAAATAAAGATCAGGTCTACTGACCACTGTTTGCTTCTTTAACTTGGCTGGAGACTCCTTTTTTTGCTGGGGAGTGGCACCCCAATGAGCTGGGCAGTGGAGTAAATCAGTACCCTAGGATTTTTCCTTATCAGGTGAGGAGCTGAACTTCTCACTCACCAAACTGGGAGAGGCAGCGAATGCAGAAGACTGAACAGGATTCAAGAAGACCTCCAAAGATTGGAGAACTGGGCCAAAACCAGGGGTGCCAAATTGAATAAAAATATGGGTGGGGGCAGGTAAGCCCCCCTCCCCCGCTGCATAATCGATCACATGACATGGCATACACAAACCATTTGAATGGCAATGTCTATCAACTCTGAGGGGACCAGCCCCCTCAAATATTTTATTGCGGGGGGCAAAGGGGCCTGAGTCCCTATGGCTCCTATGGCCAAAACTAAAAATATGAATTTCAGTAGGGACAACTGTAAAGTTCTGCACTTAGGCAGAAGAAACCAGCTGCACCAATATAGGATGGGGGGCACCTGGCTCACTAGCAGGACATGTGGAAAGGATCTGGGGTCTTGGTGGACCACAAGCTGAAGATGAGTCCACAGGGTGAGGCAGCAGCAAAAAAAGCCCAAATACTAGAAGTCTAGTGTCCAGATCAAGGGAAGTAAGAGTCCCACTCTATTCTGCCTTGGTCAGACCACACCTGGAACACTGTGTCCAGTTCTGGGCATCACAATTTAAGAAGGATGTTGACAAGCTGGAAGGTGGGCAGAGGAGGGCGACCAAGATGATCCAGGGTCTGGAAACCAAGCCTGATGAGGAATGGTTGAAGGAGCTTGGATATGTTCAGCCTGGACATGAAAGCCATCTTCAGATACCAAAAGGGCTGCTGTATGGAGCAAGCTTGTTTTCTGCTGCTCCAGATAGGAGATCCTAAATCCATGGATTCAAATGATAAGGAGTTTTTGACTAAATATTAGGATCAGGTTTCTGATGTTTTAGCTGTGATTCCTGCATTGCAGGGGGTTGGGCTAGATGACCGTTGGGGTCCCCCAGCTCTACAGTTCTATGATCCTATCATTTATTTCCTCCCCCTCCCCCCACTCTCTATCTGAGCTGGCAGCCACTGATGACCCCCAGAAGCTCCACAGCAGGGGTCTGGATGTAGTCTAGGTGAGTGAAGTAGAGAACCCGCCTTCCTGCTCTTCCCAGGGATATTTGTCTGCAGTGACAACCCAGATGATCAAGACCGAGCCTGTCTTTTCTATTTAGAAATTTAGAGATTAGACAACTCTCATTCCTGTTCTGGTTGCTGCATTTGTGGGTTTCTGTGGGTCAGATTTCTGAGTTTAGGATTATCACGACCTGACAGCAGGTTTTGGTGGTTGCGAAAAGGTTCAGCTTTAGCACAAACCTTTGGGAGCCTCGTGGCTCTTTCATTACCTAATTTTTGTTTTTTTAAGAAAGGAGATTGCAGATTCACAAAGTGTGAATTATTAAACTGCAAATTCCCAGATTATGAATTGCAGATTGTGAAAAGCAAAACAAGCAAATTAGTCAGAGGCAGGGAAGGTGACTGAGATTCTTGAAGGCCATAAATTTGGATTCAAGTATTTGCCAGAGGAAACAAGCATGCCTCTTTGATTCATGAATTTGAAAACCCTTGATTATTTCAGCTCAACTTTGGAAAGATGGTTTTTGCTCACAGCTCCTCAGGGGAGTGGAAACCACTTTGCATAACGCATTCAAGTCCAAGAGTAATGAGCTCAGTGGGTTCTGGAGAGCAGGAACAGGGACTCAGCCCCAGTTGCCAGCAGAGTTTATTTGAGGTGGGGAGCAGGGCTTCTCATTCATGAAGCTGGGAGGGGCAGCCAGCAGTACTTATGGCATACTAGCAGTAATTGTGGAAAAGATCTAGGCATAGCTGTCAACGTTTCCCTTTTTTAAAGGGAAATTCCCTTATTCCAAATAGGATTCCTCGCAAGAAAAGGGAAAAGTTGACAGCTATGCTCTGTCTTGGTGGGACACAAACTTAACAGGAGACACCAGTGTGTTGCAGCAGCAAAAAACATGAATGCTATTCTAGGCTGCATGAAGTCTAGTGTCCCAATCAAGGGAAGTCAGAGTAACACTCTCTTCTGCCTTGGTCAGACCACACCATGTCTGAGTGCCTCCACACACACACACACCCCGAGCTTTCCCCACAAAAACCTGCCTTTTAAAGCTCAATCAGAGCAAATGGTAATCAATACACAGGAAATCTACATTGACGTTGGCTCTGATTGAGCATTAAAGAGTGTTTTCCGCAGGGGAACCTCCGGGGCAAAGAAGCAACGCTTGGACATGGTGCATTTGAGCTCGGACCAGTGCCTGGAAAGAGCAGGGCAAAAGTGCTGACCTTGAAAGCCCTAAACGGCCTCAACGGTCCAGTAGACCTGAAGGAGCATCTCCACCCCCATCGTTCTGCCTGGACACTTAGGTCCAGCGCCAAGGGCCTTCTGGCGGTTCCCTCATTGCAAGAAGTGAAGCTACAGGGAACGAGGCAGAGGGCCTTCTTGGTGGTGGCGCCTGCCCTGTGGAATGCCCTCCCACCAGATGTCAAGGAAATCAACGACTATCTGACATTTAGAAGACATCTGAAGGCAGCCTTGTTTAGGGAAGCTTTTAATGACTGATGTTCTAATGTATTTTTAATCTTCCGTTGGAAGCCACCCAGAGTGGCTGGGATATAAGTAATAAAGGAGTAGTAGTATTGTGGCTAAGCCCTGAGATGTGATATGATAGCCATCTCCCAATATCTGAAGGGCTTTCACATGGAAGACAGAGCAGCCTTTCTTCACGGTCTGCTCCCCATCCTGGGCTGAACAGCCTCAGGAACAACCATATGTCAGGAGTGCTCTGATGGTGTTTCCTGCTTGGCAGGGGGTTGGACTCGATGGCCCTTGTGGTCTCTTCCAACTCCATGATTCTATGATTCTATGATTCTATGATTCTATGAATATCTCTGACAGCTGTTCTGCAAATACAGGAGCGACATCTCCTATCTCTGCTCTGCGTAACTGGACCAAATCAGCATCGGATCTCTTGGTCCAATGGCGCTTCCATTGCTTGCTCTGGGTTAATTGTTTGGCTGGCTCCCTTTTGGCTTGGGTCTCGCCCTTCCTCGCTGGGTCCCCCTTGTTCTGCCATTCTAGCGCTCCATCGTCATCCTTTCTGTTTCTAATAATTTGTGAGGCATTCTGGGAAACCCTGGGGAGCTGAGGAGCGCCGTAGAAACTTAGGTATAAATAAAATAAATAACCCAAAGAAGCATTGCCAAGGGAGGATAATGGTTTGCTTTCTGAAGCTACTGTTTAATGTTTTTTGGAATACACTGTGCTGGGTCCGTGCCCCCCCCCGCAACATCTGTAGGAGGGCAACTAGGAAAACGGAACATGAGAGAACTGGGCACAGAAAGGCCTGGTGCTGGGCAGAGCACTCTGTGCCCAACGGGGAAGAGCAGAAGACCTGGCACCGTGATGATAATGATGAAGATGATGGTGATGATGATGAAGATGATGATGATGGTAATAATAATAATAATAATAATAATAATAATAATAATATATTTATATCCTGTCCATCTGGCTGGGTTTCCCCAGCCACTCTGGGTGTCTTCCAACAAAGTATTAAAATACAGTGATCTGTTAAACATTAAAAGCTTCCCTAATCAGGGCTGCCTTGAGATGTCTTCTAAAAGTCTGGTAGTTGTTCTTCTCTTTGACATCTGGTGAGAGGATGTTCCACAGGGTGGGTGCCACCACTGAGAAGGCCCTCTGCCTGGTTCCCTGTAACTTGGCTTCTCGCAGTGAGGGAACTGCCAGAAGGCCCTCGGAGCTGGACCTCAGTGTCCGGGTAGAACGATGGGGGTGGAGACGCTCCTTCAGGTATACCGTATGATGGGTTCATACAGCTTTAGAGTTGGAAGGGACCCTAGGGTCATCTAGTCCAACCCCTGCAATGCAGGAATCACAGCTCAAGAATCCCTGACAGATGACTATCGACCTAAAAGCCTCCAAGGAAGGAGAGTCCACCACCTCCCAAGGGCGTCTGTTCTACAGCTCTTTCCTTCAGAAGGTTCTTCTTGGTGTTTAGTCCGAACCCCCTTTCTTGCAACTTGAAGCCATGTATTCGAGTCCTGCCCTCCGGTGCAGGAGAAAACAAGCTTGCTCCTGCCTGTGGGCTTTCCTGGCTGGCCACAATGCTGTTAACGGAGAAATCTGAGAGCTTCCTTGGACAAAAAAAAAAAAAACAAGGACACCAGCCAGGAATACCAGAGCAAAACAGCAGCCAGTAGGCTTGGTCTTGATTGAAGACTGTCGCCACAGGACTCCCACCTGCCACCAGGTAGAACAAGATGGAAGCCCTAAACAAAAGTAGACCCCAAACTTTTATTAGCTGCTAATCCCCCACGCTACACCCCCAAGACTACATCATAACTACATCATGACTACATCATTGACACATCACAAAGAGGAGGGGTTCAGGGAGGAGTTGTGGTGGTAACCTGAGTGTCTTGCCACCTGTCCGGTTCCTCCTTTCTCCTTCCCATGATTACATTCCTGAGGACAAAGAGGAGTTCACTGTTTCCTGCCCCCAGAGGGAAGGGCTGGTCACTGTCCTGTGTTTCAGTCGTACTGAATCCACTTCCATATGCAGGCCCTTTGTGAGTGGAATGATCTTCTGTCTAGGACCATCAAGGTTGGCATGCCAACTGGGTAGGGCTCCCTGCGGACGTGTTGGCTGCCTTGTGTCAAGTCTCCCCCCTTTGATAGTCCTTCCTTCATGGTGTAAAATAAAAGTGGAACACTAGAGATCCGATGTACAGCTGATTTTCTATGAATTTATAACAGAAACGTCGCGTATGTCATGTGTGTGTGTGAGTGTGTGTGTTGTACAAACTGAATGATTGGGGGGGGTGTTTCCTGCAACAATGGGAAACAGGATCCTGGAACTGACGGCCGCCGTTTGGCCTGATCCATCTGCTGCTTTGGGGCTCTTCTGGGGCTCTTAGAATCATGGGCTTGACTCCTTCCAATTCTTCCTTGAGGCAGCCGCTCCAGCCATCCAGACAAGGATTCTCTTCCACAGAAACCCACCTGCCCCACCTGACCAGACCCATGTTGGTTGCCTCCAGGTCTCCCCATCACCCAGACATTTGCCCCTCTGCCTCCCACCATCCCTGGATCCCTCTTCTCTCTCTTGCACCCAGCCAGTGCCCCCTCCCATTTCTCCACCACCCCACAGCAAGAAGCAGGCTCAGCACCTCCTCCTGGGAGAGACGGTCAGCCTGTCACTGGCTCAGGGTGTCACAAAGTGGGCAGCTTTGGCTCTTTGGCCTTGAGGGGAACCCCTTTCTGAAGGAGGCTCACATCTTCAGGCAGCCCCTGTTGCTTGTTGTCCAAAACAATGTTACTGGATATTTTTGATGAGACCAAGAGAGATGCATTGTCGAAAGAACCAGTCTTTACACATTTTCACCTGCCACTCCAACCTCCAGAGGGTTCCAGGCACTTTACTCAGCGGTGGTGTTCCCTTTTGGGAGCGAGGCTCAGCGGAGACTGTGGTGTCTTTAGCATATATGGTTTATTTACACAGATATACAGCTTGAGCCTAGGATGGAAGGGCTCACAGCATTAGCACTCTAAGAGAGTCTTGCTTCTCCCATGGCCACAGTCTGGGATGCCAGCAGGAATCAGGCAATGCTATCTGTCCTTCAGCTCCAGCTTCCTGCATTTTACAAATGGACACTTTTCCTCTGCTCTCTCTCTCTCTCTGTCTCCATGGAAGAGTTTCGTGGAAGGAGGGGCTCACACCCATCTGTTGTATCTGCTTTGCTAATCACCCATTACCTTCCTTTTATGCATTACCTTCCTTTTCTTCTTCTTGTAGGCGAGATTCTGAGCACAGAAAAACTGGTTGGGCCTGTGTTTTGACACTGCTAAATTTAGCGCCTGTCAGCCCATCTTCATACTCCAAGCATTGATTAAACTCCAGAAACCACCAGACCCAGGAATTCAGGGGAGTCAAGGCGCCCACAAACTCATAGCAATATGATCTCAGCAGCTCAAATAGTCATAGAATCGTAGAATTGCAAGGGATCCCCAAGAGTCATCTAGTCCAACCCCCAGCAATGCTGGAATCTCAGCTAAAGCATCCATGACAGATGGCCACCCAACCTCTGCTAAGAAACCGCCTGTAGGGGTCAGATGGGATTACCAAGAGGAATTATAAAATATACATCAAGCCATTGTGTCCACGATGAAAGCATTGTGTTGACTGGGTTTGATATATTGACGATAATTTCTGATTAAATCCCATAAGATTCTACATTCGTGTCCTTTCCATGCCCTTTGGCCTCTGCTGCCCATTTCTCCTTGCTTTTCACGAATCACGTACACACTTAGACAGGCAGGCGTCCTGTGTCCTCAAAGACTGGGCAGTTTCGTCTTTGTAGTTTTCTAATAGGTAATCTTAGGATGTTAATCTTAGGGCCAGGAAACAGATCTCACATGAAGGTGATAATGATCCGCTGTCCTCCTGGCCATCCTCCTTATCATGTGTATTGCTTGTTTATTACCTCCGGGGTTGCCAGATGCTCCCCTTTGTAGTTCTCAACTTATTTACCCCCAAAGTATGCATGGATAACTAGTGTTTATAGATTAGCTTTCTCCCCACCTGGGTTTGTGGAAATGCTCAGAAGAAATCTGATTGGTTCTTACAAACACTCTGTAAAAAGCTCTTTTGTGAATAAAAACTACCTGGGCGAGGGGGCTGCAAACGGACAAGCACAGAGAGACACAATTATACGCACCCTTCCCAGAGTCTTGCTGGTTCAAGCCTCTGTGTGTATTCTTATGAATCAGAGTTCAATCCTTCCTTTACTTTGCAAACGCAACAACCGCCCAGGAAGGAGAGTCCACGGTTCCATCATGGAATAGTCCTTGGTTTGAGTCCTACCCTCTGGAGCAGGAGAAAGCAAGCTTGCTCCTTCTTCAACATGCAAACCTGATAGATCTTCACCTTGTTCTTGGTTGTTAGCATCACATTCTGGAGAGGTGAGTCATTGCCATGGCTGCCTTGCCAATACGCTCGTCCAGCTGAATGTTAATGGAGAGGTTTCTGGTTATGGTGGAACCCAGGCAGACAAAATTGCCCACCACCTCAAGCCTGTGATCACCAGTGCTGAAGCATGGAGTGCTGGCCATGTCCTGGCCCATGATGTCAGGTGGATAGCTAGGCCAAACTCCCTTCAGGCTTGGGCAAAACGGTTGATGAGTCTCTGTAGGCTTCCTTGCATTGCCATGTCAAGGCTGGGTCATCTGCAAACAGCATCTCTTGGATAAGGACCCGCTGCATTTTAGTCTTGGCATGGAGACGTTCCAGGTGGAACAGCCCCCCGTTGCTCCTTGTAGGGAGGTGCAAACCATCTTCAGTCAGGCTGGAGGCACATCAGAGGAACAAGGAGAGCTGGGCCAAGAAGACCCCAGCCCTGTTTCACACCACTCTTTGGAGGGAAGGCGTCCGAGGTTGAGCCGTCATATGGAGGGTGCTGCGCATGTTCTTGTGGGAGGACACCACCATCAACGTGGCGCTTAGGTGGGCATCCTATCTTGTGCTGCAGTGTGAAGAGTCCTTTTCAGCTGACGAAGTCAAAGGCCCTTGTCACATCCAGGAAGGTGATGTCCACCTGATTTCTCTGCTCTCGGCATTTCTCCTGCAGCTGGCGCAGTCAGAAGATCATGTCTACTGTCGACATCTGAGCTCTAAAGCCGTGTTGTGACTCGGGATAGGCCCTGTCAGCGAGGGACTGTAATCTGTTGGGAACTACAGAGGCAAAGGCTTTCCCCATGGCAGCAGAGGAGGAAGGCTCTCGGGGACCTGGGGCAGCATGCCCAGGGGCAGGGCAAACCACCCATAGGGCAGGAGGTGTGGCGCACATAGGGGCGGAATGGGGCACATGGCATCCCATGCTGTCCCTATGAGCGCCCCGGCGCCCCGTCCCTATGGACTCCACATGCCTATTAGAATTCCTGCTCCATGATTGCAGTCATGGGATTTTTGTCTATCACATGATGGCAGTGGCGTAGTGTGGGTTGTCAGCACCCGGGGCAAGGCAAGTAATTTGCGCCCCCTAACTGAGAGAGAGTGAGTGAGCCAGGTGAGTGAGCAGAGAGCTGCGAGTGCGAGCGCGCCCCCCCAGATGTTGCGCCCGGTGTGGCCGGCCCCCCCTGCACCCCCCACGCTACGCCATTGCATGATGGTGTATGTTTTGACTCCCCAGAGTGGGAAGTGACGGAGACAGGATGTTTGTGTTCCTGTGTTCCGTGAAGTGGGACTATTGTCCTTTGTCCTCTCTCTTTGTTGTCTGATGCTAGAGAGAGAGGGAGCCATGTTGCAGTGCTCCGTGTATGTTTATATGCAAATAAAGTAGATTAGCCAAAATGCTGAGTTACTGAGAGTCTGTCATGCATGCTGCGCAAACTCTGCAGATCCCTAAGTGTGCCAATGTCTGTTGGCATCAGTCGCTGTGATGTTCGGGATGAAGAAAGCTTTTGAAGCTCCTGAACAATCGACCAGGAGGGAGAGAACATGCCAGTCGGGCATGTGTCAATGCCAGGGTCCTACTTGAGTGTAGGACGAGCTCCTGACAGTGCCGTCCTGTTCCTATGGACACCACATGCCACAGGGCAAGCAGCACCCATAGGGATGGCACGGGGCGCATGGTGCCCATATGGGACGAGACTGGGCACACAGTGGGGCCTCAGCCTCCCGACAGCTGGGGGGGGAGGTAGCGGGCAGACAGCGTGGAGCCTGTGGGCAACGAGACGCATGGCTCGTGCACACTGCAGGCCGCACGGTGACGAGTGCTGCTCTCCATTTTGTCACCCCCTGTCAGGGTGACACCCGGGGTGGTCCACACCCCCGCACCCCCCTTCATACGCTCCTGCCTCATGGTACTCAGCAGGGATGATCCTGCAGTAGTTGTTTTTGTCGCTTTGCATTTCTTAGTACAGAAAGTATTGATCTGATGTGTAGAGATCTTTCCGATTCTAATAAATTCAAGAGGGTTCTGGAAGCTTCTCTGTTTGAAAGAAGCAAGCAGAAGGTTCCTGATGTTTGGGTTATTCCTTCAGAAAAGCTGAGTACAGCTGGCTTAACCTGGTTCTGTCATCTCTTCTGTCAAGGTCATGCTGACTATAAGAAGAGGCCAGAAGGAGCCTGAGGTTCACTTTCTCTTTCTATCTCTTTTCCTTTTGGTGTTCTGTACATAGTATGCTTAGTGCAAAGGTTTAGTCTTATTATAAGTTATGGCAAGTTTAAGTTAAGTCTGCTGCAAGTGGATTTCTTATGGACAGGGCTAACCTTGAATGTTTTGGATTTGTGACCATTACACTCCTTTGCCTTCAGTAGCAGTAAAGCTCTGCTGGCTGAAATAGAATTGCCTCTGGTCTATTTTTGGGGAATCCTGCAATGTGTTTAAGTTTTTACTCTGCTAACTATATGTCAGAGTTCTGCTCTGGATCAATATTGAGTAGAATTTCATGACCGTTTCAGTCATGGCCGTCACCTTTGTTCTTGGAGAGGGTCACAATGCTGGAATCTTGTGGCTCAGCTTCTTGTTCCCATCACTACAAGAGGCGGCTTTGGAGGTGCGTCGTGAGGGAGGAATTGAAGCTGGCTTTCAGCACTTCTGTTGGGATTGTGTCCTGTCCTGAGACTTTGCCTGAGAGTTGATGGCTCACCAATCTCTTCCCAGACAGGCAGAGTCTGGATGCAGTCAATTGCAGTGTCAGAGACCATGTTTTCCTTCAAATTCAGTTCTTGATAGTGCTTTGCCCATCACTTCGTCTGCTTGCTGCAGTCTGTGATGGTCTCTCCCGACAAGGTTTCCTGACTGCTGGTCCAAAAGCCTTGTGCATTTTGCCAGGGTCAGCAGTGAGTTGGATGCTCTGACACAGCTTTAGCTAGCGGTCCCTGGCATGGCACCTGGCAATCCACTGGGCGTTGCTCCTTGCCTTCCTCAGTGCAGCAAGTGTCTTTTTGCAGGGTGCACGATTGTAGTTCACAAGAGACTCGTGCTTTGCAAGCAATAACAGGCTCCGGGTCCTTTATGCCAGCCTCAAACTACTCGGGGATCTGTTGCTCACTTTTGCCAAAGGAGGACCTAGCTGTGTCGTAGTTCACCTCTTTTGTGTTCACCTTGCTTCAATGATATCTCTGGGACAGTTCAGCATTTGGGATGTGATATGTAAGTAGTAAAGTACAACATTCCTTGTTTTCCTAGAGGGGACATGCAAGGGGATGTTTGGTCCAGCCAGTCAAAAACTTCCTATTTCCTCCTGGCTGGGACATACCGTACTTTCTTTGCATGTGACTAGAGGTGGGCGTGACCGTACCTGTCCAGGTAACAAAAGGAACAGCCACACAGCACTCTTTCTGTTTTTTACTTCCTCTGTCGTTGGAGCAACTTTTCACCCGGTGCTATACCAGCTGCACTGGCTCCCGGTGGGGTACAGGATCAGGTTTAAGGTGCTGGTTTTAACCTTTAAAGCCCTATATGGCCTAGGAACCTCGTACCTCTGGGACCGCCTCTCCTGGTATGTCCCACAGAGGAACTTACGGTCTTCAAATAAAAACATCCTGAAGGTCCCAGGCCACAGAGAAGTTAGGCTGGCCTCAACTAGAGCCAGGGCTTTCTCGGCTGTGGCTCTGATCTGGTGGAACGCTCTGTCCCAAGAGACTAGGGCCCTGCAGGACTTGACATCTTTCCGCAGGGCCTGCAAGACAGAGCTGTTCTGCCAGGCCTTTGGTCGGTGTTCAGTCTGACTCCCCCTCCCCTTTCATAAGAACTTGCATGAAAGTGGCCTCCCAATTTTTCTCACAGGCCCATATAAGTTCAGCACAAACAGTTGGGCCTGGTGAGCATTTAAGGTCCCCAACCCTAATCTGCGGGTTGCCATCTGATTGGATTTTATTCTGATCCTGATTTGAGGATGTATTTTAATTGATTGATTTTATGTTAATGTGTTATACATTTGATGTTAGCCGCTCTGAGCCCAGCTTCGGCTGGGGAGGGTGGGATATAAATAAAATAAAAAAAATTTATTATTATTATTATTATTATTATTATTATTATTATTTAGCTAGAGATGCTCTGTTGGCTTCCATATTATCCCCATATGGGATAGATCCATATGTATATCCTTTGTAACTAAGTCAGCCTTCAGGGATCCAACTGTGAACTGAGTAAACCTATTTTATATACTTGACACAAGTTTGTGGCGTGTTTATTCTTTTTAGGGGGATATAAGGGAACTTGCCAGGAACTTAACAGTGAGAGGCTTACACAAGCCTGCAACCAGCTGCCTGCTGTGCGTTTAAAAGGGGAATGTGAAACTCTGCTAAGTAAAGGAACTTGCTAGCACAAGTTAGGAAGGATATTAATAAACAATATATCCTCTCCTGCCTCCCTGAACATTCCCACACAGCAGAGCTTTTTCGACAGAATCAGAGAAGCATTCACAAAGTTCAGATATGGCTGTTCTGGCAGTGTTGATTCACGGCTGCACTTTCTGCTCCAGGGAGCAGCTTCAGCTGGCCAGCTAAACCGGGTGAGGGGAACCAATGGGTCTCAACCCCCACGTGCATTAGGGGCTTCTCCTGCATGCGAAGACAGGCTAAGGTGGATGAAGAAGGCAAGATCAGTTGTGGGTCCAGCGGTGAAGTTGGATGTTTTATTGTGTTTTTAATATCCTGTTGGAAGCTGCCCAGAGTGGACGTGGAATCAGGACTAGATGATGATGATGATGATGATGATGATGAAGAAGAAGAAGAAGAAGGCAGTTTCTGCACAAGCTGTAGGGGGAATTGAGGAGCAGGTGCAGCTTGTCAATCTGGGAAAGTAGATCTAAAAATAAAGACGCAGAAACTAAATAGAAACAGAGCTACAATTGAGAAAATTGCACATAATTTGAGATTTTGACAGGGACTAAACCCCAAGTGCTTTTTATACAATTTGGCATTCCTTTATGACATATACATTCTCCAGACAACCCTCATCGCAAATCTGGCACATCTGGAACCAGACTTGATGAACCAGATAATGCTGAAATTTTTCACCTGGGCTTGGTTATTTTGTGCAACTGGACTCATCCCGTGTCCCCGTTTTATAGTTTGCCTTTCCATCTTTTAATTCTCCTCTTTTTAATTTTTTAATGTACATAAAACAGAGAATACTGTTTTAGATGAAAACTAAAAGATGAAAAACTAAAACTATAAAACCGCCACACAGAATGGGTTAAGGAAACAAGGTGCAGATAAGGCCCATCCACAGAATCAGATGAGCAAGTCTCCTTCCAGGTTTGCGATGAGGCCCGTCTCGGAAAACGAGGCTTCTGCTGTGCCAGCCGTAAAAGAGCGTCAAATTGTATTTTGAAAAAGAGTCTAGAGGTTCTAGTTCTTGCCGAACTCTCAAATTACACATAATCTTCTCAATTATGACCATCTTTTAATTCGTATCTGTTGTTACAATCACTCCCACTGTTTTATACACAGTATATAGAGAGAGAGCCTTTGACTTCCTCCTGCAGCCGCTGAAATGTTCTCCGCAAGAGCAGGAGATGTTGGCTGTGCCCTCGGAGCCTCTGCTCAAAGCTTCTGACCATTGCAGAAGAGAGATAAGAGCTGCTTCCTCCTGATGCTGCTGTTTGGGGTCCCTGGAGGACAACCTTTTCATGCGTCCTCCTGATGCTCAGAGGTGATGCCCTCACCTTGCCGTTCTCTGGGCTCCCACAGAGATAAAGCCAGGGGGCAACGCCCCCTTGTCCTGACAGGATGTGGGTCTCAGGAGGCTTGAAAGGGTGGGCAGCAGGGTCTCCGAGGAGCAAGCAAGAAGCAACCAGCACCTGTCAATTCCTCTTCTCTCTGGCTCCTCATTTTTCTAGCGGCAAATCCTGCTCTCCACACTTTCAGGTAATTTGTCAGCGTTGTCATGCTAATGTCTCCCAATCGATACATTTTGCCTAACAGACACCTTTTTGCAAAGCCCTTCCTCCTCCTGTCGTGCCTCGATTGTGTGCTCTTCTCAGTAATCTATGCATCCCCCCATGCATGTTTCACCCTGGTTGGTGCATTTCTGCGCACAGTCCTGCCCCAGAGAGAGAGACGCATTGCAAAAATCAGATAAATGCCTTGCGCATGGGGGTGGGGGCTGTATTTGGGTTCATTTGGGGGGATTTTGGAAGCACAAGTTTTGGTAAGTTCCTCTTTAAGTACAAACAGAATCAAATGCTCCCCCGCTTAGCACGGTCGGAGCGAAACAATATAAACTGAAAGCATTTGCTGATGACCTTGTACTGACATTACAGGAGCCAGAATCTAGTACGAAAAGAGCATTAGAACTGATTCAAGAGTTTGGTCAGGTGGCAGGTTTTAAGCTGAATAAGTTTAAAACTAAAGTACTTGAGAAGAATTTAACACCGATTGAAAAAGAGAGGTTTCAGAATGAGACAGGTTTAACAGTGGTAATGGACAAACTTGAAGCTTTCCTTGTTAGGTCGAATTGCTGTCATCAAGATGAATGTATTGCCAAGAATGCTGTTTTTGTTTCAAGCGATACAAATAATAGACAAAATGGACTGTTTTAAGAAGTGGCAGAGAGATATTTCTAAGTTTGTCTGGCAGGGCAAGAGGCCCAGGATAAAATTTAAAATATTGACTGATGCTAAAGAAAGAGGGGGATTTGCCCTGCCAGACTTTAAACTTTATTATGAATCAGCAGCTTTCTGCTGGTTGAAGGATTGGTTACTTCTGGAAAATACTGATGTTTTGGATTTAGAAGGTTTCAATAATGTGTTTGGGTGGCATGCATATTTGTGGTATGACAAGGTTAAAGCTCACAAAATATTTAAAAACCATATTGTCAGGAAAGCATTGTTCAATGTCTGGATAAGATATAAAGACTTATTGGAGAATAAAACCCCAAGGTGGCTATCACCAATGGAGGCAAAGGCCCTAAAAAGTCCAATATGGAGGCCAAGTGGCCAAAATATTGGGAGATCTTGGAACAAGAAGGAGATAAATTCAAATTGCAGAGTTTTGAAAAATTAAAAGACAGAGTGCGAGACTGGTTGCATTACTACCAAATAAGAGAGGTCTATAATTTGGATAGAAAAATTGGCTTCCAGGTGGAAAAATCAAAGTTGGAAACAGAACTGTTAGATCCCAAAACTAAAACACTTTCAAGAATGTATAACTTGCTGCTAAAATGGAATACTCAGGATGAAACGGTAAAATCTGCTATGATCAAATGGGCACAGGATGTTGGACACAACATTATGTTTGCTGACTGGGAACGGTTATGGACCACAGGTACGAAGTTTACAGCATGTAATGCTTTAAAAGAGAATATAATGAAAATGGTGTACAGGTGGTACATGACCCCAGTCAAGCTTGCAAAAATCTACCATTTGCCCGATAATAAATGTTGGAAATGTAAGGAAACTGAAGGTACATTCTTTCACCTTTGGTGGACGTGCCCAAAGATTAAGGCCTTCTGGGAAAGGATATATAATGAGTTGAAAAAGGTATTTAAGTATACCTTTCTAAAGAAACCAGAGGCCTTTCTCTTGGGCATTGTTGGCCAATTGGTGCTAAAGAAAGATAGAACTTTCTTTATGTATGCAACAGCAGCAGCAAGGATACTCATCGCAAAGTATTGGAAGACACAAGATTTACCCACTCTGGAAGAATGGCAGATGAAGGTAATCGAGTATATGGAACTGGCGGAGATGACTGGCAGAATCCGTGACCAGGGAGAAGAGTCGGTGGAAGAAGATTGGAAGAAATTTAAAGACTATTTACAGAAATACTATAAAATTAATGAATGTTAAATTGAGGTCTGATTGAAAATAACTGGTATTGGCAAAAGCCTTGTGATTAAGAGCATGGAATATCTGATTGATAAGGTTGTAAAAATATTTATATATAAATAGATTAAGTTTCTTGAGTTAAGATAAAGAAAGGAGGGTAAGGATTTGCTGAAAGGAGTTTTTAAATGGAAATACAAGCGGGGAGATGCGGGGAAGTCAAAGAACTAGGGAAAGATAAGAAGGTTAAATGAAAGTATAATATTTTTTAAATTTTTCTGTTTCTTTTTTTTCTTTTTTTTCTTTTTTCTTTCTTTGTTATGGATATTGTTATCTCTGTTTGCTTTTTGTCATTGTTATTGCTGTTTTTTGTCTGTCGAATTTTTGTATTTTTGCATCTTTTGGAATTTTTCTTTGCAAAATCAATAAATATTATATTAAAAAAAAAAAAACAAATGCTCCCCCGCTTAGCAACCCAATGCCCCTTCCCGGCCCCCAGGGCTTGTCTCAGTCTGTCCCTTCCTGGCCAGTCTCAGGGCTGTGGGAAGGGAGTATTGCAGGCTGCAGAGGGAAGCAGGATGGGGTTGGAGCCAAGAAAGACCTTAAGCCCCCTGGGATGGGGCATTTCCATACCCCCTCAGTTGTCCCGATTTGAGTGGGACATCCCAGAATTACAGAAGCCATCCTATCTTCTGATTGGATCCTGGAAAGACCCGTTTTTTGCATTGCAAAGGGTTGGACTGGATGACCCCGGGGTCCCCAACTCTACAAATCTATGATTCTGGGTAGCCAACATCTCCTCGCCAGGGGTGCAAAGGAACCTAAGTACACCTCTGGGTGGCGGCAGGACTGAGACCTTCGGCTTGCAATGGAGAGCTGGAACGAGGTGTCAACTAAACACGTGGCATGTAGGAATAATGGAGGAGGATGGGAGGTTGGATGCAGGTGAGCTGCGCAGGAGCAAGCTGGCAGGCATGCGCCAAGCAAGCTGCCGGCTAGCTCTGCCAAGGCTCCTTTTATTAGCAGAAGTCAACAATTGGAAACAGTAGTGAAACCACCCTGAACTTAACGTATTTCCATCTACGCACATTTCCAGCGTTAGCAAATACACGTGTCAGCAGGTGTTTCCCTCAGATGTTTTCCCCGATACTTGATTACATCTGCGTCCCCCGTCAGGCTCCAGCCAAGTGTTGTGTCTAGTAACCAAATCTGTGAGAGGACAAACGGTCAGGGGGGAAACCCTGTTTGCTAGCCAAGAAGGCAAAGGGTCAGGGAGCGTGGGCGCAAGGCTCCTTGGCACACTGTGGCATGCCGGCTGCCAGGTGTGCCTCAGCACAGAGGAGCGTTACCTCCACAGTGGCAAATTTGATGCTAGGCGTCCTTAGGAAGGAACTTGAAAACAAAGCAGCCCAGAATCACAAGTCTATGGTGCAACCTGTGGGAATGTTCAGGGATGCAGGAGAGGATATATTGTCTGATTATATCCTTATCCAACTTGTGTTAACAAGTTCCCCAATTTCAGCAGAGTAAAACATTCCCCTTTATTTTAAGTTTGCAACGGCTGTGTTTGCTCAGCCTCGCTAAAGCCTCTATAATAACTATTCTGGTAATTTCCCCTTTATTCCCTCATAAAATAGAAGAGACGACACAGTCTTCTATAAAAGTATAAAAAGAGTTTACTCACATTCTGTTCACAATCAGATCCCAGAAGGCAGACTTAAGCTTAATGAAGTAACATACACTTGGAATCTATCTCTTAAGAAGACAGTCCCTTTGTCCTCTCTTGGCTGGGAGCCAAGGGGGCATCTTTCGCTCAGTAGATGTTGTTCCTCCGATGCATGTGGTGAAAGAGAGAGAGATGGCTGCCCTGTCCTCTGCTTTTGTCATTACCTGCACAGGTGAGGCAACGCCCACCTCTAGTCACATGCAGAGGAAGTCTGCCCCAGCCCAGAGAGAAACAGGAAGTTGACCTGCTGGCTGGACAAACATCCCTCCCCATGTCTAAACATGTTCACTCTAGGAATGTTGTACTTGACTGCTCTTGTGTTTCACATCCCACACAACCACATTTGGAATAACTGTGTCCAGTTCTGGGTGCCTCCCCTCAAAAAAGATAATGCAGAGTTGGAAAGGGTTCAGAAAAAGACCCCACCTCCATGACCCAAGGGGGCAGAGAGAGGCCCACAGGAAGAACAGCTGCAGTGTTTTCAGTCTGGAGCAAAAGGCGAGTGAGAGGCAGCACGGCGGGGGTTTATAAATTTATACCCGACCTGGAGAAAGGGGACAGAGAAAATATTTCCTCCCTCTCTCATAACCTGGAGCTCAGTGGGGACCTCCGATGAAGCTGAATGTTGGAAGGGTCAGGGCAGGGTCAAGGTGTGGAACTCATTGCCACATGAGGCAGGGATGGCTGCTAGCCTGGACGGCTTCGAAAGAGGATTAGACAAATTCATGGAGGAGGAGGAGGCGGAGAGGGCTATGGATGGCTGCTAGCCAGAATAGCTGTGCTCTGCCTCTTCAATTTGAAACAGCAGTGCTTCTGAATCCCAGCTGCTGGAAAATAGGGGGGGGGGGAGTTTCTCCCGTTCTTGACTCCTGTTTGCTGGTTTCCCATCTGGGCATCTACTGAGCCACTGTGAGACCAGGATGCTGGACTAGGTGGGTCCCCTCTGGCCGGATCCAGCAGCCTCTTCCAACCACACAGCCTCTTTCCAGGGTCTGCCTGCTCTGCGTGTTTCGCTGGGCTGAGAGCTTGGCATTCTCGTCAGGGAGCCTCTTCCAGAGACAGGACCGAATTAAGAGATCAGCTCCATTGAGATGCAGGTGCCCGCTGCCTCCAATATACCTGGGCTGAATTCGAAATGAAAGATGACACCTGGGCTTGTTCCGCGTCTTGCCTTTCCTTTTGTAGAAGGGGAAATCAGGGCGAAGTTATTTTCAGGAGCAGGTCCCAAAGGATTAATTGAATTGTCAGGTGGGTCCAATATCAAACCACCTGAGATGGCCTGCCTTGCCAAGGAGGATTCAAAGCAGACAGAAGACGAGTGGGGCATCCCAGCAAACACCGCCGTGGCCCCTTCCTCAGAGGAGAACATCATGTAACATCAAGCGAGCATCTTCTGGGTCAGCTGCCAAAGGGGGCCGCTCTTGTCCAGCCTCCTGCTCTCCCAGTGGCCAAATGCCCCAAAGAGCCCAGGAATCCAGATAGACTGCCTCTGGACCTGGAGGCTCCATAAGAACATAAGAAAAGCCTGGCTGCTGGATCAGGCCAATGGCTCATCTGTTCCAGTGTCCTGTTTTCCCAGTGGCCCACAAGCAGACCCCGGGTTCAAGTGTATTCTCCCATTGTAGTCTGGTATTCAGAGGTAGACTGTCCCTGGACCTGGAGGTTCTGCTCTCACAATGGGCCTCCATAAGAAGAGCTTGGCTGCTGGATGAGGCCAACGGGGACCGACCTTGTCCAGCACCCTCTTATCAGAGGAGCCAGCCAGGTGCCCCTGGGACCTGAGCACACTTTCCCCCACTTGGGACCCCCCAGCAGCTGGTCTTCAGAAGCAGAGCAGAGCCACTGATATCGTTCTCTGTCACTTTGTAAAATCCTCCAGCATCTGGCCGGGAACCACGTTTATCGACTGGAGCCTGAAGTTTGATTTTTGTTTTCATCACATGCTGCCTGAACAAGATTTATGTGGGAGTCTATTTTGGAAATTTCAGTTTTCCAGCAACCTGCCGTCATTGTAACCTGATTTGGTTGAGAGATTGGGGGGGAAGAGGAAGAGAAATTGCTCTTACATAGCATTGATTTACTCAGCAGCCTCGTTGCAAAACCTTCGCAGCGATTTGTTAGGAAAGAGCTGCCAGGGACAAAACATGCAGTCAGGGCGGGAAGAAACCTCACGGCTGCTAATTGCTTCTTCCGCAGCATCTCAGGGTCTTCCCTGGCACCTCTGTCACAAGTGGAGCCTCATGCCAGGAGGACAGAAGAAGCAGAGCCTGCTGGATCCGGCCAATGGCTCACCTAGCCAAGAGGCCAGAAACCCCAAGGAACCTGGAGATTGAGATAAACTGCCTCTTAGCCTGGAGGTTCCATCGGGACAGAAGAAGGGTCTGGGTCCTGGATCAGTACAAAGGAGACCCATCCTTTTTTCACAGTGGCCAATAGTTGTGGCTCTTTGGTCCTCCTTCTGGGCTTCCCTTCTGGGCATCTGCTCGGTAAGAATACGGGCCTGATCCAGCAGGCTCTACTTACCCTCTCATGTTCTTGACCTCCCCCCCCCACTTCCAAGGGGTTTGCATCAGGTGGCAGCAACCTGTTAAAACCAGGAATGGGGAGGGCAGTTAAGAGAAGAAGAGTTTTGGATTTGATATCCCGCTTTATCACTACCTGAAAGAGTCTCAAAGCGGCTAACATTCTCCTTTCCCTTCCTCCCCCACAACAAACACTCTGTGAGGTGAGTGGGGCTGAGACACTTCAGAGAAGTGTGACTGGCCCAAGGTCACCCAGCAGCTGCATGTGGAGGAGCGGAGACGCGAACCCGGTTCCCCAGATTACGAGACTGCCGCTCTTAACCACTACACCACACTGGCTAAACAACCGCCCCCCCCCCCAAAAAAAAACCCCAAGTCCCCACCACAGCCTTGAACTAAGGCCAGGACAATGACCGTTGACACATGCACCACACATGCACAACAGCAAAGAGGCTCAGAAAAGCAGTCCCTAAAATTGTATCAATAAGCAGATACCATGAATCGTACTGTTTCCTCTGACTATCCAATACAGTGGTACCTCGGGTTACAGACGCTTCAGGTTACAGACTCCGCTAACCCAGAAATAGTACCTCGGGTTAAGAACTTTGCTTCAGGATGAGAACAGAATTCGTGTGGCAGTGGCGCAGTGACAGCAGGAGGCCTCATTAGCTAAAGTGGTGCTTCAGGTTAAGAACAGTTTCAGGTTAAGAACGGACCTCCAGAACGAATTAAGTTCTTAACCCAAGGTACCACTGTATAGAAAACTGTAGGAACTCCAAATAATGCCAAAAATTTCCTTGGTTCCAACAGCTAATGACTTCTCTGGAAGAGGAGAATCCAGGGCTCCCCCTGACTCTGCAATCCCTGAGGCACAGGGTTCACCTTGCCCCTCCCCAGGGAGTGGGGAAAAGGTAACAATGGACCAAACAGATATCCCTTGATGGACTTTGCCAAAGCCAGGTGTTCACAAAGCCCATCTTCAGAAATCGATGACATATCTGGAAATGTATTATGAGAAGGGGGGGGGGTCTTAAAAGTTCACGCAAGCCCATGCTCGGGGTTCCTACTCCCTGTGTGTTTGAACCTTGTTGCAACAAATAAAGATCAGGTCTACTGACCGCTGTTTTGCTTCTTTAACTTGGCTGGAGACTCCTTCTCTTGCTGACCAGGAGGGACCCCGATAAGCTGGGCAGCAGAGTAAATCTGCACCCAGGATTTTTCCGTAACAAACCAAACCAGCCTTCAGATTCCTTCATTCAAGAGGGAAGCCTCTTCAGGCCCTGCCAGATGCCGCTCCTGGCCAGCAACAGCTTCCTCTCTCAAGGAGGATGGAGGAGGACTTCCGCAGCCTAGCAACAGAGCAGCCAATGGGAAGAAGCCAGCCAGGGAAGTCTGTGTCCAGGGGGTCCTCTTGCCCATCCTGCCCAGAGGTGGCCTGGAGCCCCTTTGAATTGGTCCCTGGAGCTGCTCTTGGGCAATCCTGGCCACAGTTAGGAGGCTGTGGCAACGTCACCTTGGCAAGGCATCCTAGATGTTGACAGGTTCAGCCCCCTTCCTCTGCAGCACAGGAGCTCACAAACTGCCCAAGTCTCTCTTTTTTCCTTTTCACTTGGATGCCATTGATGAGCTTTCCCTGCAGAGTCCAGGGGACAGTAGGTGGATATACCCCTCCAATATGGATCAATATGCGTCTATTGATTTGTGCGCATGAAGAGAGTGGGAGGAAGACACAATAACTTGCCGGGGGGGGGGGGGGGTGAACTGTGTGAGCCCCCCTCACTCCAAAGCACTCCTGATTAATGTAATATTGTGAAACTGTTTGGGTGTAATCCTAATTCTCCGTGGATTTATTAACTGGTATAGCTTTTTTCATCTTATTCCTTTTAAAATTTATTTATTTGGTTTTTCAAATTACAGTTTTACAATCACGTATCCAACATACAACATAAAGACAAGATTCCATAGAATCTCCTAGACTTCCCTCCTCCCCTATTGTTAATCATTTCCTCCTGCATCTTTTATAATAATCCAGATCTTTTACCTCTCCATTACATCCAAAATTCACCTCATCTTCTAAACCATATTCTAAAAAGAAGTAACATAAAATTTTGGCTTTTCTTTTTAAAAAAGAAGATGAAGAAAGTCTACCGCCGGTTTCTCCAGCTCCACCACCTCACAAAGGGCTTGACACAGGATGGTGGTGCTGAACATAAGAAGATCTCTGCTGGATCCGGCCATGCCTCTTCTCCCAGTGGCCAGCCAGAGGCCCATTAGGAGAACCCTACAAGCAGGATACAAATGCAGGGCCCCCTCCCCTCCTGGGGTCTCCAGCAACTGGGGTTCTGCACCATCCCTCCCTCTGATGGGGGAGACACAGCAGAGGCATCCTGGCGAGGAGCCATTGATGGACTGATCCTCTGGGCGGCTCTCAACAGAATATTAAAAACATGATAAATACATCAAACATTAAAAGCTTCCCTAAACAGGGCTCTTTAGATGTCTTCTAAAAGTCAGGTAGTTGTTTATCTCCTTGACATCTGATGGGAGGGCGTTCCACAGGTGGGAGCCACCACCGAGAAGGCCTTCTGCCTGGTTCCCTGTAACCTCAGTTCTCGCAATGAGGGAACCACCAGAAGGCTCTCGGAGTTGGACCTCAGTGTCCAGGCTGGATGATGGGGGTGGAGATGCTCCTTCAGGGATGCTGGGCCTTTGAGGCCATTTAGGGATTTCAAGGTCAGCACCAACGCTTTGAATTGTGCTCAGAAATGTCCTGGGAGCCAATGCAGGTCTTGGTTCGTTGGCATCTGTCTATCTCAAGAGACAGTGGAGGGGTGGGCCTTGGGGGGTGAAGCCAAACCTCTGGAGAGTTACAGCACCTGCTGTGGCTGCAGAGACCGATATGGGAGAGACATGTTTTGCTGCAGCCGGGGCAGATGAAGGAGTCCAGTTGTTACTGCAGATGCACCTGGGCATTTCTCTCTGTGCTCCTCCCAGTGGTCATTCCTCCTCTGGCCACTGCTGTGGATATATGACATGGATACATCTCCAAGGGAATCCCACACAGTGGGGTTGATGTCGCCAACCTTCATGACACGTTGGCAGCCATCTTTGTGACACAGAGTTGGCCTGCCAATGGTCTTGACACCTGAAGCCCCATGGGTCCTGTCCTTGGGGATCCTGCCATCTTCCATTCTGTGGACGTGACCAAGCCAGTGTGGACAGGAGTGTGAACAGGCTATCAGGGACTGGGGCAGCAGAGGAATGGTGGAGACTGCCTCCTCAGCCTGACCCTTCCAGAGAAGAAAGAGACAGTTTAGAATTACAACTGGGGTTTGAGGGAGGTCACAGCTCAGAGGCAGATGAGAGAAAAACCGGGCAATAATGGGAGGGGAGGAAGAAGCAGCACCAGAGGGGCCACAGCTGATGGACACAGTGTCTCTAGGAAGCATTCCAGAACCTCCATCTCCCAGAACCTGGCGGGCCTTGAAAGTAGGAGAGCAGAAAGCTCAGAGGCAGAGGACACATCTCAGCACCCGTAGTGATGACACATGAAGGGAGAGAGGGAGCAGGGTGGAGATTCACTTGGGACAACACCATTATTCCGATAGGCCATCTTCCAAACCTCTCTGTGAATACTGAATAAAAGCAGATGGCAAAGACTTTTCCTTGTCTCATCCGTTGGTTCCTCTCCTGCCTGACCCTGGGAATGTGACCTTGGGAGAGCACATCTTTGTTTGAGACTCTGTCCTGCCAGGTGATGCCCAACACCTTCCTGACGCAGCGTATGTGGGAGGCCTTGAGGCCTCGCTCCTGGCAGGTACAAGTTCCCCATGACTCGCTTCCATAAAGCAGCATCTTCAACACGCAAGCCTGCAAGACCTTCATCCTGGTATTCAACTGGCAGGGGTGGCCATCAACCTAGATGACTTTGAAAGAGGAATGATGAATTTCTCTTGGCCTCTTTCAAAGTCATCTAGGTTGGCGGCCACCCCTGCCAGTTGAATTTCTGGCCGTGCCATTTTCAGTTCCCTCTGTTTGCAATTTGGCAGCCCAGAACTGTCTTTCCGTCACTTGGAAGGGCAACCGGCGGACTCGTTCCCAGAGCCAGCCGCCTGGGGCCTGGCAAGGCAGCCGGCAGAAAGAGGCTGTTGCAGAAGCTCCCCCTCCCATAACCGGCACTCCTCCAGGGGACACCTGCCACTTTCCTCCAGCTCTCCTCCATCATCATCACCCTCATGGCCACACCTCAGCAGCTCCCGGGAGGTGCCTTTGCCCGGCTGGCCTGACCAGCGCTTGGCTGCTGGCGCTTGGGGGCTCTGCTGGCTCAGCTTCCTGGCAGGAGGGAGCTGGGAAATCTGCCTCCTTGTTCCGAGAAGGGCTGGAGGGGAGAAGAGGAGGAGCAGGAAGCAGCACAGGGCAAGAGCTGCCCTGCCAGGTGAGGCAATGCACCTGTGGCCGGCAGGTGTGCTTAGCAACAGGCCAGGAAGTCCCCTGCACATTGAGAGTCTGCCTTTCCTAGAATTATAGGAGTGTAGAGTTGGTTTTTAAAGGATGGTGCCATTTTTTGTGAGATTTCATCTATTTGCTTTGTAATATCCAGGGCAGCTGTCTACCAGCTCCACCTGGTATGCAGGATGAGACCCTCCCTGCTCACAGACTATCTCACCAGAGTGGTGCATGCTCTAGTTATCTCTCACTTGGACTACTGCCATGCACTCTATGTTGGGCTACCTGTGAAGGTGACTCGGAAACAACAACTGATCCAGAATGCGGCAGCTGGACTGGTGACTGGGAGCGGCTGCCGAGACCACATAACATCGGTCCTGAAAGACCTACACTGGCTCCCAGTACGTTTCCGGGCACAATTCAAAGTGTTGGTGCTGACCTTGAAAGCCCTAAATGGCCTCAAAGGCCCAGTATACCTGAAGGAGCGTCTCCACCCCCATCGTTCTGCCCGGACACTGAGGTCCAGTGCCAAGGGCCTTCTGGCGGTTCCCTCATTGCGAGAAGCCAAGTTACAGGGAACCAGGCAGAGGGCCTTCTCGGTGGTGGCACCTGCCCTGTGGAACACCCTCCCACCAGATGTCAAAGAGAACAACTACCAGACTTTTAGATGGCATCTGAAGGCAGCCCTGTTCAGGGAAGTTTTTAATGTGTTTCATTTTAATGTATTTTAAATCTTTTTTGGAAGCCGCCCAGAGTGGCTGGGGAAACCCAGCCAGATGGGCGGGGTACAAATACTAAATTATTATTATTATTATTATTATTATTATTATTATAAAGCACACTGGCTTGTGCAAAGGGCACAAACCATTTAATCAATGGTGAAATCTGCAATACTGTGATGGGTGAGGCATCTCACGCAGACGAGCAGCCTGAAGCCGAGCACACCCGTGGGGTTCAGGACCACCGGCTCCCTTTGAGCTAATGGGCCCCAGAGAAGCCCCCTCCTCCTTCTCCCCTTCCCACCTGCGAGGGGCTCCCAAGGCAGCTGGAGGAGAAGAGGCTCCATCTCAGAGGCTCCCTCTTGGCTCCCGCCATCTTTGCTCCTTTTCCCTCCCCCCAACCTCCTGCTCTGTAATTATGCAATCATTCTCAAGCAAACGAAATAATTAGTGTTTATGCCAAACACAGCGAGTGTACCTGGAATGACAAGTGTGTGGGAACATGCGCCCTCCCCTCCCTTGTTGGCGGGCTCTGGCTGCCATGGCACCATTCCGTTGGGCAAGCCCAAGCGGGCAGCGTCTCCCAGCCAGAGGGTGGCCAGTTCCATGAGGACCGGGGGGGGGCGATGAGCCTGCAAAGCCCACCCCCCACCAGCAGACACACCTGGCATGCCATTCCCTTTGAGGGAATGGGGCTCAGTCTGAGAGCTCCTGCCAGCCCCTTGCCAACTGTGCCCCCCCAGCATTCCCGGCAGGGTCCCACTTTTGTTGTTTTCGGGGGGGGGGGGATTCAGCTGGCCTGATCCTGCCGAGAGCCTCCTTAAGCGTAAATGGTGGCATTAATTCAGAACCAACAAAGGAATGAAAATGCAGAGGGAGGGATCCAAGGCTGCCAAGTGGGAGGCCAGAAGACTGGAACGAAGCAGCGGATTTTTCTTGGCATCTGCCCACCTCTTTGTTTTTTCTCCCACTTCTTTCAAGTAGCGGAATATCCAGCTGGGAAAGCAAAGTGGGGGAGCCAGGAGGCCTCGTGTGAACGCAGCTTGCCAGAAAGGGCTAGAAACTTAGAATCGCAGAACTGTAGCCTTGGAAGGGGACCTCAGGGGTCATCTAGTCCAACCCCCCTGCAATGCAGGAATTGCAGCTGCAGGATCCCACCCGGCAGATGCCACCCGACTTCTCCCAAGGGAGCCCGTCCCACTGTCCAACGACTCTCCCACCAGAAAGTTCTTCCTGATGTTTAGTTGGAATCTGATCCTGTGGGATGTGTTTTGCTAGAGCAGTCAAGTACCACATTCCCGGTTTTCCTAGAATGGACACGAAGGGGGATGTGACTCCAGACAGGGAGGACTTCCTGCCCTACCTGTTGGGAGCCACCTTCCTCTGCGTGTGACCAGGTAGATGGGAGTGACCCCCGCTGGCCAAGGAAAGGGGCTGAACTTGCCGCCATCTTCCCCTCTCTCTTTCGCAGTTTCTCTTCTGGATCTCTGTTGCTCCTGGCGCTCAGCCAGCGCATGGCTCATCCTTTGGAGCCCACAAAAAGCCAGTCTGAGATTTAGCTCAGACTTCCTTTTCTCTACCAATGAAACTGTAACCACAAGATGAAGCCCGCCTTCAGATTACCACCGTGAACTGAATGTGAGTAAAACTTTGTTCTTATTTTCAAAAAGACGGTGTTGTGTTGTTCTTATTTTAAGAGGGAAATATAGTGGTGCCTTGGTTAAAAAACAGTCCGGTTTAAGAATGATTTGGTTTACAGGACTTCCGGGTTAGCGCCTCTGGCAATGGCGGATTTCCTCTGATCGGGAGGAATCCGCTTCGTGAGAATTAGGGTCTGGACCGTCGCGGCGAGGCGGAGACCCACCAAAAACCACAAGCGGGAGAAGCCTGTGGACGTGGGATTCGGCTGGCACCTTTTGCGCCTCCCCTACTCGCGGGGAAACCTGGTTTCGGGGATCCGGAGCGACGTGGGGTGAGCGGCGCGGTGCTTCGAATCGACTGCTCTTTTCACAGAGTGAAGCTGCATTGCTGTTGCCGGAGAGCGCTGACTTTTTCCTGTGGACAATTGGATTTTAAACAACTGCCCATGAGTAGAACGGAAAATTGGACTATGAAACTTCTTAATTTGGCACCGAAGCGGGAAGGTCTAAACAGGAAGTCCGCCTTCCGCTTTTGTAAATAGATTGAAGCAAAGACATTACAAGCTAGAGTCTGGAAAGTCGTTTGTAAAGGATTAAATTTCCATCATTTAAAATTACTAAACCCCCCTTGGAAGCAGGAGAAGAGAGGGGAATCTTTTTAGACTGTTTAAACCTGCAGAAGAGAGAGTAAAGAAAGATAAATTTCCACCGTCTTGAACCTGGGAGCGGGGTGTCAGGACAGACGCTTTGGGGAAGTCCATTGACTGTGGACAAAAAGTTTTTGACAGATAGTTAAAAAAGAGAAACATATTGATTCCATTGTTCCCTTTTGCATTTAAAAGGAACAAAATATCTGAAAAAGGAAAGGAACTTTGTTGCTAGATCTGCTTTTAAAAAGACGGATACAAATAGAAATTGTTTCCCCTAGAGGGAGCTTGTGAAACTGTTACTAGAGTCGATCTGGGGAACTTTGCAGCTGTAGAGATTAAAGATCGTGGGACCAGACTTTGACCTTGAACAAGAATGTGCCCAGAAGAAGCTTTAGTGCTTGCTCTTTGCAAGACAAGCACTTTACTGGAACAGCTACATGAGAAGATGGATTTGATGACTGTTGCAGTCGGAAATTTTGGACAGTGAATACCTATATAGAACCCACTCAGGAATTAATCCAGGAATGTGCTTTGACAGATCAAGTGGTGAAGAAGATAAAGGAGGAGGTTGTTGCTGAACCTCAAGTAGCAGAAATGGAGAGAGCTGCGGCCCTGCAGGAACATAAGTTGTTGGATTTGACGAATGAACCTGGAGAAAGTCAGATTTGGAGAGATGGAGTTCTGTTTGGCTTGGAGATGGGAAGCTGGATAGATTCCCCTATGCAGGGATGTTTTGGCTTTTCGAATTTGGCTTTGGGCCAGGGGGAGTTTGGAGTTGTGGGGGCCCTTAACCTTGGAGGGACTTTGAAACATGCCTTTAAATATCATATGGATTTCAGTGTCGACTATGGAGAATGGGCTGACTTGTCGAGAAGGGACAAAGATATTGTCAAGTTGGAGTCTCCCCGAGAGAAAGGAAGGAAATTAAGAACAAGATCAGCAGAAGATAAAGTAAAGTACAGGTATAAACATGAAGACCTGCGGAAGGGACATGGAAAAGACTTAAGAGCCTCGGATAGAAGGTCACCAGGTTGATGGACTAGATGGATGGGATAGAAAGGACTGACAAAACCCGAGACCAGGAAGAAGAGACGATGGATGAAGATTGGAAGAAAGTTTTAAAAATTCATTTAGAAAATAATTGTAAAATTAATGAGTATTAGAAAAATGTTGGAATGAAATTGTTTGGCTTTAGTAGAAATGTTAAAAAGAATTATGTTATGCTAAAAAAGAATTAGGTATAAATAAGACTTAAGTTTTAAGCTTTAGGGTTTTTTATGGTAAGATAAGGTTAAAATAGATTAAGGTAATTTAATGACAGAATATTGTGAAACATGGAAAGGATTTGCTGAGATAATTAATAACTAGAATACAAAAAAGGGAGGTGCGAGGAGGTCGATGAAACAAGTTAATGAAAGATAAGGATTTGGGAATATTGGATTTATTTTTTAATTTTTTGTTTATTTTTGTTTTCTGATTTTGATGTATTGTGTGTTTTGTTTTTTTCTTTGACTTTGGTTTTTATTGACTTGTATTGTTCATTCGCTATTTTTGTCTACCTTTTTATTTCTTTTTCTTTTTTTCTTGTTTCTTCCTTTCTTTTTTTGTAATTTTAAATTCTCAATAAATATCATTTTTTTAAAAAAAAAAGAAAGAATGATTTGGTTTACAAACTCCGAAAACCGGAAATAGTGTCTCGGTCTGAGAACTTTACCTCAGTCTAAGAACGGAATCTGAACACTGGAAGGGCACTGGCGGCAGGAGGCCTCATAGGGAAAGTGCACCTCGGTTTAAGAATGGTTTTGGTTTGTTAACGGAGAAATCTGAGGGCTTGTTTGTGAAAATTGACCTTCTGGCTCATGATAATTTTTGTCCAGTCAGGACCCGGCTTTCGCATGGAGTTGGCAGCAAGGAAGAGGAGACTTTCCCTAAGCCCGTTCCAAGTGCCTCCCTCTCACCACGGAGTAAGGTAAAGGTAAAGGGAGCCCTGACCATTAGGTCAAGTCGTGGCCGACTCTGGGGTTGCGGCGCTCATCTCGCTTTACTGGCCGAGGGAGCCGGAGTACAGCTTCCGGGTCATGTGGCCAGCAGGACTAAGCCGCTTCTGGCGAACAGAGCAGCTCACGGAAACGCCGTTGACCTTCCCGCCAGAGCGGTACCTATTTATCTACTTGCACTTTGACGTGCTTTTGAACTGCTAGGTGGGCAGGAGCAGGGACCGAGCAACGGGAGCTCACTCCATCGCGGGGATTCAAACTGCTGACCTTCTGATACGCAAGCCCTAGGCTCTGTGGTTTAACCCACAGCGCCACACCACAGAGTAGCCGTAGCCCAGTCCTGCGATCTGGCATGATGAGCTTGGCCTTCTGAAAGTTGCAGCACCTGTCAGCACCCACCTGAACAGGTAACCCCAAGGTGAGTGCCTGCCTCCCTCTGCCCTGAGCAGGAAGTGATGTCAGAGGGGGTTTCTGGGTGAGCACAGACTGAGCCAAAGCCAGGCTGCCCCCCAGGGTCCAGGAGTCCAGGGGGGGGGGGCTGGGGGCAGGCAGAGAGACAGGCTCTCCAACCCAGACTTTCCCCAGCAAGCTGCTGGCATTGCAGCGGATTGGTGCTCGGGGTCCCTTCCAGTTCTGCAACTCTGTGGTTCTGTGATTCTGTGGGCATCCAGGGGTCTTCTTGACTCCCCCCAGATATGCACCTCTGAGGCTGGCCTCTGGATCCAGCCGCTCCTTCGTAATTTCCAGAGCCCCTTACAGCTGTGGCGGCGGCGGCAGCAGCAGCAGCGGAAAGAGTTGCAGGCACAGACAGCAGTAATTTGAAAGCCTGATAAAAATGTAAATTAGGTCTCTGCCTGCATGGGAAATTAGCGCAACATTTAGAGGCGCCTTTTGCTTCAGGCGCCGCAGAGAAGCCGCTTCAGCAGATTCGGGTGCCGCCGCGCGCAGCTATACGCCCGGAGCATGGCAAAGGATGTCCTCGTTTGTCTCCATTATGGCGACAGGAGCTGGGAAGAGGAGGAGCGCCTGCGGGGACAGCCCTGCCTCCTGTCCTCACTGGGGCCAAATGCCCCTGAGAACCCGGGGATCAAGGTAGACTGCCTCTGGACCTGGAGGCTCCATCAGAGGAGCCTGCTGGATCAGGCCAATGGCTCCCTCTGATCTAGCGTCCTCTTCTCACAGTGGCCAACCAGGTGCCCATTGTGGGAAACCCACAAGCAGGATTTGGGCACAAGAGCGACTCTCAACAGCTGGACTTGCCACCTCCAGATGTGGAGCCAGAGCAAAGCCAGCCTGGCTAGTTGCTCTCCATGAATTTGTCTCATCCTCTTCTAAAGCCACTACTAAAGCCTGTGGCAGGGATGAAGAAGAACTTCCTTTTCTCCGTCCTCCTGACCCTTTCCGGTCTGAAACCAGGGGGGACCCACGCCCGGTCTCCTGAGCGAGATGGACCAGTGGTGGGACTCTGCATAAGGCCCTTCTTTTTCCCTTGCCGACAGGCATAAGAATGGGAGAATGCAAGCAAAGCCTGCTGGGTCCGGCCAAAGGGGGCTTGCCAGCAACTGTCATTCAGAACCATAATTATTATTATTATTTAATGTTTGGTGTTTTATTATGTTTTTATATCTGTCGGGAGCCGCCCAGAGCAGTCCAACGGGCAGGGTACAAATGATAAAATTATTATTATTCAGCCTTTGCCGCTTTGCACTGGGAAATCACAGCATGGCCATTGCAGCTTCTGATGGCCAGGCTAAAAATGCCACAGCCTCCCTCCCCGCACTGCTCTTTCCTCCAAGACCAAGGGGGGGGCCAAACAGCTGCAGGTCATGTTGGGGGGCTAGGGAGTCGTGAACCCTCCCCTCCATGTTGGGGGGGGGCTTTTTGCAGGGGAATCTGCCTGCATTCCTGGCGAATCCTTCCTTCTTGGCCCCCTCCTGTTCCCCCCAGCCTTTGCTGACTGCTTGTTTCCTGGCTGTGTGTTCACCTCTCCGCCCATGAAGGCCTTGCAAAATCGTTTAGCTCAAGCCAGGGATCATCCGCCCAGTGGGACTCCTGCTGGATCTCAGCGAGGGCTTGAGATTCTCTCTCCCCCTCTCCCCCCCCCCAACTCTTTGAAATCTGGAGGTGCAGAGTCATCCATGGCACTTGGGCGACCTGGGATGCAGTTGCCATGGTGACAAGGTGAGCTTGCTCTCCTCATCACTGGCTGCACAGGCGAAAAGTGGCAGCAATGCGCGCGCGCGCACACACACACACATTTCTGCCTAGTAACCCTTGGGCTGTACTTTCCATTTTTCCCTCTTTCCCTCTTAATTTGCATGTCGCCTTTCCACATTGCTGCAGGCCAGCTGGTTTGCAAGCTGAGGAGATATATGCAGCAAATATGCACTGCAACAGTGCAGAAAAGTCCCAATGAAAAGGTATGTCTTTAAAATAAACAGCTTATCTCCCATAATGCATTAAAAAACCATGTAAAGGGACTGAATTGAGCAGGGAAGAGTCACAGAACTTACATTAAAAAGTTATCATTTTTTAAGTTACAAGAAAGGAGATTCCAGCTAAATAAACATCAGGAAGAACATTTGAAGGGGAAGAGCTGTTCAACAGCAGAAAGGTCTCCTTGGGGAGGTTGTGGACTCTCCTTCCTTCGAGGCTTTTAAGCAGAGCGGCCATCAGTCATGGATGATCTAGCTGAGATTCCTGCATTGCAGGGGGTCGGACTAGATGACCCTCGGGGTCCCTTCCAGCTCTATCATTCTTTGATTCTCAGGACGGCAAGGTGGGACTCAGGAGCCCTGAATGGGACCTCGTTCTCCTCACCACCTTCCCACCCAGCAGGAAGAGGGAGTGAGAGGACTTGATCCAGCAGCCTGGCTCTCCTTATGGAGGCAGATTGCAGCGGCAGAACCTCCATGCCCAGGGACAGTCTACCTCTGAATACCAGATAATGGAGAACTACAACTGGAGACTATACTTGCACCCAGGGCCTGCTTGTGGGTTCCTTGGGGGGCATCTGGCTGCCCACTGTGAGAACAGGACGCTGGACCAGATGGGCCCCCTTTGGCCTGACCCAGCAGCCGGGCTCTTCCAATCTTCCTATGAAACCTCCAGGTCCAGTGGCAGGCTATCTGGATTCCTGGTTTTCCCAGTAGTGATGTATGGAAGTGAGAGCTGGACCATAAAGAAGGCTGATCACCGAAGAATGGATGCTTTTGAATTCTGGTGCTGGAGGAGACTCTTGAGAGTCCCATGGACTGCAAGAAGATCAAACCTCTCCATTCGGAAGGAAATCAGCCCTGAGTGCTCACTGGAAGGACAGATCCTGAAGCTGAGGCTCCCAGACTTTGGCCACCTCATGAGAAGAGAAGACTCCCTGGAAAAGACCCTGATGTTGGGAAAGATGGAGGGCACAAGGAGAAGGGGACGACAGAGGACGAGATGGTGGGACAGTGTTCTTGAAGCTACGAACATGAGTCTGACTAAACTGCGGGAAGCAGTGGAAGACAGGAGGGCCTGGCGTGCTCTGGTCCAGGGGGTCACGAAGAGGCGGACACCACTAAATGACTAAACAACAACAAAAAAGGATTTATTGGGTATTGGGCCACCATGAGAACCAGGTGCTGGACCAGGCGGGGCCCCGTTGGGCCTGATCCAGCAGCCGGTCTCCCCTTCTGCTCTTCCGTTCCTCTGCTCCCTCTGCGCCTCGGACTCCCTCAACCTTCTTCCTGCAATAACGCTGTCAATATCACTCACTGCTTTTATGGAGCATAATCTTGTTACAATCTCGCAAAGAGGGCTCTTTATCTCCAGCATAAAACGCTCCTGACATTTACAATCTGGAGGTCAGAGGAGGTCCCTCCCCCAGCTTTCTCCAGATGATCAAAGCAGAGGAGAGGAGACCTGGCCACCAGCTGTGGCTTGCACAGGGGGAGGACCCCCACCCTCCCTAAGACGGGAGCCCAAGAAGCCCTTCCACCCAAAGGCCACTCGGCTTGCTTAGCCCCTTGGACTAAAGCCCCCTCTGAAGCCCCCACCCCTGATCAGGTCATTTCCAATGCAGGGTGGGGCAACGGGAACAAGCAACACCCACACCCATTATCTGTTGCCCCCTCTCCCCTCAGAGGCAGACAGGGAATGCTGACTGGTCTAAGATCACCCAGAAAGACTCCTGGCCGACCGTACAGGCTGCCGCTCTCATGTGCTGTCCATATGGGCGTCCGTATGGGATGCCGCACATGCGCACTCCGTACGGGATGCTGCGCATGCACAGTCCATACGCATGTTGCGCATGTGCCACCAGGTGGTTTGCCCCGCCCCTTGGCGTCCTGCCCCGGGTGACAGAAAGGGTTCCTCCGCCACTGCATCTTCATCCAGCAGAGTTAAACAGTGGAACTCCCGGCACAGGAGGCAGCAATGGCCACCAAATTAAGGGACCCCTGACCGTTCGGTCCAGTCGTGGCTGACTCTGGGGTTGCAGCGCTCATCTCACTTTATTGGCCAAGGGAGCCGGCGTACAGCTTCCGGGTCATGTGGCCAGCATGACTAAGCCGCTTCTGGTGAACCAGAGCAGCGCACAGAAAAGCTGTTTACCTTCCCGCCGGAGTGGTACCTATTTATCTACTTGCACTTTGACGTGCTTTCGAACTGCTAGGTTGGCAGGAGCAGGCACCGAGCAACGGGAGCTCACCCTGTCATTGCGGGGATTCGAACCGCCGACCTTCTGATCAGCAAGTCCTAGGCTCTGTGGTTTAACCCACAGTGCCACCCGCGTCCCTGGTCACCAACCTAGACGGCTTTAAAAGAGAATGAGACACATTCGTAAAGGAAAATGAAACTATTGATGTCTACCAGCCTCAATGGCTAGACTCTGGCTCTGCAGTCAGAGGCAGCGATGTTTCTGAATACCAGTTGCTGGAAACCACGGGAGCGGGGAGCTGCTCTTGTGTTCGAATCCTGCTTGAAGGATTCCCACAGGCAGCAGTTGCGCTACTGTGGGAACAGGACGCTGGGCTCTCCTTCCCTGGAGGTTATGAAGCAGAGGTTGGCCACCCGCCGGGAACGCTGCAGTCGTGATTCCTGCATTGCAGGGGGTTGGACTGGATGGCCCTTGGAGGTCCCTTCCAACTCTACCATTCTATGCTTCTATGACTAGTTGGGCCATGGAAGAAGCTGGGCTCTTCTTCTGTCCTTATGGAACTTCCAGGTCCAGAGGCAGTCTATCCACATTCCAGGGTTCCTGTGTGCATTTGGCCAAAGTCAGTACAAGATTGTGGGATGTGAAACACAAGAGCAGTCAAGTACAACATTCCTAGAGTGAACATGTTTACACATGGGGAGCGATGTTTGTCCAGCCAGCAGGTAAACTTCCTGTTTCCTTCTGGGCTGGGGCAGACTTCCTCTGCGTGTGACTAGAGGTGGGCATGGCCTCACCTGTGCAGGTAACAACAAAAGCACAGGGCGGGGCAGCCATCTCTCTCTCTTTGACTACATACATTGAAGAAACAACATCTGCTTGGCCACCAGCTAAGAAAGGACAAAGGGAGTGTCTCCTTATGAGATAGTTTCCAGGTATATGTTACTTTTCTAAGCTAAGTCTGCATTTTGGGATCCGATTGTGAACAGAATGTGAGTAAACTCTTTCTATACTTTTATAGAAGACTGTGTTGTGTCTTATCTCTTATGAGGGAATAAGGGGACAATACCAGAACAGTTATTATGGAGGCTTTAGTGAGCCTTTAGTAAACGCATCCGCTGCGAGTTTAAAAAGGGGGATGTTACTCTGCTAAATTGTGAACTTGTTAACACAGTTAAAAAATTGGAAAGGCTATAATCAAACAATATATCCTCTCCTGCATCCCTGAACATTCCCACAAAGATGCTGCGGGGGGGGGGCATGGGCCTGATCCAGCAGGCTCTTCTCGTGATGAGTGTCCACTGGGAGAGGAGGAGTAGGAGCATCTCCTCTTTCCACCTTTTCCCAGCGCCGGGGGAAGGAGCAGCTGGAGTCGCTGGAGATGCATTTATTTCATCTTCCTGCCAGGGAAGCAAAACCCTCTGAAATGCAGCTGGGATCCAGATCGAGTGCTTGGCTGCTGGGGGGGGGGGGCAGAGAGTGGAAACAAAACCCACCACCATAGGATGAAGCAAAACACTGACACGCCGGCCTTTTAATTACCACCGTCATCTTTTCGAGGAGGCGAATAAATTCAGTTACTCAGGGAGGGGGGTCCATTTCTCCCTGCCCAACTTCCCCACCGCTCAGGTGGCTGGGCAGTGGGGCTGCCCCTTTGCCGGGGGAAGGGGCCAGCTCTCCATTTGCCGCTCCCCAGCCCCGGAAGAGAAGGGGGGGACAGTCGGGGTCGCCAGCCAGAAATGTGGTTCTGAGGGGCTCAAGGGAGTTGGGGGTCCCCGGCAGGACAGCTGGAGCGTAGATGTGCCGGCCGCCAAAAGTCGTTTGGTGATATTATTTGGTGATAACCGGGGAGAGGAGCCTCTCAGCCATTCTGAGCGCCTTGATGGAAGATTCAGGATGGACAGAAGAAAGTCCTCCTTTGTGCAGCGCAGAGTTAATCTGTGGAACTCCCTGCCACAGGAGGCAGCAATGGCCACGAACCTGGATGGCTTGGAAAGAGGATGAGGCAAATTCATGGAGCAGGAGAGGGTTAGCCATGGAGGAGAAGGTTAGCCATGACTTTGCTCTGCCTCCACAGTCGGAATTGCCAGAAATTGCAGGAGGAAAGAGTTGATCTTGTGCTCAAATCCTGCTTCCCACGGTCATCTGGCTGCCCCTGCAAAAAGAGGAGACTGGAACAGGTGGTCCATGGGCTCTCCTTATGGAACCTCCAGCTCCAGAAGCAGTCTACCTAGAACACCAGCTTCTTAGGGGCATTTGGCCCTTGTGAGGACAGGATGCTCGACTAAGCTGTGCCTTTGGCCTGATCCAGCCAGCTCTGTTTAGGCTCACCAACCTCCCTACAGGCCTTTCACAGCTGCTGCCTGAGCTCCTGGGGGGGGCGTCTTCCCTGAGCATCCTTTGCCAGGCTGAGAGCGATGCCCCTCTGGTGGGCAAGAGAAGTGTGCAAAGCAGCTGCCTGGTGTTGGGCTCGCAGGCACGTGCTCTGGGGGCGCTAATGGTGTCGCCCCCCCCCCAGCAGCAGCTCTTTGCCAAAAGAGTGTCTCTTTGTCTTGATAAGGGCTGCGCATAATGGCAGCGTGTCCCTGAACTGCATTTGCAGCCCAGCCGCCACCTGTGCAACTTGGCGCTTACGCTGGAGACACACGTGTGTGTGATCTGGGAGCCTGTGAATCCAGAGGCCCTTGGCTGACCCCCAATTTGTGCCTGGGACACACACACACACACACACACACCAGATTTCTCTCTTGCAACCAGAGGGGTGTCCTGTGGGCCTGGACCCATGGCAGGCACCCACCCTCACCTGCCTGAGCCATGCACACAGAAGCGCCCCTCTGCCACCCTCTTGACATGTGTCTGGGCAGTTTGGGGGATCGGCTCACCCCCCATTCCTTTTGCAAGCTGGGAGTCCTGCTCTTAGAGCCAGCTGCGGCTGCCTCTCTCTAGTCACAAAAGGTGGTAGAAGGGTGTCCTATAGAATCCACGAATTGTAATGGAGGAAGTGGACCCAAGGGTCATCTAGTCCAACCCCCCTGGGCTCCCTCCCATATCCACAATTCTATGAGTCATTGGAGGTCTTTAAACAGGTTGGATGTGTGAGATGTGAAACACAAGAGCAGTCAAGTGCAACATTCCAAACTGAACGTGTTTACACATGGGGAGGAATGTTTGTCCAGCCAGCAGGTAAACTTCCTGTTTCCTTCTGGGCTGGGACAGACTTTCTCTGCATGTGACTAGAGGTGGGTGTGGCCTCACCTGTGCAAGTAACAACAAAAGCACAGGGCAGGGCAGCCATCTCTCTCTCTTTGACTACATGCATCGAAGAAGCAACATCTGCTTAGCCAAGAGAGGACAAAGGGACTGTCTCCTTATGAGATAGTTTCCAGGTGTATGTTACTTTTCCAAGCTAAGTCTGCCTTCTGGGATCCGATTGTGAACAGAATGTGAGTGAGTAAACTCTTTTTATAGAAGACTGTGTCGTGTCTTATCTTCTATAAGGGAATAAGGGGAAAATACCAGAACAGAGGCTTTAGCGAGCCTGAGCAAACTCATCCGCTGCAAGTTTAAAAAAGGGAATGTTACTCTGCTAATTGTGAACTTGTTTACACAAGTTGGAAAGGCTATAATCAAACAATATATCCTCTCCTGCATCCCACAGGACGCTGCCTGCCAGGGATTCTTGAGCTAAGATGTCTGCATTGCATAGGGTTGGACTAGATGACCCCTGGAGGTCCTTCCAACTCTACAATTCTGGAAATCTGCGCTGCTCCTGCATTTATCTCTACGCCAGAGATAAATGACTTTCCGGCGCAGCTCCCTCCCTGCCAAAGGCCTCCTGAGTTTCACTTTTTCTCTTCTGAGATTGAGACAGGCGACTTCCCCATTATCCTCTCCAACCATCTTTCGGCGCTTTTATTCCACTCTCGCCAATCAATTACAGCTGATGCTGTTCGAGATCACAGCTCCCAACACATCAATTCAACCCTGACCTGACTTACAAGCGCTTGGAGGTTTTTCCTCCCCGTGGCCCAAATCTTGCAGCTCCTGCATGCCAGGGACACACAGCAGATCTGTGCAAACTCAGAACCACTTCAGACGGCTCTGGGGGCTTGTCTGGGCTGAAGTGGGGTCTCTCCTGAGCCCCCTGAGCTGAACTGAGGACGTTCAAAGGGATGCAGGTGTTTGGAATGAAAAGAGAGCTGGGCAGGCAGCAGGTCTGCAAAAGCTGGAACATTTCTCCCCAAGGAGAAATGCTTTTGTGACTGGCGGGGAGAGCGTCCAACCAGAGGGTTTGTCAGGGCCATCCAATCACAGTATTTCGGAGGAGGGATGCTGAAGTACCCTATCACCTTGTCCTCCTGCGACCCTTGATTGCATAGGGACATAAGATACTCCTTTATACAGAGTCAGACCACTGGATCCATCCAGATCAGTACCACCTACACTGACTGGCAGCAGGGGCTTTCTATGGTGCCTGGCCGAAGCCCAATGTGGAGCTGCCACTGGTGCTTGCTTGGGCAGCGCTGAACATTCAAGCCCTTCTGAAATCTGGAGAAATCACAGAATCACAGAGCTGGAAGGGACCCCCAAAGGTCATCTAGCCGAACCCCGTGCAATGCAGGAACCCAGAACAAGAGCGGTTCTTTACTGCAGTCGCTGGAAGTGCCTTTGGCCAGCTGTAACCAGTTCGGCAGCTACAGCCTTTGCTGGAGCAGGCCAGCCTTGCCACAGCGGTTCATGCGCTGGGGACTTCAGTGCTGGATTCCTACAATGCGCTCTCTGTGGGGCTTCCCTTGCGCTTGATCTAGAGGCCGCAGTTGGCGCAGAATGCTGCAGCACGACTGCTGACAAGAGTGAGGCCTTGCCAGCACAAAACACCTCAGTGCTCAGAGATCTGCACTGGCTGCCCATTTGCTGTGGGAATTGTTCAGGGAGGCAGGAGAGGATATATTGTTTATTCATATCCTTCCTAACTTGCGCTAGCAAGTTCCTTTACTTAGCAGAGTTTCACATTCCCCTTTTAAATGCACAGTGGATAACTGGTTGCAGGCTCGTGTGAGCCTCTACTATTAGGTTCCAGGTCAGTCCCCTTATGTCCCTCTTAAAAGAATAAACACATATATATAAAGTATATAAAACAAGTTTACTCACATCATCAGTTCAGAGTTGGATCCCTGAAGGCAGACTTAGTTACAAAGGATATACATGTGGATCTATCCCATATGGGGATAATCCCAGTGTCCTCTGGTGGCTGAAAGCCAACAGAGCATCTCTAGCTAAAAAGGTGCTCCAATGAGGGAGGTAGTCAAAGAGAGAGGGTGTGCTGCGTGACTTGTCCTTTTGTTACCTGGACAGGTAAGGCCACGCCCACCTCTAGTATGTCCCAGCCAGGAGGAAACAGGAAGTTTTCAACTGGCTGGACCAAACATCCCCTTGCATGCCCACTCTAGGAAAACAAGGAATGTTGTACTTGACTGCTACTTACATATCACCATCCCACATTTGCGACCAGGCTGAGTTCAAGGTGCTACTATTAGCATATGAAGCCCTTAAAAACTTGGGTGCATACCCCATATCTATCCACATGACCACTTTGATCAGCAGAACTGCTGCTGTTGCAGGAACCATATAACCCCTTTTTTATAATATTTTTTATTATTTTTCTAATTTACATTATTCATTTAAACAATCTTAAATCAATGACTTCCCCTCCTCTCATTCTGTGGTTCATATCCCAGTGCCACCAGCATTTTCACATCCCAGCTAAGTCCAATGACACAGCTGACATCATTGCATTATGACAACTGTGTTGTGACATCACTTTCTCCTTGTGTCTTTGATCTCAGCTGACAATGACTTGGTAGGAAGGTCTCCTTCCCCAGCCAAGGCCCCCAGACTCTTGCAGACTCGTGACAGGACCCTTCCCTCCCTCCCTCCCTCCCTCCTTCCTTCCCTCCTTCCCCCCTTCCTTCTTTCTTTCAGGGGGGGTGGGCTGGAGAGGAAGGCGCTCAATTGGTCTCCCTGAAAGCCTTTGAAATCCCTGTGTGCAAAACGACTTCTATGCCCATTTCTAATTTCCAGAGAAATTATTCATGCTTTTAAAACAAAATTATGGCAATTCCCTATTCTTTTCTCTGTGGGATATAATGAGTAGTTTCTCAATCGGCTTAGCAGCTAATTCTCTTGCTTTTATTACTCAGAAAAGTCATAGGGAAACTGGAGATCTCTCTCACACACGCTTGCTCCCTGCCTGCCTGCCTTCTGAGCCAGGGGCCTCTCTCTTTGGAATGGACCGCAGGCCCTGGCAGCTGGATCTCCTGCCCCCTGCCCCACAAAGGGGCAGCCCCTTTGCAGCCAAGCAGTCGGTCTGTATCAGGGCTGTGGGAGAGGGGAGCAGCGGGGGTCTGGCGCCCAAGGGAGCCACGCTGAGCTTCCACAGAGGGAAGCATCTGGAGAGACGCTCTGCGTGTCGGCAAGAGTAGTGTCTGCCAAATGCCTGGCTTACATCACGCAGGGCTCTCAGCTCAAGCATCCATAACAGAGGCCTCTGCTTAAAAACCTCCGGGAAAGGAGAGTCCATCGCTTTCCAAGGGAGTCCAAACAGGGAGTTCCGCGGCTGAACTGCTCTTGCCGTCAGAAAGCTCCTCCTGGTGTTTAGTCGGAACCTCCTTCCTTGCAACTGGAATCCATTGAATCGTCATGCAATCTTAGAATTGTCGATTTTGAAGGGGACCAGAGGGTGAAGTCCCTGCAATGGAAAAATCATGGGTTCGAGTCCTACCCTCCAGAGCAGGAGAAAACAAGCTGACTCCACCTTCCATGGGACAGCCCTGGAGATATTGGAAGATGGTGATAATACCTCCTTTTCAGTCTCCTCTTCTCCAGGCTAAACAGATCAAACTCCCTCAACCGTTCCTCATCAGGCTTGGTTTGCAGACCCTTGGTCATCTGGATAAGCCGGAGAATTTCTCCCTCCATCCTTGAACATCCATTCCCCACCAGTACAGGGCAGGTGGGGATGTATATCATGGGGTGAATCTCTCTCTCTCTCTCTTCTCTCTCTCTCTCTCTCTCTCTCTCTCTCTCTCTACAAGTGGTTATAATTCTACTGCTTAATGGCACCATTAATTAGTGCTGTAAAAGCCCCAAGAAATATCTACAGTTTGCTTGTTTGAGTCCCAATAAATACCCACCTCAGGAGACTATTTCTGAAAGCGCAGACAAATCTTCCCGGGCTGTGAGGAGAGGAGATGATAGACTTTAATGGGCTCTAGAGGCTGTGTGTGTGCGTTTGTGTGTTTCCCAGGCGCCTTTGCGGTGGGTGAGGTGGTGCCATGGGGTGGAAAGCAAGGAGGAAATCATAAAAGAGCATTTAAAACATTTTGGAGCTTGCCTTAATCCTCGTATATTGCCAGCTGTTCTTTATTTAGTGCAATGAATGAGGGCTTCCTGGAGAAACCACCATCAGGGGCTGCTTTATGGGCTGGCTTTAATTCCTGTGATTGTAAAGGGATCCCTGAGGGTCATCCAGCTCAAAGCACTGCAATTCAGGAATCAGAGCTGAGAAATCTATGACAGACAGCCAACTTCTGCTTAAAAACCTCCAGCGAAGGAGGGGCCGCCACCTTCTGAAGAAGAAGAAGAGTTTGGATTTGATATCCCGCCTTTCACTCCCCTTCAGGAGTCTCAAAGCAGCTAACATTCTCCTTTCCCTTCCTCCCCCACAACAAACACTCTGTGAGGTGAGTGGGGCTGAGAGACTTCAGAGAAGTGTGACTGGCCCAAGGTCACCCAGCAGCTGCAGGTGGAGGAGCGGAGACGCGAACCCGGTTCTCCAGATTACGAGACTAGCGCTCTTAACCACTACACCACGCTGGTGTGGTCCTTTGTTTCAACCTGCCATAGTTCTTAGGAAAGCAAGAGAAGATCTCTGCTCCAAAAGTCCAACCCCATGTAAAGCAGAAATGTTTTGCCCAACGTGAGACTCGAACTCATGATCCCAGAATGAAATCTTACACTCTACTGACTGAGCTATGCCAGGTTTTGCTTTTGTTTTATTACGGATGCCCTTTGAACTTTGGATATACAATTTTGGATTTACAATTATTATTATTATTATTATTATTATTATTATTATTATTATTTGTATGCTGCCCATCATCATCACCCCATCATTGCTATTATTTGTCCTAAATCTTCCAACCTTCAGCACCATCGTATATCCACGAGTTCTAGCGTTATGGGAGAGAGAGGGGGAAAACATTTCTCCATCGACTTTCTCCTGTTATAAACGTCCATCATGTCGCCTCTTCCTCGCCTTTCGCCTCAATTCTCAAATGCTGCAACTTTCTTCAGAGGGGAGCCTTGCGCCGTCACGCTTCTTAAATGACAGCGAGTGGCAGCAGGGGTGACTCTCATGCCAGGCCATTTGACTTGGCCCCCGAGCCTTGGAGGGAGATCTGCCTGCCCCCCTGTTGCCCCTGTTGGTCCCCAGGCAGCCCCTTGGTCACGGGTGACCTACCTTGCTCTCCTGCTTCTCCCCTGTGGAAAGGAAAATCAATCTCTGGCCAGGCCAGCTGCCAGGGTGTCAGTCAGCTAATGAAAAGATCCATTTTCACTTAATCTGCCCTGACTGGAGCTGCAGACCTCCGGAGCAGCTACCTTCCTCCTCCCTCTGCCCGCTCTTCAATTGATCGCTCCCAGACATGCAGGTACCCATCCATCTCAGAGATCACTCGGTGGATAACAAGCGGGGGCTTGTTGGGGTCGGGGGCTGGCAGAAGAAGGTCTCCTGGTGACGGTCATCAGATTGTGGAGAGGGAAGGGACCCTGTGCAATGCAGGAATCACAGCCAAATAATCCCTGGTGGGTGGCCCCCCATCCTCTGTTGAACAAAGGAGAGTCTCCCCACCGGGGTAGAAATCGTATACCAAACAGATGGAAAGCTCTTCAGTCTGAGCAGGCTGACAGCAAAGAGTAAGGTTACCATAACTTCCGTCATAGAGCTTCAGTATGCTGGTGACAACGTAGTGTGCGCACGCTCAGAGGATGACCTCCAAACCATCCTAAATATCTTCACAGAAGCTTATGAAAAGCTCGGCCTGTCGCTCAACATCCCCAAAACCAAAGTGCTGCACCAACAAGTACAAAATATCCCCTCTGCAGCGCCACAAATCCAACTCAGTGGTGTAACCTTGGAAAATGTCGATCGCTTCTCCTACCTGGGCAGCTGTCTTTCCACAAGGGCCAACATTGATGCTGATATCCAGCATCATCTGAGCTCTGCGAGTGAGCCTTTCTCCCAACTGAAGTGCCGAGTGTTTGAGGACCAGGACATTTGCAGGGAAACCAAAATGCTTGTTTACGAAGCTATTGCACTACCAACCTTACTGTATGCTTGTGAAACATGGACCACTTATAAACGCCATCTCCAACTCCTTGAAAAAATCCATCACTGGTGTCTCTCTTCTCCAGACAAAACATGCCCAACGCCCTTAACCTCATAAATAAGGCTGGGTTTGCAGGCCCTTCACCATCTTGGTCGCCCTTCTCTGTACACCTGCCAGCTTCTCAGTCTCCTCCTTGAACCGAGGTGCCCAGAACTGGACACAGACTTTCCAAACCAGCAGTTCCAACTAACTAACCAGTTTGCTTTTTTAAAATCACCTTAAGAGATTCCTGCCTTCGACTGGATGGATCCCCACCAACTTGACAGTTACTTGATTCTACTATTGTTGATATTTTAAGGTGTTTTTTCCCTCCAAAGAAAAGCATTCTGAGCTGGAACGGAAAGTATAAGCATAATTTCTTGCGCTCTTTGGAAGGTGAGTGGCTGATGGCGTGAGCCTCGCTTGCGGCAGGCCAGCGACTCCAGGCTCCGGCTGAGTTCCAGACCTCATGCAGCCCCTGTGACCCCAGCCCCCCAGATCCTGTGATTTACAGCCCCCCCCCCCAGATGACCTTCTCCAGGAACCAGCTTCCTTTCCAGCCGCTGCTCAGAAAAAGCCACATGTCATTTCTCAGAAACAAACTGAACGCGGCTGTTAATTAGTTGGAACTGTTGATTTGCAAAGCCTGGCGTTTTGGAGGGGGCAAAAAGCATTTGCCACCATGTCCTCTTTTGATTAGAAGAATGACACGATGGCCGCAGTGTCCGCCTGGCACAATTGATCCCCTCCCACGGGCAGGCGCCCTTATTGGTCGATGGCGAGGGCAGGGTGGGCACCTCCAGGCAGACCCCTCCCCCGACGAGTGGCACCCCCGTGGGCAGAAGCAGGGCGACGTGGGAGCCCACCCACCTCCTGCCCCTCTGCTCCCCCCTCCCTGCCAGGGCAGCGTGGCAGGACTCCCAATTACGGAGATTGCCAGCTTTGCTTTGGGAAATCGAGGCTGGACTTAATTGGAAAAAGGAAGTGTCTTGTCTCGTGTTGCCTTTGGGCAAATTGCACGCTGCGGCTTAATAGAAAGTGTCTAGAGTTGCTTTCCAAGTAATTAAGCAATAATGTATGGCTCTGCCGCGCGGGTCCCTCTCGGGCGCAAAGGTGATGGAGCTGGCACGAACGGCAGGCCGGCACACTGCAGTCAGCCACGCAGGGGAGCAGCCTCTCTCCCCCAGGATGGGGGCCACTGTGGGGCCAGAGAGCTCTGCTGGGAGCTGCCCTGGCTCTGTGGCGGGGCACCTGCTGGGCATGCAGAAGGAGCCGGGTTCATTCCCCCTGCTGCTATCCCTTCAGGTGCTGGATCTCGCAAAGCCAGGGAGCCTGGAAGGGGAGTCGCTGCTGCCGGCCTGAGCCAATGCAAGGCCACCTGCCTGGGCAAGCAGGATTGTGCCTCACAACTGCCACCTTCAGGAGCCATCTAGTGCAGCCTCCTGTTCTCGCAGTGCCTGTGGGAAGAAGCCAGAAAGAAGCATCTGAGCACAGGAACAACACTCTCCCCTCCTGGGGTTTCCAAAATCTGGGATTCAGAAGCACTGCTGCCTCCAACTGAGGATGGCAACTGAGCCTTTGGCAGCCCTCTCCTCCTCCAATCCTCTTTTAAATCCATTTAGCGCTGGATCTAGATACATCAAATAAACATTTCAGTTAATCGTGTTGCAAAATTTTTGTGAGAAATCAGGTGAGCAAAAACAGAACTCCACAGCGCCATCTGGTGTCACAGTGCCAGAATGCATAAACAACGCATATAAAGTGATTTGTCTTTGCCAGTGCAGCTGAGTCCTAGGCTGGTGGCCATTGCTGCCTCTTGTGGCAGGGAGTTCCGTAGTTCAACTCTGCGCTGCTTGAAGAAGGACTTTCTTTTCTCTGACCTGAATCCTCCAGCAGTCAGCTTCATTGGACGTCCCAAGTTCTAGTGTCATGAGAGAGGGAGGAAAGCCTTACTTCGTAGGAGAGTTCCTCCATCCCGTTGATCATTTTGGATGTCCTGGGGGGTCAGAACAAATCTCCCAGGGGCCAGATTTCCTTAGCAAACCTCAGAAGACAAAAGGGCTGTTTCAGGATATTCTCAGAACCAAGACTGAGGGGATGGAGTGAGAGCTCCCTGGCCATATTTCTCCTCTCCTCTCCTCGTTTTTTTACGTGACTTGAATTTTCCCAGACAGCTCCCTTATGAGCTGCTCGCTGAGTGAAGGGGCAGGTCAGGGCCAAGTCCTGAGTAAGTCTGGCCTTGTTAGGGACTGACCTGGCCTTCAGCAGCAGCAGATTCAGACCAGAGGCTCAAGGGATATGCTTCCGTCCTTCCTTGCTCACGGGGTGACCTGCAGGATTCCTGCCTGCGGAGCTGGGGCCCTGCCGCTGACCTTCAGACTTCCAGGGTGCCCCTGCGAGGGGAAAGGGGTGCTCGCCATATCGATGTAAACAAAATCTGCTCCTTATGGGGTACCCAAGAGCCCATATAGAGTCCTTAAGTGGGTTCCCCATGGGTAGGAGGAAATAACAGGCCAACCAGAGAATATTGAGAAGCAAAGCAGCTTGTAAGCCTGATCTTTATTAAACTATTGCAACAGGGTCCTCACTGCCACACGCAGGAGGGAGGAGGGACCCAGTGCAATGGTGTGCAAGCTCTTATATTGACTTTTGAAATTGCCCACCCTGTAGCTCAAGGAAAAGGTAAAGGTACCCCTGCCCGTACGGGCCAGTCTTGCCAGACTCTAGGGTTGTGCGCTCATCTCACTCTAGAGGCCAGGAGCCAGCGCTGTCCGAAGACACGTCCGGGTCACGTGCCCAGCGTGACAAGCTGCATCTGGCGAGCCAGCGCAGCAGACGGAACGCCGTTTACCTTCCCGCTAGTAAACGGTCCCTATTTATCTACTTACACCCGTGAGCACAGAGACAAGAGGGAGGCTTTTCCCATTTCCTTCCTCCTTGCAGAGAAACATTTGAGGTCCATTTGGGAGTCAAAATGGTTTCAGGATTGCTCTCCTGTACTATTCCAGACACGTGGTTGATATACTTACGTATGTGTTTGCCTTGTACATTTATGAACATATGATTTATATATATGAGACCTTAGAATTCCTCTAACACTTGCTCACAGGGTGACCTGCAGGCTCCCTGCCTGCAGAGCTGGTGTGCTGCTGCTGGGCTTCAGACTTCCAGGGTGCCCCTGCGAGGGGAAAGGGCAGTTGCTTCAAGATGAATTCTTTGTAGGAAGCAACAAATCAATGGGAAGGGCTGTGGCTCAGTGGCGGAGGATCTGCCTTGCAAGCAGAAGGTTGCAGGATCAATCCCTGATGGCGTCTCCTTCAGGTACAGTTGGGAGAGACTCCTGCCTGAAATCCTGGACAGTCGCTGCTGCCAGCCAGTGCAGGCAGCGCTGAGCCAAGTGAAGCAAAGGTCTGGCAATATCAGAGGCAGATTTCTGCAGTTTCTATAACAACAGCAGCAGGATGCCTTGTGCCGGAAAGCAAACAGGCTTTGAAGGATGATTCCCCCCCTTCTCCGCAAAGATGAGGGGTTAGGACATGCTTGTGAAAAGCAGGAGGGGGGCAGTGGTGTGGGGGGGCAAGGAGGGACCCCCGCAGAGGCTGCCTGCTGAGATGCTGGTGGGGCTTGAAAGGCTTCATTGCAAGACCAACCCAAAAGGCTCCAAATTGATCATTATTATCGCCCGGAAGGAAACAAAGGCTCTCTGGCTGTTCTTGCAATTGGCAAGACTTGGGTGGTGAGAGAGGAGCCATGCGGAGCTGGCAAGCGAGGGAGTCTGGATGCCGCCCAGAGGGCAGACCCCCGGCTGCCAAGCCCTGTGCCACCCTGGGGGGGAGGCACATCCGTCCGCCAAGCCTCGGGTTGTGGCTTGGCTGGCATTGGGGGGCCTGGCCTCACCAGCAGGGCACAGACCCAGGCCTGGCATCTGCGCTGGCCCTGCAAGGGGGTGGCAGCCACAGCCTCACATGGGGGGGGAGGCGTGGATTAGGAGCCAGCAGTCAAACAGGAGGGCAAAGCAAGATCACCACCCCCACCCCCGGCCAGGCTGCTTTAGGAGCTTCTAAGAACTCCTGCTGCTGCCTGGAGATGGATCCTGGCCACCTGCCCAGAGGAATGGGCCAAGGACAGGCATTTTCCCAGCACCAGGAGGAGGAGGAGGAGGAGGAGGAGGAGGAGGAAAAGCAGCTGGGTTGAAGGCTGCCAAGGCTGCCTGGGAGTCTGCTTCTGCTGTTTTTTCTCCGGCGATCACTCGTAGCATCACTTGTAGCCGAGTAAGATGGTCTTCCATGAACATGGTTTTAACAATGAGTCCGTAAGTGACTGTGGAGGCCAATTCTGGATCCACACGTCCTTCCACAGTGGGGACATTGGTTTCCAGGTGGGAGTTGATCATGGTGTGGATTTGCCAAGCGTGGCTTCCTCTTCGCACGTTTCTCCCTTGCGTCCTGAGTTCAAGTGTCTTCAAAGCCCACGACACCTTTGGGAAAGGCTGTTCTCCAACTGGAGCACTCGCAGGCCAGTGTTTCCCAATTGTTGGTGTTTGTACTACATTTTTAAAGATTTGCCTTGAGACAGTCTTTAAACCTCTTTCCTTGATCACCAGCATTACACTTTCCATTTTTAAGTTCGGAATAGAGGAGTTGCTTTGGAAGACGATAATCAGGCACCCAAACAACAAGACCAGTCCAACAAAGTTGATGTTGAAGAATCATTGCTTCAACCCTGCTTCATAAATATGTTGGAACCAGGTCACCTTGATATGACCCTCTCTCCTTCCTTCCTTCCTTCCTTCCTTCCTTCCTTCCTCCTCCAATGCCAAATGTAGATGACTGGAGCAGGGAAATGGGCAGGCCTCCTTAGCACCTAAGCAGAAGCTGCAGAATCAGGCCAACAGCCCATCTAGCCCCTCATCCTTTTCTCAGAGTGGCCGACCAGATGACCATTATCAGGATCTGAGCACAGGAGCAACTCTCCCCTGCTGTAATTTGCAGCCACTGGCTACTTTTTGCAATAGGAATTCCACCCACCCCATGGGAGAAGCAGGAAGAAGCCCAGAACAAAGGGATGCTCCCTCTTTTATAAGTTTCCCCTTTTCCCCATAAACACCTCTGGTGAATCATCATGCAGACATCATAGATACATCATACATATGTCACAAAGGAGGGAGGTCTCTGGCAGAAACCGGTTCCTCAGGTTCTGCCAGCCTCCTCCTCACACCCACCGAGATCCTGCACCACCGGAAGCAGCACCAGGCGCCCCCCTGAGAACTGCGGCCCTGGCGGGGGCCTCTCAAGGTCGGGTGAGCCTGGCATGGGGGTTGCCTTCTTCCTCCCCCTGGCGCCTTTCCCTCAGCCTCACGAACTGACCCCCTGCCCCTCTCCTCCCTACTTGAGCTGCCCTGAGCCTGGACTTGGGGGGGCTCTTTGCACCTGGAAGAGTGTAAATAAAAAGGTGTGGCTTTGATTAAAGAGCTGGGCTCTGCCTTGTGGCTTCTAGTGGGGCGCCACCCTGGAGCAAAGGGCCCCTCGATTTCCCCACATCCAAGAGTCCTTCTGGGCAGACACTTGGGTCTTTCTTAAGAGTAGCCCCCTGGATCTGGCCTGCGGTCCATTGTGAACACCTTTGGTGAAGCATCATGCGTACATCACAGACACATCACACATAGGTCACAAAGAGGGAGGGGTTTTCAGGCAGGTTTGCCCCCAACTCTCCCTTGCCCACCCCCAGACACCCATCAAGTGATGCAGAAGAAACATCTACAAGTCCCTGTTTTTCCTGGTCAAGGTAACCACACTCCTTTGTCCTGACGGAGGACCTAATCCATTCCTGGAGGGTCTGCTATTGTCTGTGGAACAGACCAGTAAGAAGTAAGCAGCACACAAAACACTACCAAGCCATTCTACGTTCTAAATCTTATATTAATAAGATGTGCTGGTGTGCTTTCGAACTGCTAGATTGGCAGGAGCTGGGACTGAGCAACGGGAGCTCACCCCGTCACGGGGATTCAAACCACTGACCTTCTGATCGGCAAGTCCTAGACTCTGTGGTTTAACCCACAGTGCCACCCACATCCCTGCCCCCTCCCAACCTTTACATAAATTCTGGTAACGCCCCAAACCTTTCCCAGCCCTGCAATATCCCTCATGAGGTAAGGCAACCAGAACCGCACATGATATTCTTCTGAACGCAGCTGCACCATAGATTCCTGTAGCGGCTGAGGATGCCAGCGCTCTGATCTCACCCGGCAGTCGGTGTGGCAGGAGAATAAGGAAGGTCATCTCTGGCAAGGTGACTCTGCTTATCAGCTCCCCTTAGCAGAGGAAGCCGCTCTCTCGCCCTGACACTTGATATATGGCCTCAGCAGCGTGGATCCGGCCCCCCACTGCGCACGAGTGATGCCTCAGCAGTTCCACTGCAATAACCCTCCCGGGCACTTTGCAAGTTGCCTGTGAAGAAGTCGCTCCAGGCTCCAGCCTGGCACATTTTCCTCGGCTAGAAAACTCTGCTAGCGAGAAACCTCTCCAGCTCCCTGCCTGCCCCGCAGAATCATAGAAATGTACAGTTGGAAGCGGCCCCAAGGGCAGGGCCGGCCCGTCTCATTTCACCGCCTGAGGCAAGACAGGACGGTGCTGCCCTGAGCCGCCGCTGAAACCTCGCTTGCTGGGGGGAGGGGGCAGCGGCAGCAGCTGCTTCCAGGATCCAGCCAGAGCTCACGAGAGCCTTGTGAGATCTCATGGGGTTTTCCAAGGCTGCCACGAGATCTCGCTGGAGCCCGGAGGTCCATGGCAGTGCCCCATGGATTCTGCCGCCTGAGGCAGGGACCTGCCCAAGAGTCACCTAGTCCAACACCCTGCAAGGCTGAAATCACAGCTAAAGAATCATGGAAATGGGGAGTTGGAGAGGGGGCCAAGGGTCATCTAGTCCAACCCCTGCAACCAAAGTATTTTCCACACTAGGGGTAGGACAGGCCTTTCTGCGTCATGATCAGCCGTGGAGGATCCTCCACACGAGGCTGGGGTGGTGTGATGGTGGCAGGGCAAGCCCCCCCACGGGGTGCCTTCTTGTCACCCCCTCAAAAATGGCACCCGGGGCGCTCTGCCCCCACTGCCCCCACTTCCTCCGCCACTGGTCATGACCCCCAAACAACAGAACTCTCTCCCATGGGAGGTGACATTGCCCCCCCCCCCCCGGCCAGGCTGGGCTCATGGTGTTCTTATTTTAAGGTTTGCTTGCATCTGTCTTCGGAGGAAGCTGGGCATCAAGGAGTCTCTGATTTGGGTCTGTCTAGGGCTAAATTCTACTCAGACCCATTGGAATTAAGGGATGTAAATTAGTCATTTCAGTGGGGATGCAGGTGGCGCTGTGATCTAAACCACTGAGCCTCTTGGGCTTGCCGATCAGAAGGTCGGCGGTTCAAATCCCCGCGATGGAGTGAGCTCCCGTTGCTCGGTCCCTGCTCCTGCCAACCTAGCAGTTCGAAAGCACGGCAAAGTGCAAGTAGATCAATAGGTACCGCTCCGGCCGGAAGGTAAATGGCGTTTCCGTGAGCTGCTCTGGTTCGCCAGAAGCGGCTTCGTCATGCTGGCCACATGACCCGGAAACTGTCTGCAGACAAACGCCGGCTCCCTTGGCCTATAGAGTGAGATGAGCGCTGCAACCCCAGAGTCGTCTGCGACTGGACCTAACGGTCAGGGATACCTTTACCTTTACTAATTTCAATGGGTCTACTCTTGAGTATGTCTAGCATAGGGTCCTGGTCTCTGCTGAAGAGTATAAGTGAGTTTAATATGATTCTATGCTGAAACACACCAAACTGCGGGAGGCAGTGGAAGACAGGAGTGCCTGGCGTGCTCTGGTCCAGGGGGTCACAAAGAGGCGGACACGACTAAACGACTAAACAACAACATGCTGAAACACTTAATTGTATTTAAAAGACGTTTTACGACGTCTTCAGGTTCCTTTCCTGTCTAGTGTCAGCTTGAGGTTCACTGTTACTTATTAAATTTGTACACAGCCCTTCATGCGAAGATCCCAGTGGATGGGGAGGAGAGTGACAGCATTACTGTTTCCCACGGTGCCACTCCCCTCGAGTCCCTCCGGTCAGAAAAAGAAGGAGTCTCCAGCCAGGAGACCTGATCTTTGTTGCAAACACCAAGGAGGAAGAACTCCGAGCAGGGGGTTGCATGATCTTTTAAGACTCCCCCCCCCCCCTTTCTCCATAATACATTTCCAGTAGCATCACCCGTGCATCACAGATATGTCACAGAAGAGGAGTGGCTCTCATGGAGAAACATGGAACTGTCCCCCAGTTAAAGAACAAGAACATTATTAGTGGCACCCGACCTGTGGAACGGTGGAACGCCCTCCTGTCAGATGTCAAGGAAATAAACAACTATCTGACTTTTAGAAGTCATCTGAAGGCAGCCCTGTTTAGGGAAGTTTTTAATGTTTGAAGTTTTATTCTGTTTTTAATGTTCTGTTGAAAGCTGCCCAGAGTGGCTGGGGAAACCCAGCCAGATGGGTGGGGTAGAAATAACAGTAACAATAACAATAACGATAATTTGTTGTTGTTGTTGTTGTTATTTACACATTTCTCTGGGTTCCAGCCTTTCCTGTTTGCGCACTTTGAAAGGATCCAGTCCATTCACCAATGGATTTCTGTCTGGAATACTGTTGCTCCTGAAAACCTCCTGCCCCCCCCCTTGGGGCTTGTTTTCACACCTTGTGGAGGAGTGAGGAGACCTTAGGGGGGTTATGGAGGAAGGAAGGAGCCTCGATCCACCCCCACCCCCCTTTAGGAGTAATATGCCATTTGAATGGAGAGAATCGGACAAACCGTTGATTTTTTGTCAATTTTTGAAGGTTTGGTATGTTTTAGGGAACGGTCAGGCTCATCATCCTGGTTTTAGTTTGAGGCTGTGATGGGGACTTCGGATTTTTAAAAATGTATATATTTTAATTCATTTTCACTTTTAACATTTCTCATCATACATAAATCACAATCATTTTACAAATAGGATTCTTAGAATCCCCGAACGTCCCTCCATGCACCCGTGGTTTCCCCAGATATTCTTTCCAAACTGCATCGTATCGTATTCTCCATATTTTCTTAAAACTCAATTTTTATCATAGTTTTCGCTTCATCGCAAGTGTTTTTAAAATCCTGCCAATGTTTTCAACCAGTGGTGCCCAAGCTTTTTTCAAAGATTTGAAGAAGTGAAGGGCCCTGAGGTCCAGCCAAAGGTTAACCTTTTTAAAGGATTGAAGTTGTTGAGCTTTTTTAGGATTTTACCCCAGGAAATAAACTGCCACGGGGGCCGGATTAAACCCTCAAAACAGACTTTGGACATGCCTGGTTTATACAGTGCTCTTTCAAGTAACTTATAAAATTTTCCCATTCTTTATAGAATTTGTTGTCCTCTTGATCTCTGATTTTCCCGGTCATTTTCCCCAATTCATGGGGACTTCGGATTTTCAAGTTATCACAACTACCCCCCCTTTTGTTTTAACCAGGTTGTCCAGGCCACTCCTGCCAACATCCTTTGACTCTGCTGCAAGAAGAAGGACTTTCTTTCCTCTGCCCTGAATCTTCCAACAAAATGATGATTGTTATGTACTGAGTTGAATAGGATCCAAAAGGCAGCAGTCTGATTGGTCCTAGAACAATAGGGTCCAGAATGCAGCAGTCTGATTGGTCCACAGGAGCCACCCAATCCAGCTCCAGGTAGAAGTGAATCCACAACCTGATTGGCCTACAGGAGAATCCCGGAATTAGCCAATCACGTGGGGCCCATTGTGTAAATAATGTATATAAAGCAGACATTCTGGGGGAACTTCCATTCCTCCTCACCACTATGAGCTGAATAAAGAGCATGAAATCCACTCTCGACTCTGAGTATATTTCAGTAGCCATCCCAGCCACTTGGACCACTTGGCAGCTGGCAGGGCCACACAGAAGGCAGCTCTAGCAAAAGGTCTCCCACCAGCCTTTTCAGTCTTGCTCAGGTGAAAGACACACACTCTCTTACTCCCCCAGCAAGTCCCCAACTGGCCATCTGTCTCCCCTTAGTATCATAGAACTGTTGAGCTGTAAGGGACCCAAGGGTCATCTAGTCTGACCCCTGCAACAGGGGGAGGGGAACCAGGAATCTCAGCTAAAGCCTCCATGAGAGATGGCTATCCCACCTCTGCTTAGAAACCTCCAAGGAAGGGGAGAGTGCCACCTTCAGACCCACTTTCAAACAGCTCCTGCCCTCAGAAAGTTCTTCCGAATGTTCAGCTGGAATCTTCTGTCTTGTCACTTGGAGCCATGGGTTCGAGTCCTACCCTCTGGAGCAGGAGAAACCCAGTCTGTTCCCTCTTCCACGTGACAGCTCTTGAGATGTTTGAAGATGGCTATCACGTCTCAAGTCTCCTCCGGGCTAAACCTGCCCAGCTCCTTTGAGCATCGATTCTGGACCCCCGGCCCTGGTTCGGTGGAGGGTGGGCTCCCCCCCCACACATCAAGGGCTGGCGGTGTGTGTGTGAGAGAGAGAGAGAGAGGTTCCTCATTGCAAGGAGGAGAGGCCCAGTTGTCGATTGCCGCAAAGCGATGCCATTAAGTGGGTCAGGCTTGTGCGATGGAGGAGGGAGGGGGCAACTGCCGCACGAGCAAAGCTTTGCAGGGATGGTAATGAGCTATTTACAAAGCAAGGCCATCTCTGCAGCGAGCAGCGCGGCTCTGAGCTGGTCCACCTCCCAAGGGCTCCTGGGCTTGGCTTGGCTGGTGGTTTCCCACAAGGGGCATTGGTTGACCCCAGGGGGAACAGGATGCTCCAAAAACCAGATTCTTCTTGTGTTCTTAAGCAGCCTCCGGGATTAGACCAGCCCCTTGTCCTGCAAAACACAGGATTGTCCTGTACTTCAATGTGAAATCCTACATCCTGTATTGATACAGTTTTGTCCTGTATTTCAGGTTCCCCCCCCCCCTCTCTCTCTCTGCTAAGATAGGGATCATTTCCAAATGCATGTGTTTGAAAGCATATGTGGAAATTCATTGTTATGGAAAAATCTATGTGTGAGGCTGCTCAGTCCCCCAGCTCCTTGGGCAGAGCCCGCGAGTCCCTGCGGAATAAAGGAAGGAGTCCAGCCAACCAGAGCAAATAGCTGTAGACCAAAGTTTATTGCGCAACAGGCTCAAAGAGGAATTTTGAGCCCTGAGGATGGGGTGACAAGGACTTTTAAAAGTTTCTATCTTATCCCAACATACAGTTCATTAAGCATCATCACTACATCATTGCTACATCAGAAAAGGGGAGGGATATACATGATTAACACAGGAGGAATGTGTTGGGGCAACAGGCGGATATAGATATGTATTGGGAAGTACATTCTAAGCACCTACTACAAAGGGACTATAGAACTTTGATTTGCCTAGTCTGCCACCTGGGCAAGTCCGGAGGAGTGCCTTTGCCCAGCGATTGACACCTATAAGTACCTTCCTGTGAGTACATAACCTCCTGCTTGAGGGATTATGGCGCGGACCAAGTGGCTTCCAGGTCCTTGGCCAATGAAGCAAATTGGCGGTGGAATGAAGGAAACTGGCATAGGAGTTGATTTTATATGATTTTTAAAGCTAGGTATCTTCCCTGAGCTGTCAAGTCGAAAGGATACATTTACGCATAATATTTGTAACACTTAACAACTTTAAAGATGTGCCCCCCCCCCGCCCTGTAATTTTCGTAACGTCATGCATTTAAGTTCTGGGTAGCGCAGCACAGACAGATTTGCAAATTTGCGTGTGTGTGTCTGTGTGTGACAAATTCCAGAGGGGCCGTCCTGTGAGGCTGCAATAGATTGCAGTGGATTGCTTTGAAGTCACTTCCGCACCAGATGGAGAGAAAAAATTGACCTCCCAACTGCCTCGCCCCGCCCTGCCCTGTATTCCTGTCTTTTGCCAGAACAAAGGCGGCAACCGTCCTCCAGGTCCAGGAGCAGTCTACCTGGATTTCGAGGTCCAAGGGGGCATTTGGCCAGTGTGAGACCAGGAGGCTGGACCAGAAGGGCTCTCCAAGGCTGACCCAGCAGCCACGGCAGTTCTGAGTCCCGAGAGAGTCTGAGAGAGGCACTTTCCCCCCGAGGGACAGGAGCAAGTGGTCAGCCCTGCAGCCAAGGCAGGCGGGCTGGAGTGTTTGTGCCGCTGATATTTCTCAAAGTTAAGAGCTCATTAATTCCAGGCCTCGAACGTAGGCACAAACACCAAGCCAGTACATATTTAATGTATTATTCCGGCCCTGTAATTAAATTAAATGAAAGCAATTTCCCATCAACTCAGGTTACCCAAAGAGAGGGGGTTGGAATTAAAATGCGGGCCTGCATTCTCCGCTGCATCAGCAGAGCAATTATAGGGAGAAATTAAAACCCCTTTAGTGAAATAATGAAATGTTGCTTTGTATCAAAAGTGTCCAAGATTTCATTTTGAGCTCTGACAGGTTATTACAGATTCGAGGGCCGGACGGAAAGCATATTTTAATTGCAGGCTCATTTGCATTTGAAGCAGCACCTGATCTCGGCTGGGCCAGGGTCTTACCTGCCTCCTCCCACCCTTTCTGAGCAGCCCTGGGGGGCAGTGCTGGGACTGGGGGGGCAGGACAAGGGGGCAGGCGCAGGGAGGGGCTTTCACCAGCCCAGAAGGGAGGGACGGTTTTTCCTCCTTGCAGAAATGATTTGTCAAGGTTGGAGCCTTGATATCCCCCAAGTATCAGCTCCCTTGAGAATGGTCACGGGAGCAGGGAGGCATTTTTGTGGCACATTGTATGTTGGCACATGCAGAGCAAAACGTGGCGCGAAAACTCAGTCAAATCCTGCTCCCACCAGCTCCACGTGATTCACAAGGATATCAGAAGAGCCTGCAGCCCACCTGCGCCAAACTCCTGTTCCCACAGTGGCCAAGCAGGGGCCTCAAAGGGAAACCCGCAGCCAGGATCCAAGCACCAGAGCAACACTTTCCCCTCTGGTGGCTTCCAGGAACTGCAGCTCAGAAGCATCTCTGCCTCCAGCCATCCTGCTGTTATAAGAATTCGAAGGTCCCAAATATAAAATAACATTCATAAATGTACAAGGCAAACACACAAGTATATAAACCACGTGTCTGGAATAGTACAGGAGAGCAATCCTGAAGCCGTTTTGACTCTCCCAAATGGACCTCAATATATTTCTCTGCAAGGAGGGAGGCAAATGGGGAAAGCCTTTGTCTTTTTGCTTACAAATCCTGTCTCAAGGGGTATCTGTGTATGAACAGGATACCTTGCCAAGGCCTAAAACTGCCAAAGTTGTGACGAAATGCTACGGGGAAGGCGAAACCTTCCAATGCAGGGGAAATTCCTTCCTGGTTCTGAATACAGTAACCATCTTACGACCGCAGCAGCACTAGCTGAACTGGAATGCAAAATATTAGCCTGTAAGGAAAAGAATCATTAATTTGAAGACCACTGACCTAGGATGAAATTATGGATGCAAGAAATGATTCATTTGAGAGAGGGAGGGTGGATGATCCTGGAAGGAAGAACAGCAAAGAGGCTTGAGCAACGGAGTCATCCTCTTTTCTTTTGGCCTTGGGCCCACCCCCGGCCGGCCATCCATCGTCCTCCCTGGCCAAGGGCGGGTCAAAGGCCAGCCCAATCAGGTGGGTGGTACCCGCCCAGGTGAGCCCTGCTGAGTGCCGCAAACCCCGCCCACCTGTGGGGAAGGGAGAGCAGATATTGTGTATGAATAAGGTGAGCCTGTGACCTGGACTCAGGAACTAAACTATTAACCATCACAAAAGAATGGCCAAGCTGCCCAGGTAAAGCAATCAGTGACCATTATCAGGTACCATGGCAAACAGGATTTCTGCTGTGGACCGCCCCTTCAGTGCTGTATGTATGATGTTTTGCGGGGTGGTCTTGAGCTACGGGGGGAGTGCAATTTCAAATGTCTGTATAAGAGCTTGCACACCATTGTTCTAGGTTCCTCCTCCCTCCTGCATGTGAGGAGTGGGGACCCTGTTGCAACAACTTTAATAAAGATCCGGCTTACTAGCTGCTTTGCTTCTCAATATTCTCTGGTTGGCCTCTGTTATTTCTTTCAACTCTGCACACTTTCTTCCATCTGTCCTGAGAACCTCCCAGCATTCAGCCTCCTTTTCGCCCCTGAGTTCTGCTGAGAGGGAGGGAAACCTTTCTCTCTCTCTGCTTTCTCAAGGCCAGGCAGCATCTAGTTCTGAGAAACTAATTTTATGCCGGCCTGCTTCCTAAGCCTCCTCTCTCAGCTGGATTCCAAAAACCAACAGCTTGTTTCTCTCTCTTCCTCCTGCAGATTCCTCCTTGACCTCCAGCCAGGGAGGGGGAAGGAAGACTTGCCCCCTCTGTGCCCACCCTTTGCAGAATAAGTCCCTTCTGCTGCATGGAGCCCCTTCAGAAGAGACTCTGGATTTTGAGGTCCTCCTTGCCCCAAGATCACATTGGCAAAGGAGATGCTTCAGAGACCGGGGGGGGGGGGGCTATTGACTTAACAAAAGAAAATGCTTTCACTGGACCCAAGCTAACAAAATGAATTTCCATAGGGACAAATGTCAGGTTCTGCACTTAGGCAGGAAGAACCAGATGCACAAATATAGGATGGGGGCACCTGGCTTCCTAGCAGTGCATGTGTTATAAGAATTTTAAGGTCATATTAAAAAAAATGTTCATATCTTTATATATAAACCACATGTCTGAAACCTCACAGAAAAGGTCCTGAACAAATTGACCTCAAATATTTCTCTGCAAGGTCAAAGTGGGAAACCTCCCCATTGTCTCTTTCCTCACAAATCCTGTCTTAAGGGCACATTCAAGATATGAATAGGGGGTGAGCCTGTGACCTGGCTCAGGAACTAAGAATTTATCATTACAAAAGACTGGCCAGGCTCCCCAGGCAATCCAATCAAGTGACCATTAACAGGTAACCTGCCAGACAGGAGATAAACAGCGTACTCAGATTTCTGTTGTAGACCGCCCTTTCTATGATGCAGGTATGATGTTTGTGGGGGGGTGGTCTTGGGTTACACCCCTTCTGTGATGTATGTATGATGTATGAAGGGGTGGTCTTGAGCTCCAGGGCAGGCAATTTAAAATGTCTATATAAGGATGGTCCCACCTGGGTTCTGGGTTCCTCCTGCCTCCTGCGTGTGGTGAGTGAGGAACTCTGTTGCAACAGATCAATAAAGATCAGGCTTACGAGCTGCTTTGCTTCTCAGTATTCTCTGCTTGGCCTCTGTTATTTTTCTCCGACCGATGGAGAACCTGCAAAGGACTCTATAAGGGCTCTTGTGTCCCCCATAAGGGAATAAGGGCAGATTTCCATTTATTACAGAATCAAATAGACTGCCTCTGGAGCTGGAGGCTCCCTCTTCTGTCCATCGCTCCCACCGCAGGGGGTTGGCCTAGATGTTTCTTGGGGGGGATGGATCTCTCCCAACTCGAATGTTCTGTGATTCTGCAGCTCCCTGTCTCTTCCATGGTCCCTGTAATGCTAAAATTAACATGTTTCTGATTCGCAGTTTCCTGCAGAAATGGTCCCTTGTGGGGAAGAAGGGAAGGCTTGATTTAAAGTAGCTAAGCTGCTTTTTATTTGGGGTGGGAGTGGAGAAGACGCATTTTCCAGCCCCCCCCCCCTGCTTCCTGGGCCAACACCTCCTGCCTTGCCAGTAGCTCTTTGGCAAGGTGCCTCAGACGGGACCAAAAAAGTGCTGAGTAAAAACTCAAGAGGAACAAATAAGTAAATGGTGTGCTATATTTTTGTTTTATTGATCCGGCTCCCGAGGAGATGCTGGAGGCCCAATAAGCAGCGGGAGAAGATCAAGGAGGTAGGGAGGAAGCCAGGAGGCTCTGAAGATGTGCCAGAAGGAGAACCTACAAGTAGGGGTCCTAAATGGCCCAGTGGGACCCAAAATACCGAGTTGGAAGAGTGGTTTTTAAAAAAGGAAGCAGCAGATGGGAACCTCTGAGAGCCAGAGACACCAGCCAGGAGGCTTCATAGGAACACCCGGCTTAGAAGCTGGATCCGGCCAAAGGGGGCCCATCTAGCTCAGCATCCTGTTTCCAGTGGCCAGGTAACCCAAAGAACCCAGGAACCCAGATAGACTGCCTCTGGACCTGGAGGTTCCATCAGAACATAAAGAGGCCTGTTGCCCAGTGGGGAAGCAGTCAGGAAGATAAGGGAGGGCCACCCGTGTCCCCAGCCCAGCCCCTTCCCTGCCACTCCGTGGGGCACCTGCTCTTTGGGGTGGGGGCAGCGGCTTCCCACGCCCAGGGGCAGCCATTTCCCTCCCCCTGGAGAGCCTCACGAGCACCAGGCACTGGCACTGGGTGCAAAAGCATGTTTGTGTGGGATAACTGTCCTGCCTTTCCTTATGGAAAGCTCAGCTCAGCAGATGACAACCTCAAAAGACCATTCAGGCATTTAGGACAGCGATGGCGAAAAAATTAAGATGGCAGAAGCAGGAGAGAAACACTGTTGCAGGAATTTATGTATAGGTGGGGGGGGTTGCCCCTCCAGCAGATGTCATGCACATGCAGCCCACTACCAAAAACAGCACAATCATTTTTGTGACTTTTGTGATTTGTCCCCACAACACACTTCAACACAGTTTCTTCCTATCCATTCAAAGGGCCTCTGCTGCACGATATCAAATGTAAGAATTCACTGATAAATGTACCTGTGTACTGGCTCACTGGGAAAACTTCAGAATTTCCTATAGACATGTGAGCTCAGCTGCTCAGCAGCCCCTCTGTCTGAGGGATAATCCCTGGCCTCCTGATACCTGAGTGCCAGACAGGGAGCCATTCCAGAAATAACAAACCCAGATGAAGACAAAAGGGTGGGATTCACTTGGCTGGGAAACAGGGAAATGTGAATGTCTCATTTGTTACACTTGATGGGTGTTTGGTGGAGGGCAAGGGGAACCATGGGGCAGGGTCCAGGATGCTCAGATTCCAGCCACCAGACCTCCCCTTTCATCATGTAACCATGATGTAACCATGATGTAGTTTGGGGGGTGTAACATGGGGATTAGCAGCTAATAAAACTTTGGGTTCTCTTTTGTTTGGGGCTTCCATCTTGTTCCACCTGGTGGCAGGTGGGAGTCCTGTCGCAACAGTCTTCAATCAAGACCAAGCCGACTGGCTGCTGTTTTGCTCTGGTAATTCCTGGCTGGGGTCCTTGTTTTTTGTCCAAGGGAGCCCTCAGATTTCTCTGTTTACACCACTTGGGGCGACCTCTGAGCCCCTCCCCTCCAGCCCCCTCCTTGCCTGAATCTGCACCCCAAGGCGGTACGAAGAGTTTGCTAATAAGCAGCTAATCCAGGTCAGATGCTGATGGTGCTGATTTCGTCCCCGCAAAGGAGCCTGGACGGGGCTGCTGAGCCAAGCAGGGTCTCCCGAGGATCAGGATTGAGGCTTCCTAATTTGTTTGTTAATGAGACGGAGGGCTGAGCAGTGAGGTGGCCAAGTTTGCTGAGGAAAGCAGAAAAGAGGAAGGAAGGAGCTCCAGAAAGGCATTTCCCACCAGGGGGGAAGGGGCAGGGAAATGGCAAATGCAACTCAACGCAAGGGAGCGGAAAGCCATGCACACCAGAGAGAGAGGAAGGAAGAATCTGGATTTAACACGCATGCATTTGGGGGTCTGGACTGGCTGGGAGCAAGGCCTCCAGGTCATAGCAGAGAGTTCATGGGCTCCGTTTGCAACATCTGCGGAAAAGCCCAGTTCCATGCTAGGGAGGGAATTGAAAATAAAACTGCTGATTGTCCTAATGCCCTTGGAGAGACCTATTATGTGACTCCATTTGGAATAACCGTGTCCAGTTCTGGTTGCCTCCCCTCCTAAAGGATATTGCAGAGCCGGGAAAGGTCCAGAAAGGGGCAGTGGGGTGTCAGGGGCAGGCTGAAGGAAGAGGAGCCAGCCGGGGAACCCCCAGAGGGAATCCCCAGAGGAGGAAGGCTCAGAGCCAGGGGTTGGTGGTGGGACACTGAGGAAAGGTCAGAAGGAGAAGACTGGGAGGAGGGACCGGATGCCGAAGGGGCAACAGGGCTTAGTGAGCAGGAGGAGTCTGTGACAGGGAGCGGTTGAGACTCCGAGGCTGAAGCAGAGACTGCTGAAGAATCCAGGGAGGTCTCCTTCTCCGTCTGCGACAAGCTCCCATCCCCTCTGGTCTCCAAGAACGTGCAGGATAATGAGGAGAGCAGAACAGAGGCAAAAGGTGCGCAGATGCAGTTTGAGGCTGCTTGGGAAACATCCGGAAGGGGAGGGGCCTTGAATAAAGAGTCAACTTCACCCAACGGCATCAAAGATTTGCTTCCTTTCTTGCTGACCTGCATCCAGCTTAGGCGTGGAAAGTCCTCCCCTCCCTTTGGTAACTTCACAGATAAGAATTAACGAGCAGTTGATATATTTATAGTCCTTTTATTACAGCATCATGCTGCATGCACAAATGCGCAGCTCTCCAAAAGGAGGGCAGTTGGCTACTCTAAACCTTCCTTCCTACTTCTGTGGCATTTTAGGCGCCAATGGGAAGTTCCTCCCTCCCTCTGAATCCTTTGGACCTCCAAGTCCGTGGTGAAGGGGGGTCCCCCCCCACTCTCAAATGACGTCTCAACTAGCTGCCCCCTCCCTTCCGGCTCCCTTGTCATTATCTCGTAACTGGGCAACTCCTCCCTCCGCTGTTCAGCTTCTGTCTCTCTGCTTCTGAACACACTGTGGGCGGGGGGCCCAAGCTGGTCTGCCACAGAAGGCGTCCCCCAGTCCTCGTCTTCAGACCATCCCCTAACACTCCAGCCCTGTCAAGGCGCAGCTCCCCTAGGAAGAATGGTTGCAGCCTTTGGGACTTCTTAGTTTAGCAGAAAGGTGAGGAAGAGGCAGCATGAAGAAAGGAGAGAGAGAAAAGGTTTTCTCCCTCTTGCATAACGCTCTGCTCCTTTTGCGGAGAGCCTGATCTGTGAATAGCGGCTGACGGGACTCCCCAAGTGTGGAGCCTGCAGCTCTTGGCTGTGGCGGAGCTAGGGGCTCCAGCACCCAGAGCGGCACACGTGCTGTGCACCCGGGGGAGGGGTGATCTGCCCACAGGGGCAGGGGCGATCCACCCAAGGGGCCAATCGGCATGGCTGCTGAAGGGGGGGTGACATTCGGTGCCCCCCCATGACTCTCAAGCCTACAGCAAGCTGGGGGAAGGGGGAGTTGTGGGTGGGGTGGGCCACGCCGAATGTCACCCCCCTTCAGGATGACACCCGGTGTGGGCCGCACCCCCGTTGCTACACCCCTGGCTCTCGGGCTTCCAGGCTTCCCATGGGGGGAATCTGGTGAAGCGGTGGAGCAAGCCGATGGGGAGCCTGGGGAAGTGCGCATGCCCTGCGCCCAGAGGCGGGGGCAGCTTCCCACGGGGGCAGGGCGAGCCAGGGCAGGATGCTCCATGGGCCTCCGGAGCCTGCCTGCCTCCTCCCACTCAGCCGCCCTACAGGTGAGGGGGAGGCCATAGGGGGACCATTTGGGCAGCCCAGGCCACCACGTCTGTCCCAGGAGAGATGTGGGGCTCGGGTGTTGTGCAGGCCCCACGGTGAGTGAAGCCCAGCATTTTGTCACCCCCACCACACACCCCTCCCTCCCCCATGCTGGACTGGATGGGCCAGATCCAGCTTCAGGGATCTCCTTACGGTCCTCCCCCCCCCCCTGCTGTTGCATTCAGGGCTTTTGCGTTCCGTCTCTGCCAGCGCTGTGAAGCCGGCACTGCCTTAAAAGACCTCCATCCAGCCTTTCCGTTTAAAAATATCCACAGCAGCTTAACCGTGAGAAGACAACATCCAAACAAAGCAGAGCAGCGGAGGCTGAAACACACAAAATCCATCAGCAGAGGAAGCAGCAGGAGCTGCAGCGTAAAAAGCCCCCCCCCCAATTTAGATGCCCCCAGAGGGCAGGGAGCTGAAGGAGCTGAAGGATGCTCATTTTGGGCGGAAAGAGTGACCTGGATTAGCCCTTTGCCATCTGCGACACAGCAAGGAAACAGGAGAGGGGCTCTTGGGCTGGGGGGCGGGGGGCCGCCCAGAGTTCTTGGGGCTTCAGGCTCCCTTCAGGTCCGGGGGGGGGGGGCAATGGCCAGGGAGGAAGATGGGAGCTGGGATCCAGCAACCTCTGAAGGACCACAGAGGTTCCCCATCTCCAGTCTAAGGAATTGAAGCACTGGGCTGTTGGCCATCATCTCTGTGATGCTCAGGATTAGGAATGCCCCCCCCCGGTGACTTGAGGGCAGGAGGGCAGTTCTCCTGCACAGCAGCCAGCAGGGTCAGGCCTGGAGGGCTTCGCACAGCAAACCTCCCCTCAGTGGACTCTCCTTCCATGGAGGTTTCTTAGCAGAGGTTGGAGGGCCCCCTGCCATGGCTGCTTTAGCTGAGATTCCTGCATGTGTGGATTAAATGAAGACTAGGACCTGGGAGAGAGCTGGGTTCAAATCCTTACTTGGCCCTGAAGCTGCCACACCTGGGATACTCTGTCCAGTTCTGGGCACCACAATTTAAGAAGGATGTTGACAAGCTGGAAGCTGAGCAGAGGAGGGCGGCTGAGATGATCCAGGGTCTCACAACCGGAGTGAGTCTGCCTGGTCATTAGAGGCCCAATATGATCTCTCTCAAGGGTCAGGATGGAGCCCAGGGCCCCCCTCTCTCTCTGCTGCCCTAGGGAGGCCAGAGGCATGCTCGGTCGGAGCGCAATCTCCTTCTTCCACCTGGAGAATTGATCCCATCCTTCACATCAGAGGAGGAAGGAGGCCCCCGGTCTGGCGGTGGCGGCGGCGGCAATTTGGCTAAAGTGGGCAGATCCATCACGGAAAGTGGCAGCAACCGGCCAGCCATCAGGAGAAGAAATCAATGAGGAAATGGAGATTAAACACACACCGGCCTCCTCTGCCCAGCACAGACCCATTCATAAAGGCAGAGTTGAATAGCAATCATCACCGCAGGAGATGCTGGAGAAGGGGGAGGGTTTGGGGTTTTTTTGCTGTGACTGATGGCCATGCCTTTGGGGGCTCCTGGTAGGCCTCTTTGGCTGCCCACCCCCTTTGCCCCTCCCCAGCCTCTTCCTCCAGCTCTCCTCCCCTGCCAAGCCTTCCTTTCAGGACCAGCTCATCAGCAGCACCTTTCCCTCTCCACCTGCCACAAGAACCTAAGAGGACATCCAGTCGTTTAGTCGTGTCCGCCTCTTTGTGACCCCCTGGACCAGAGCACGCCAGGCACTCCTGTCTTCCACTGCCTCCCGCAGTTTGGCCAAACTCATGCTGGTAGCTTCGAGAACACTGTCCAACCATCTCGTCCTCTGTCGTCCCCTTCTCCTTGCGCCCTCCATCTTCCCCAACATCAGGGTCTTTTCCAGGGAGTCTTCTCTTCTCATGAGGTGGCCAAAGTCTTGGAGCCTCAGCTTCAGGATCTGTCCTTCCAGTGAGCACTCAGGGCTGATTTCCTTAATGATGGAGAGGTTGGATCTTCTTGCAGTCCATGGGACTCTCCAGAGTCTCCTCCAGCACCATAAAATGCCACTGACAACCTAGGAATCCAGATACAGTGGTGCCTTGGTTCTCAAATGCCTTGATTCTCAAACAACTTAGAACCCAAACACTGCAAACCCAGAAGTAAGCCTTCCGGTTTGCGAACTTTTCCCCGAACATGCTCTGATTTGAGTGTTATGCTCAGGTCTGTCTGTTTTTGCTATTTATTTTGCATATTTTGCGTTTTCGCAGCTCTTTTGTTTGGTTTGTTTTGTGACTGTGTGGAACCCAGTTCAGCTGCTGACTGATTGATTGATTGATTGATTGTGTGACTGCCGTACATTGTTTGTTGCTTTCGTTTTATGGATCAATGGTCTCATTAGATAGTCAAATTCATGTTAAATTGCTGTTTCAGGGGTTGTTTTTAAAAGTCTGGAATGGATTGATCCGTTTTGCATTACTTTCCCCTGGAAAAGCGCACCTTGATTTTGGAACGCTTTGGCTTTAGAATGGACTTCCGGAATGCATTATGTTTGAGAACCAAGGTACCACTGTAGACTGTCTCTGGGCCTGGAGGCTCCACAGGAGCCTCAGAAGGTGGTGCTGCAACAGGCCAGAGGGGCCCCATGAAACCCAGGCTCCTCTTCTCAAGAGTGCCAGCCAGATTCCCATCACGGGGAAACCCTCAGGATCCAAGCGCAAGCGCCCTCTCACCTCCTGTGGTTTCCAGCAGCTGCTATTCGGAAGCATCTCTGACTGTGGAGGTTCTGAGGGATCCTTTACAGCCGTGTGGTTCTTGATTCAGGGGCCCTGGAGAAAAGGAGGACCTGCTAAAAGATGGTGAGAGCTTTTTCTTTTGTTAAGTCAATACCCCGTCTCTGAAGCATCTCCTTTGCCAATGTGATCTTGGGGCAAGGAGGACCTCAAAATCCAGAGTCTCTTCTGAAGGGGCTCCATGCAGCAGAAGGGACTTATTCTGCAAAGGGTGGGCACAGAGGGGGCAAGTCTTCCTTCCCCCCCCCCCCCGGCTGGAGGTCAAGGAGGAATCTGCAGGAGGAAGAGAGAGAAACAAGCTGTTGGTTTTTGGAATCCAGCTGAGAGAGGAGGCTTAGGAAGCAGGCCGGCATAAAATTAGTTTCTCAGAACTAGATGCTGCCTGGCCTTGAGAAAGCAGAGAGAGAGAAAGGTTTCCCTCCCTCTCAGCAGAACTCAGGGGCGAAAAGGAAGCTGAATGCTGGGAGGTTCTCAGGACAGATGGAAGAAAGTGTGCAGAGTTGAACTATGGAACTCCCTGCCACAGGGTCCTCTGGGATCAGCTGGGCTGCAGCCAGGGCTGGATTGAGGTTTGATGAGGCCCTCAGCTCCTGAAGGCAATGCGGCCCTTTCTATGTCCAGCTGTCCTTTGCCAACAACAAATTGTTGCTGTTTTGTGTTGAACATATGCTATATGTTAATTTATGGACCGAACAGGTATCTCAAGCCATTTACCCATGTTGCCCTGCAACCGCTCCATGCAGAATGTCAGCACCCTATATATAGAAAGGAGCAAACCAGGGATATTTGAGGGAGCAGGCAAGCAGGAGGGGCCCATGACTTACAACATGGGAGCCGACACAACACAAAACACGGTTGCTGTATGTAGATTTCATTTTATTTGTTTTTTATCTTATATTTTGGAAATGTACATCGTTGTAAATAAAAAATTTGCCCTTTTCCCTTATGGGGTATCCAAGAGCCCATATAGAGTCCTTACATAGGTTCCCTATTGGTAGGAGAAAATAACAGAGGCCAACCAGAGAATATTGAGAAGCAAAGCAGCTTGTAAGCCTGATCTTTATTGATCTGTTGCAACAGGGTCTCCCCTCACACTCAGGAAAGGAGGAGGACCCACAAAAATGCTGTGCAAGGGCTTATAAAGACTTTTGAAATCCCCATCCTCTAGATGGAAGACAGGAGTGCCTGGCGTGCTCTGGTCCATGGGGTCATGAAGAGTCGGACATGACTAAACGACTAAACAACAACAGATCAAGACCACCCCCAGAAACATTATGCATACATCACAGAAGGGGTGTAACCTAAGACCACCCCTCAGATACATCCCAGAAAAGGCGGTCTACAACAGAACATTTGCATGTTGTTTTTCTCCTGTCTCAGTTTATCTCCTGTCTGGCAAGTTACTTGATTGGATTTCCTGGGGAGCCTGGCCATTCTTTTGTAGTGGTAAAATACTTATTTCCTGGGCCAGGTCACAGGCTCACACCCTGTTCATATCTTAAATGTGTCCTTAAGACAGGATTTGTGAGGAAAGAGACAATGGGGAGAATTTTCCAGTTTGACCTTGCAGAGGAAACATTTGGTCAGTTTAGGAATCAAAATGGTTCCAGGTTGGTCTTCCTGTGTTGATCTATGTATGTGCGGTTATGGACATTACCATATATCTAAGACCATAAAACTCCTATCACAACATCCAGGTTTTCTTTTCCTTTAAATTTTTTGGGGCCCCCAAGAGAGTGGGGCCCTAAGCTAGAGCTTGTTTAGCTTATACGTAAACCCGGCACTGCCTGCAGCTCATCTGTCTTAGAATCATAGAATTGTGGCGCTGGAATCGGAGCCCAGGGTCATCTAGTCCAACCCCCTGAAATGCAAAAATCTCCCCCCCCCAAAAAAAAAACATAGAGCACAAACCCCTGTGATTAAGAGTCTCACGCTCTACCTACTGAGTTTCCCATCTCTCTGCTGGATCTTGTCCTGTCTGGAGCTGCTCCATCCTCAGCCTTTGAGCCCAGAGAAGCCAATATAGATCTGCAGATAGTGGGATTGCGTTCTTGTCGGGAAGCAGAGATCCCCTGGAGGAGTGGGCCTGGGGAAGCCAACCCCCCCTCCTGCCTTGGACCTTCCAGCAGAAGTGCCGCTACCCAGAGGAATCTTGTAAGTGTTCCCAGAAACCAGCAGAGGGGAGGAGGAATCCATTTCTGCTGCAGTTTTGCTCCCGAGGGCAGAAGCTACTGGTGAAAACAATGATTGTAGAGTCGGAAGGGGCTACCCAGTGTTACCGGGAAAATCCGAGGGCTCCCTTGGACAAAAACAAAGACACCAACCAGGATAACTTGGAGCAAAACAGCAGCCTGTAGGCTTGGCCTTTATTGAACTGCTGCAACAGGGTGTTCCCCTCACTTGCAGGAGAGAGGAAAGACCCAGAAAGATGGTGTGCAAGACCTTATAAAAACTTTTGAAATTCCCATCCTCTAGGTCAAGCCCACCCCTCAGATACATCACAGCTACATCACAGAAAGGAGGGGTTGAGGGAGGAGTTGTGGTGGTAACCTGAGTGTCCTGTCACCTGGCTGGTTCCTCCTTTCCCCCTCCCCATGAGTCACTTCCAGGAGACAAAGGGGAGTTGGCAGTTTCCTGCCCCCAGAGGGAAGATCTGATCATTGTCCTTTGTTTCAGTCCATGCTGAATCCACTCCCATATGCAAGTTCTTTGTGATCTTGATGGTCTTCTGTCTAGGACCATCAGGGTTGGCATAGCAACTGGGCAGGGCTCCTGTGGATGTGCTGGCATGGTGAAGGGATTATGGCTGACCAGAACCAAGCCACCCCCCTTTGATAGTCCTTGTCATATGGAGTAAAATAAAAATGGAACAGTGCAAATCCGATGTATGGTTGATTTTTCTATGAATTTATAACAGAAGTGTGGCGTATGTAGTGTGTGAGTGTGAGTGTGTGAAGTTTGTACAAACTGAATGATTGGGGTGGGGGGGGGGGTTCCTGCTACACCAGGGACATCTAGTCTAACCCCTGCAATGAGCATGAGCAGAAATAAAGCAGCAACGAGAGGAAACTTTTGACATGTCAAGAACACAGTGCAGGAAACCAAATTTGGGGAGGGGGGTGTATTAATTTTGTCTTAATTTGTGGTGAAATTTGGGAAATCAATAAAAATGATATCTATATATGCAAAGGCTGCTGGATGGGGCCAAAGGGAGGCTGTCTGGTCCAGCCTCCTGTCCTGGAAGTGGCCAGATGCCTTTAAGAGCCTAGGAACCAAGATAGACTGCCTCTGGAGCTGGAAGTTCCATAAGGACATCAGAAGAGCCCAGATGCTGGATTGAGCCAATGGCCCACCTGGTCCAGCCTCCTGCTCTCAGAGGCTGACCAGGTGCCTCTTTTGGGAAGCAGGATCCGAGCCCGAGAGCAACTCTCCCCTCTTGCAGCTTCTGGCAGCTGGCTTTCCAAAGCGCTTACTGCCTCTGACTGTGGCGCCAGGGCAGAGCCGTCCTGCCTAGTCGCCCCCTATAGACCTCTCCTCCTCCGAGAATAGGTCTGATCCTCTTTCTAGAGCCACCTGTTGTAAACAAAATATGCCCTTTCCCCCCTTATGGGGTATCCAAGAGTCCTTACGTGGGTTCCCCATTGGTAGGAGAAAATGACAGAGGCCAAGCAGAGAATCTTGAGAAGCAAAGCAGCTCGTAAGCCTGATCTTTATTGATCTGCTGCAACAGGGTCCTCACTCACCACACGCAGGAGGGAGGAGGAACCCAGAACAATGGTGTGCAAGCCCCCAGACCACCCCCAGAGACATCATACCTACATCACAGAAGGGGCAGTCTACAGCAGAAATCTGAGTGCTTTGTTTACCTCCTGTCTGCCAGGTTACCTGTTTAATGGTCACTTGATAGGATTGCCTGGGGAGCCTGGCCAGTCTTTTGTAATGATAAATACTTAGTTCCTGAGTCAGGTCACAGGCTCACACCCTATTCAAACACAGACATACCCTGAAGACAGGATTTGGGAAGGAAAAGACAATGGGGAGGCTTTTCCATTTTCCTTTGACCTTGCAGAGAAAACATTTGCTCAGTTTGGGAATCAAAAATTGTTTCAGGTCAGTCTTCCTGTGCTGATCTATGTACAGTGGTACCTCGGGTTACATACGCTTCAGGTTACAGACTCCACTAACCCAGAAATAGTACCTCAGGTTAAGAACTTTGCTTCAGGATGAGAACAGAAATTGTGTCTGGTGGTGCGGCGGCAGCAGGAGGCCCCATTAGCTAAAGTGGTGCTTCAGGTTAAGAACAGTTTCAGCTTAAGAAAAGACCTCCAGAATGAATTAAGTTCCTAATCCGAGGTACCACTGTAGTCTATTAAACATTAAAAGCTTCCCTAAACAGGGCTGCTTTCAGATGTCTTCTAAAAGTCTGTTAGTTGTTGTTCTTTTTGACATCTGGTGGGAGGGCGTTCCACAGGGTGGGCGCCACCACCGAGAAGGCCCTCTGCCTGCCTTAAAATTCTTATCACACACCCAAGTTGGTGGAACGTCACCTGGGGTTCCTGAGCCCAAGGCCTCCCATTGGTTGAGGCAGGAGACCCCAGAGATTCCCCCTCCAGCCGGCAAGAGGCTGTCCTTTAAGACCCCCGGCTGCCCAGGATGGTTGGGTCTGGCCTGGCAGCTTGGAGGAGGCAGCCCCTGACTGCTCTGCTTTACCCCCCCCCCCGGTTCTCATCCGCCCAGGCCCCCCTCCTCTCCCGCCCCAAAGGGGCTTGTGCCCCCCCCCACCTGCGGCAAAGGAGAGCCGGAGCATGTTGCGCTCGCAGGCAAATTGGTAGAGTAATGAGAAAACAATTAAGTTTAATGAAACTGAACAAGCGCTTTCCCCCCGCAGGAAGGGGAAGCGCAGAGCAAACGCAGGGGTGGCTCAGAGTCACAGAATTGTAGAGTTGAGCCAGGGGGCCCCCCAAAAGTCATCTAGTCCAACCCTCTGGGGTGCAGGAATCACAACTAAAGCAAAGCTCTGCTTCAAAACCTCCAGGCCTTCCAGTCTTCCTGGTTTCAGGGGGAGGGCAGAGCCAAGGATATGCCAAGGCCAGGCTGCAGCCCATGCCAATAATAATAATAATCATAATAAATAATAATAATAAATTTTATTTATACCCTGCCCTCCCCAGCCAAGACCGGGCTCAGGGCGGCTAACAACTGATATAAAAACAAATTGATTGAAATACAACTTAAAAAACAAGATTAAAATACATTAAAACATTAAAATGCTCCCCTCTGCCACATGGGGGGGGGCATTTTCTTTATTCCAAGAGGTGGGGGGGCGTATCACTTGCAGCCACTCCCTCCCTCCCTCTTCTCCTTTTGTGAACAGAAGATGGAGAAATGACTGAAGGGAGAGGGAGAGACAATCACAGGGCACTCCACCCCCCCCCCCATCTGGGGGGAAAAACACCCCACCCATCCTAGGTGAAGAGCACAGCAAGAGTGGGATGTGACTCAGATCGCCATGGCAACGGGGACCAAAGCACCAACAAGGTTGGAGGAGCCTTTCAGAATCTTCCTCATCCCATGAAATTCATTTTCTCTGGTCAAGGCCAGATTCCAGCAGCTGGAAATGTCAGTGCTAAGTGGGAGGTTGTTGGCGGGGGGGGGGGGAGATGCCCAGGAAGAAGACCCCCCTGGGAACACCCTGGCCAGGCCTCCCTGCAGAGTCCCCTTGGGCCAAGGTGAGAGGGTTGGCTTTCTTCACATGCTTGTGGGGTTGGCAGCTGCAACGCACCCCTTCTCAGGACCCCCACCCCAAAAAAGGAGGCCTGTGGGGAAGGAGCTCAGCAGCTGCAGCCATAATCCAGTTGCTACCCATGAATTCGTCTCATCTGCTTTTAAAGCTGCCCTGTGGGAGGGAGTTCCACAGTTTAACTCAAAGAGCGCTTGGACCTCTGACCAACAACAAGAGGACACCATCACCTGTGAGCAAATGGAACAGCTGCCAAGAGGACACCTGGGCTTCAGGGTCAAGGACCACCTGCACCAATATAGGATGGGGGACACCTGGCTTACTGGCAGTACATTTTAAAAGGATCTCTGGGTCTTGGTGGACCACAAGCTTCACACGAGTCAACAGTGTGAGGCAGCAGCAAAAAAAGCTAATGCTATTCTAGGCTGCATCCACAGAAGTCTAGTGTCCAGATCAAGGGAAGTCATAAAGCTAAAGGGACCCCTGACCATTAGGTCCAGTCGTGGCTGACTCTGGGGTTGTGGCGCTCATCTCACTTTATTGGCTGAGGGATCTGGCGTACAGCTTCCGGGTCATGTGGCCAGCAGGACTCAGCTGCTTCTGGCGAACCAGAGCAGCGCATGGAAACACCGTTTACCTTCCCGCCGGAGCAGTACCTATTTATCTACTTGCACTTTGATGTGCCTTCGAACTGCTAGCTGGGCAGGAGCAGGGACTGAGCAACAGGAGCTCACCCCGTCACAGGGATTCGAACCGCTGACCTTCTGATCAGCAAGTCCAAGGCTCTGTGGTTTAACCCACAGCGTCACCTGCGTCCCTAAAGGAAGTCATAGTTCCACTCTATTCTGCCTTAGTCAGACCACACCTGGAATACTGTGTCCAGTTCTGGGCGCCACAATTTAAGGAGGATGTTGACAAACTGGAGCACATGCAGAGGAACGGTCAGTGAGGAAAACCTGAAGGAGCTGGGAATGTTTAGCCTGGAAAAGAGGAGACTGAGAGGAGATATGAGAGCCACCTTCAAATATCTGAAGGGCTGTCCCATGGAAGATGGAACCAGCTTGTTTTCTCCTGCAATGGAGAGTAGGATTCGAACCTGTTGCAGGAACCGCACCGCCCCCAATCATTCAGTTTGTACAAACTCGAGACACACACACACACACACACACACACACACACACACGACATACGCTACGCTTCTGTTATAAATTCGTAGAAAATCAACCATACTTCGGATCCGCACCACTCCACTTTTATTTTACTCCACGAAGGAAGGACTACAAAATGGGGAAGGTTTGATACAGGTCAGCCATAATCTCTGGAGCATACCAACACATCTGCAGGAAACCTGCCCAGTTGGCATGCCAACCTTGATGGTCCTAGACAGAAGACCATCACATTCACAAAGGACCTGCATATGGGAATGGATTCAGCACGGACTGAAACAAAGGACAGTGACCAGCCCTTCCCTCTGGGGCAGGAAACAGTGAACTCCTCTTTCTGCTCAGGAATGTAATCATGGGGAGGGGGAAAGGAGGAACCGGACAGGTGACAAGACACTCAGGTTACCACCACAACTCCTCCCTCAACCCCTCCTCTTTGTAATGTGTCAATGATGTAGGCATGATGTTGTTGTGATGTAATTCTAGGGGTGTAGCTTGGGGGATTAGCAGCTAATAAAAGTTGGGGGTCTTCTTTTGTTCAGGGCTTCCATCTTGTTTCACCTGGTGGCAGTTGGGAGTCCTGTCGCGACAGTCTTCAATAAAGACCAAGCCTACTGGCTCCTGTTTTGCTCTGGTATTCCTGGCTGGGGTCCTTGTTTTTTTGTCCAAGGGAGCCCTCAAATTTCTCCATTAACAGAACCCATGCCTCCAAAGAAAGGAGGATCCAGGAAGAACTTTCTGACAGCAGGAGCTGCTTAACTGCAGAACAGTCTCCCTCTTTCCTTGGAGGTTGGATTATGGCCCCCTTCCCTGGCTGCTTCCTCTTCCCTCCCTCTCTATGGGTCCAGGAGCCTCCAGGAATTGCTCTAGAACAGGGGTAGGCAACCTAAGGCCCGTGGGCCGGATGCGGCCCAATCGCCTTCTCAATCCGGCCCCGGACAGTCCAGGAATCAGCGTGTTTTTACATGAGTAGAATGTGTCCTTTTATTTAAAATGCATCTCTGGGTTATTTGTGGGGCATAGGAATTCGTTCATTTGTTTTCCTCCAAAATATAGTCCGGCCCCCCACAAGGTCTGAGGGACGGTGGACCGGCCCCCAGCTGGAAAAGGTTGCTGACCCCTGCTCTAGGGGATAATGGCCATAAAGAAGACCCCCCCTCCACCTTCCACAACCAACCCCCTTCTCAGCCCACCCCCATGATAAGGTGGAAGAGCCAATCTGGGGTGGGAAGAATATTTTCTCTTTTGCAAGTAGATTGGTAATGATGAAGGGATCCCAATCCCACATACATATCAGGCAAGCGTTGCTCTTTCAGAGTTTTGACCCTGCTTAGGAAATGAAAGCAAAATAAACATGCTAAATTGGATCTCTTTTTCCCCCCAGCAGATGAGATTATTATTTTCCTGATGCTAATTACCCTCGTTTGATATTGGAAGAGTTTCCAATAATTCAGAATATCCCAGGAAGCCTCCATTTCTGCATACTACACCAACCAAGAGGCATCTTTCTGGTCTGGCTCCTTGTTCTCTCCCTTCGTGACTAACCCTGTGGACTCTGCTGTGGGAGCTGAGATCCCTGCATTGCAGGGGGTTGGACTAGATGCCCTCGGGGTCCCCCCCAACTCTGCAGTTCTATAGTTCTAACTCCCACGCCTCCAACAACAAGAAAAAAGGTATGCAAGCAGGCACAGGAAGGCCACAGCTCCCCCTGAACCTTTCTGACCCCCACATCTCCTTGCCCCCCCTTCTGTCCTGGGCAGGAGGGAGGTGTTAACGGAGAAATCTGAGGGCTCCCTTGGACAAAAAACAAGGACACCAGCCAGGAATCCCAGAGCAAAGCAGCAGCCAGTAGGCTTGGTATTGATTGAAGACGGTCTTGACAGGACTCCCACCTGCCACAAGGTGGAACAAGATGGAAGCCCCCAACAAAAGAGAACCCAAACTTTTATTAGCTGCTCATCCCCATGTTACACCCCCCAAACTACATCATGGTTACATCATGGTTACATGATGAAAGGGGAGGTCTGGTGGCTGGAATCATCACAAAGAGGAGGGGTTCAGGGAGGAGTTGTGATGGTAACCTGAGGGTCTTGTCACCTGTCCGGTTCCTCCTTTCCTCCTCCCCATGATTACATTCCTGAGGACAAAGAGGAGTTCACTGTTTCCTGCCCCCAGAGGGAAGGGCTGGTCATTGTCCTTTGTTTCAGTTTGTACTGAATCCACTTCCATAGGCAGGTCCTTTGTGAGTGGAATGATCTTCTGTCTAGGACCATCAAGGTTGGCATGCCAACTGGGTGGGGCTTGCTGCTGTTGGTACGCTTGGGGGATTATGGCTGCCTTGTGTCAAGTCTCTCCCCCCCCCCCTTGCTAGTCCTTCTTTCATGGTGTAAAATAAAAGTGGAATGGTACAGATCCGATGTATGGCTGATTTGTGTGAGTGAGTGTGTGTCGTGTTTGTACAAACTGAATGATTGGGGTGGTTCCTGCAACAGCTGGGCCCCCCCCCCCAGGGCAAGGAGCCCCACTGCAGATGGGTTAGGCTACCCCACTTTCCCTTTTGCCCACCCCAAGGAGCAGGAGGAGGAGGGAGAAGCCTGTTGTCCAGGAGGAAAAGGAGGAGAGTCAGGATCCAGCCCATGTCTCCAGCAGGGCCCTCCTCACCCTGCCACCCCCACCCCCACCCCTGGCCAAAGCTCCAGTAAATTGTGGAGAGATTCAACCTCCAGGAGAGAGAGAGAGCAGGAAGACCTCCTATACATATATCTATATATATATCTATATATACGCACGCACAAACTCTTTATTGATCTAATAATGCCTGCCAGAAAGGTTTAGCTTTGGCTGGGCTGTTCTGCTGCTGCTTTTACAGACTCTCCTCCGCTCTCTTTCAAGGTCCTGAGCAATAAGCTTTAAAAAGTTCAGGGATGCTTTTTGCGACCTCTGAGGCTCCCGTTTCACTTCCTCCTTCTGTGTCATAGAATCAGAGGACTTTAGAGTTGGAAGGGGGGCCCTAGGGGTCATCCAGTCCAACCCCCTGTGAGGGAGGGGGCCCTGATCTCCTTGTCCCAGGAAGTGCCAGCCTCCATTGGCCAGGTGTGCCAGAGAGAGAAGCTGCAGGTGGCCGGGTGGTGGTTGGTGTTGAAGAAGAAGAGTTTGGATTTGATATCCCGCTTTATCACTACCCAAAGGAGTCTCAAAGCGGCTCACAATCTCCTTTCCCTTCCTCCCCCACGACAAACACTCTGTGAGGTGAGTGGGGCTGAGAGACTTCAGAGAAGCGTGACTGGCCCAAGGTCACCCAGCAGCTGCAGGTGGAGGAGCGGAGACGCGAACCCGGTTCCCCAGATTACGAGACTACCGCTCTTAACCACTACACCACACTGGCTCTCAGAAAGTTTGCAGCATTTGGGGTTTTAGTTTGGAGAAAAGGCGAGGAAGAGGCAACGTGATCAGAGTTTGTGAAATGATGCCTGTCCTGGAGGAAGCCGAGTGAGAAAAGTTTTCCTCCCTCTCTCATAACACTGAGGCTATGAAACAGACAAGGAAACTGAATGGTTGAAGGCAGTTGAAAGTCCTTCTTCACGCAGCGCAGAGTTAAACTGGGAAACTCCCTCCCCCAGGAGGCAATGATGGCCACCAACTTGGGTATGTGGGATGTAACATAAGCAGTCAAGTACAACACTTCCTGTTTGCCCAGAGTGATCACGCAGGGGGGTGTTACTCCAGCCAGGAGGACTTCCTGTCTCACCTGGTCTGGAGCATCCTTCCCCTGCATTTGACCAGGTAGGTGGGTGTGACCCCGGGAGACCCCATAAAAGGGCTGGTCACGCAGCCATCATCCCTTCTCTTTTGCTGCTTTCTTCTGATACTGATGTCTTTTGCTGTCTGCTGGCTCTCAGCCAGCAGCACATGGGCTCATCCCCATATGGGGTGAACTCACTCTCTCTTCTGTAACTACAAGCTAAAATCTGCCTTTAAGGAACCTACTGTGAACTGAATGTAAGTAAACTTCTTGTTATTCTTAATAGAAGACTGTTGTGTCTTTATTTTAAAGAGGGATTGAAGAGGAAATTACCAGGAATAATCCAATGTGGATAAGAGATTTAAACGAATCTACCAACTAGCTCCCTGCAATATACAAGGGAATGTCGCCCTGTTGCTGACTCACAAGCGTGAGTGAGGAAGGATAAATATTTACTCAATATATCCTCTCCTACTGTCCACAACATTCCCACAGACGTGGGTGGCGCTGTGGTCTAAACCACTGAGCCTTGGGCTTGCCGATCAGAAGGTCGGTGGTTCGAATCCCCGCGACAGGGTGAGCTCCCATTGCTCGGTCCCTGCTCCTGCCAACCTAGCAGTTTGAAAGCACGTCAAAGTGCAAGTAGATGAATAGGTACTGCTCCGGCGGGACGGTAAACGGCATTTCCGTGCACTGCTCTGGTTCGCCAGAAGCGGCTTAGTCCTGCTGGCCACATGATCCGGAAGCTGTACGCTGGCTCCCTCGGCCAATAAAGCGAGATGAGCGCCGCAACCCCAGAGTCGTCTGCGACTGGACCTAATGGTCAGGGGTCCCTTTACCCTTTACTGTCCACAGCATTCCCACAGGGTGGCTTCAAAAGAGGCAGAGACGAATTTGTGGAGGGGCAGAAGACCATTGCAGGCTGCTAGCCCAGGCGGCTGTGTTCTGCCCCACCATCAGAGGCAGGAATGCTTCTGGGTGTCTT